TGAAATAAAATAAAAATTAACGGTTTTTTCAAATACGACCTTTTTAAGGACCTCGCGAAACGAGATTGCCAGACAAAGAGGCGCATCCGCGACACATCTGATCCCCTTCAGAACGAAGAGGAGAAAGTAGTGCGACGCACCAGATCGCCTCGTCTGAGCCCCGCAGGGTCAGCGTCCCGCCACCCGCCAGGAGCGCCGTAGCCCGGAGCTCCCGACCCCCTTGGCGGACCGCCGATCCCACCGTACATTGCAGAGCCAGGGGGCGGCGCGTCGTACTCTGGAAAGAGGGGCGCAAAAATGTAACGCGACGCGGAAAAGTAGCAGCAACTTGAGGAATAAATATTAAAACATCCATGCTTGCCGAATCAGCCGTACTATGAAAGGAACGAGCAGAAATGTATCAGTAAGAACTGACCGTAGTCTCGTCGGCGTTTAACACTGTTTGGCGGTGTCCCAGCACCCCGTCCGCGATCGGCGGCGTATCTATCGCCGTACCGATCGCCCGCGTCATATCTCCAGTCAGCCATCCCAGAGAACGCTCAGCACAACACAGCACGAAAGAAGGAAGCAAGAAAAATCCTTCTAGTCACGAAAAGAAAAGCCTGGAACAAGGGCGCCTGTGTGGGCAAAACTGAGGTGTCTAATGGCTGGAAGGGCGAGAAAGGCGAGCTTGATGCAAGATGGGAGTAGGGGGGGAGGAACGGGGAAAGAGCTTCACGGGCGCAAACCCAATTGACAGGGTTTGAAAGCATCAGTGCGTCGAAACGGTGTAAATGTTGTGAGAGTGGTCCTATACGGTGAAACTTGGAACACAAGCTCCCAAAACGTAGAATATCGTTGAAGTATTGAATATCACTTGACCTGAGCAAATTCAGGAACTAGCGTCTAAGGCCTGGAAATCAAATTCTAAAAATTTTCCAAAAAAAACACATGATATGTTCCAACGTAGCGATTTGTTTCTCAAATCTCTTCAAATCAGGAATCACGTGCTTTGTTATACGTAGCAATGAAGTGTAGTGCCTTGCCTATCACACTGTATTAGCAGCACCAGGAATCCTTCCCCTTGGGTTTTCTCTTCCGCCCAACGCAAATCTCACCATCCCCCCACCAACAAATGTTGCAGCGATTCACCAATCAGCAGCGACGGATCGTCAAATGTAGGGATCTGGCTCGCTAGTCACTAGGGAATTTCTGATGAGCGAGCCAGGCTACTAGTTAGTAAACAGCAGCACTCCGTCGCGCACGCACTCGAAGCGTGCGGGCTCGCAGCGCTGGTAGCCAGCTTCGTGTGTTCGTTTTCCTGTGCCCCTGATCGGACGAGATCCGACATCGTGTTGTTGAAATTTAGAGAAATTCACATTCTTGTCATATCCCCTCTGGTCCATCAGTAATCAGACCAGTCATCGTTCGACCTCCGGAAGAGCCGATCGCATTAAGCCGACAAGATGGCGTTGTGCGAGGTGCATCGATCGGCCACCGTGGCCTTCGCGCCGACGGAGCCGCTTATAGCGATGGGGACTATGGCGGGAGCCATTGATCTCTCCTTCTCCTCCTCCGCCGCCCTTGAAATCTTCCGCCTCGAGTTTGCATCCACCACCGCATCCGCCGACAATCCCGCCGCATCTGCCGCCTCCTCCGGCGCTGGCGTCAGCCCCGCCGGAACCTTCGGAAACGCTGCTGACGTGTCACCGGACGATTTTTTCGGCGGGCTGGGCAGCCCTGACCAATCCGGAGGCAAGGCGGCTGGCGGAGTGCCGGGAAGCGCGGGAGCGGGGGGCGGGCGGTCGGATCTGCCGTCGCTGGGAGCGGCGACGGCGAGCGATCGGTTCAATCGGCTGTCGTGGGGATCGTGCGGCGTGGAGCAGTCGGAGGCGTTCAGCCACGGCATCATCGCGGGCGGACTGATCGATGGCACCGTCGCTCTTTGGAACCCCGCGCGCATCATTAGGTATGGCGCGCGCGGGCATTAGCATGCGATGCGCGGTGCCTCGAATCGTGGCGCCGCGTGGAATTCGACCGGTTTTCGAGTCGATTGAGATGCGTGTGAGCCGTGGTACCCGCGTGAATTATCAGGCATGCGTCCTGGATCGCTGTGTCTGATGTTGCGAGTTTTTTGTTGAAGTGTGGTCCGTGCACGCAAATTGCGGCAGTTCGCGCGAAGTTTGAGGCGCTATGCCGCTCGAATTGTTTCGTATTATTTGCAGCGATGCTTTAGATGATACAGAAGGCTATTCTGGGCTAGAAATCGGAAAAAAAAAAAATTTGCTCGTTTCTGCTGACAAGCTATTGTGTGTCATTGTCGTTCCGATGCGTGTGGTTGGTGGAGTGGCAGCGGCAAGACGGGCGAGGGAGAGGGAGCTCTCGTCGCCAAGATGTCCAAACACAAGGGCGCGGTGAGTGGCGCACAAGTGGTCGGTGAGTGGCGCACAAGCGGGCGGTGAGTGACGATCGCGAAGGAGGTTGAGGAATGAGCGCGAAAGGGCGGTAAGTTGTGAAGGTAATGTGTAGTGTTGGGAAACGAGGACTGGTTCGCTCTGCACAGGGCAGGAGCGGCAAGCACAAGGGAAGTCACACGACACACGCATGCTGAAAAGAGTGGTAGAGAATGGTTCTGTGAGGTGCGAACGATACGGGCGGACGAAGCAGCTCATTTACCTATTCCGTCCCTCGTTCTTCTAAAGGGAAACCACGTCCTTTGCATGAGCTATTCATCCCGCGCCACCTCATATCCAACCTGTGATCGCACTCATGATCACTCCAATCGCCTTGGCTCGGCATGGCAGGTGCGAGGGTTGGAGTTCAACCCAGCGGCGCCCAACCTGCTGGCGTCAGGCGCGGAGGACGGAGAGCTGTGCATCTGGGACCTCGCCAACCCCTCTGCTCCCTCGCTCTACCCCTCGCTCAAGGTCCGTGTGGGCTCCTTATTTTCGCCGCTCTCTCGCTCTATATAACTCGCTCAACGTCCCTGTGGGCTAATTTCTACCTGCCGCTCACTCTGTATATACCTCCTCGTTTAGGCTAGTCTGAGTTGCTACACCCATACACGTTCTTTATCCACCCGTCGCTAAAGGTGCCAGCGATGGTGAGCGTGGTTTGTCCGAGTGAGCGCAAGGCGTGACTCAAGGTCAGCAGCCGCCAGCCCTGTGCTCTGAGACCGACCCGCCGTTGGCTTCCGCTCGTCAGGTGGCATCCCTCCGTTCTAGGCGCCCCCCAGGAATGAAATGCTCATGCTGATTGCTGTATGCCCTCTCTGCTGTGCTGCTGTGCTGCTGTGCTGCTTTTCTGCGTGCGTGGGCGTGGGCGTGGGCGTGGGCGTGGGCGTGGGCGGGCGTGGGTGTGCGTGGTTCGAGCAGGGAGCGGGGGGAGGGCCACAGGGGGAGATATCGTGTCTGGCGTGGAACCGCAAGGTGCAGCACATCGTCGCCACCACCTCCTACAGCGGCCTCTCCGGTGCGTGCTGCCTGTGGGAGTGTCATCTCCGCGGCGAGACACTCCGCCTGCCATTGTGATCTCTCCCATCCCATCCCCCCACCCACCCCCAACCTCCCTTTTGCACACTATCAACCTCATATAAGCTTGCCTAGCGCGTTCACACTTAGACTCCACAGCATGCAACCGGCCATGCACACCCCTGAGTCCTGACATCTCCTTTCTGGAGAATTCTCTGAAGTGACATCTCCTCACACCTCCTCCACACTCCTCTGTCCCTCGCTCCCATTGACCCCTCTCATGCCTCTCTGCAGTCGTGTGGGATCTCCGAAAGCAAAAGCAGGTCATCAGGTGTGCCTCCCTCCTTCCTTCTCGTCTTTTATCTCTCTATTGGTCTCGCCCCTCTCTCTTCCGCCCTCCCTTCCCTTCATCTCTTCCTCCCGTCTCCTCCGTCCCCCCTTCCCCCATCTGTTCCCTCCTCTCGTCCCCCCTTCTCCGCCCCTCCGCACCATCCCGTTTGCTCTCCTCCTGCCTTCCACCTGCCGCCCTCAATCCTCTCTCCCTTTGCCCACGTTCCTTCTCTTGCCCTCCGCCTCCGCACCCGCCACGGCAGTTTCGCGGATCCAGTGAGCAGGAGGCGGTGCTCGTGTCTGCAGTGGAACCCCGAGATCGCCACACAGCTCATCGTTGCCTCCGATGACGACCGCTCGCCCTCCCTCCAGGTCCCTTCACTCACCTTCCCTTCTCCCCTGCTGCTACCTATGCCCCCCCGCCCCTGCTGCTACCTATGCCCCCCCGCCCTTGCTGCTACCTATGGCCCCCCGCCCTTGCTGCTACTGTTGTCCCCCTCTCCTGCTGCTACTCACCACTGACCAGATGGGGCCGTTTATTGCTCGAATCGTTATCCATCCTGCTTGCCACCTCTGCCCCCTCCTCTCCTCTCGTTCCCCACCACTCCCACACCATTCCCCCACCACTCCCACACCATTCCTCACCACCTTCCCCACCACTCCCACACCATTCCCCACCACTCCCACACCATTCCCCACCACTCCCACACCATTCCCCACCACTCCCACACCATTCCCCACCACTCCCCGGCATGCAGGTGTGGGATCTGCGCAATGCCATGTCGCCAGTGAAGGAACTCACCTCACACACCAAAGGTGCGACTTGCTGTAGCTGGAACGGGTGGGTGGGTGGGCAGATGAGCCAATTCTTGAGGCGCCAAAAAAATCAACGCCATGTCGCCAGTGAAGGAACTCACCTCGCACACCAAAGGTGCCCCTCCCTTTCCTTCCCTTCCCTCGCCGCCACTTCGCCAAACTCGTGTTGCTTGCTGCCCGCTCCATGCACCTTGACTTGGTTTCAAATACAGATCAAGTCTAGTGATGGGCCCTATTGTGAGGTTTTTAAATAGACTGGTGGGTAGTTGAGCCAAGGTGTCATGTTCCGTGTGGGTATTATAGTGCGGGACGTATGATTTGGTGGTTGGACTAAAAGTGATCTAGAGCAAGCAAACGTTCTTTACAATCTTGTCTCTCCCCCTTTCCACCCGCGCTGCCCCACAGGCGTGTTGGCCATGGCGTGGTGTCCCAGTGACAGTGGGCTGCTGCTCTCGTGCGCCAAGGACAACCGTACTCTCTGCTGGGACACCTCCGTGGGCGAGGTGAGACGTGGGTGTGGGTTGTCGAGTGTGCTTGATGGCATGTAAATTAACTTTTTAGCCACCATGCCTAACTGCTCTTGTGTGCCAATGACAACCGCACTTTCTGTTAAACCTTTCTTCACCTTCCTCCCTTTCTTCCCCTTCCTCCCTTTCGTCCCTTTCCTCCCTTTTCTTCTCTTCTTCTCCGTTTCCCCTTCCCTTCTTCTTCCCCTCCTTCTCCCCTTCCCCCCTCCCTTCCTCCACCACCTCCCCCCCCCCCCCCCCACCTCTTTCCGCCCCACCAGGTGCTGTGCGAGCTACCAGCGGGCACCAACTGGAACTTCGACCTGCAGTGGTCGCCACGCGTGCCAGGGCTGCTCTCCGCCTCCTGCTTTGACGGCCACGTCTCACTTTACAACATCGAGGTGCGTCTCTCACTCCACAGCATCAAGGTGAGTTGCTTCACAGCACTCACGCGTGAGCTTCTGTGGTTGCCGCGCGTGCCAGGGCTGCTCTCCGCCTCCTGCTTTGACGGCCACGCCTCGCTCTACATCGAGGCAAGCCATGCTTGTTCCGTGTTTGTCTACCCTTCTTGTGAAGTTGTCCTAATCGTTCTCCCAACCGCCCTTCCCTGCCCATACGCCACTGGCGACCTTCTTCTATACCAGATGTTGTCGTGTCCCCCCCTTCCCCCACCCTTTCCCTTTCCCCCCTTCCCCCACCCACATCTCCCTCTTGTTTGTTTGTTTGTTTTTTGTTTTTTGTTTTTTGTTGTTGTTGTTGTTTTTTTTTTTTTTTTTTTTTTTTTTTTTTCCCTCACGCCCTCCTTTGCTTTCTTCTCCCGCCTGTCCCAAGCAGTCGGCCAGCAGCAAGGAGTCGGACTTTGGGGCGTCGCTTGCCAACAGAACGCCCATGGGTATGCCCCTCGTTTTGACTGTGCCATGCCATGCCATGCCACGTCATTTATGACGCCGTCATGTGCCACATAGACAAATCTCTACCTGCCATCATTGCGATGTGCCATGGAGCCACTCGTTGCCCTGTTTCACTGTTGAAAACCCTCCTCTCCCATTTCCAACTGTTCCCCCCGTCCCCCCAATCCCCCCCCAGCAACATCCCGCGCGCCCAAGTGGTTGAAGCGGCCCTGCGGAGCAACCTTTGGCTTCGGCGGGCGGCTGCTGTGCTTTGGAAGCAAGGCGGGGCAGGCGGGCGCGCAGGTGGCGGTGCACAGTGTGGTGACGGAGGAGGGCGTGGTGGCCCGCGCTGACGAGTTTGAGGCTGCTGTTGCAGGCGGTGACAGGGAGAACCTCAAAGCCTTCTGCCAACACAAGGCGCAGCTCGCCTCGTGAGTGGCACTTTGGGTGGTGATGGGGTGGTGATGGGCTGGTTTTTGTGTGCTTTCGGGCAAGGCGGTAGGGGAGGGGGCGCAGGGGGGGGGACAAGGGGGGGCGCAGGCGGGGGGGGGGGGGCCAGGGGGACCACAGGAAGGGCAGGTGGCGGTGCACAGGGTGGTGACGGAGGAGGGTGTGGTGGCCTGCGCTGACGAGTTTGAAGCGGCTGTGGCGGGCGGCGACAGGGAGAACCTCAAAGCCTTCTGCCAACACAAGGCGCAGCTCGCCACGTGAGTGGCACTGAGGGTGGTGGTGGGGTGGTAAAGGGGGAAGGGGTTGGAGGGCAGAGGCATTCTACTTGTGTGCTGTGGGCTGTAAGTTGTGGGCTGTGAGCTGTGGGCTGTGGATTGCTGTGACACTGTGTGCTCACGTGCATGGAGACTTGAACGGTTTCAGGTGCATGAGGCTTGAACAACAAGGCATGAGTCTCACACTACTTGGCACCCCCTCCCTCCCCCCAGCGCACCAGAGGACAGGGAGGGAGACGTGGGACTTCCTCACAGCTCTCTTTGAAGACGACGCCCGTCGCAAGCTGCTGGCACTTTCAGACATCTCAAAAGCGACTCCCTCTGCTCCCTCCCACCCACTAACCCCCCGCTTCCCTCTCCTCAGTGCACCAGAGGACAGGGAGACATGGGACTTCCTCACAGTGCTCTTTGAGGACGACGCACGCCGCAAGCTGCTGGCGCACCTGGACTTCCCCCCCATCCACATCCCCCACCCCACCCTGCCCCCCGCCGAAGACCCCGCCGCTGCCGCCGCTGCTGCTGAAGCCGAAGCAGCTGCAGCAGAGGCCGCGGCGGGAGAGGCAGGAGCAGAGGCGGTGGCAGCAGGAATGGGAGGTCTGTCCCTTGACGGTGCTGCTGCTGGTGGTGCTGGTGCTGATGGTGGTGATGGATCAGGGGTTGTGGCAGGGGCTGGGCTGGATGGAATCCCGTCCGCCACGGGCGATGTTGATTTCTTTGACAACCTCGCTGGCAGCACCACCCCTAACGCTGCTGCTGCTGCCGCCGCTGCAGCCGCAGCAGGGGAAGCCGAAGGGGAAGCCCCGGGGGAGAACGGCGAGATCACCGGGGACGGGGCAGGGGAGGGGGAGGCGGACGAGGAGGAGGAAGAGGAGGAGGAAGGAGGGGAGGAGGAGGGAGGGGGGGAGTGGGAGGGCGAGGTGCAGCGGGCGTTGGTGGTGGGGAACTATGAAGCCGCGGTGGAGAGGTGTCTAGCAGCGGGCAGGGTGGCGGACGCGCTCGTGCTGGCGGCGGTGGCGGGGTTTAATTCCGACCTCTGGGCGCGCACCCAGCGCTGGTACCTCCGCCGCAACCGCCGCCGCTCCTTCCTCAAGGTGGGCCGTGTGCTCTGACTTGACTTCTGACTTGTGAGAGGTTGCCGTGTGCTCTGAGTAGTGGTTATGATACCGTGAACCACCCCGAGGCCTTGACAATTCCCTCCAGCTTGAATCCAACCAAGGCTTGCATAAGAACACTCCCCTCGTTTTGTCGCTCCAGCTTCACCTAGCTCTAGTCTCCCTTGTGTTTTTTGTTCTGTGAGACGCAGTGAGTTAGTGGCAACAGTGCGTTTCCTTGTATGTGGCTCCTCTTCCACCCCTTGCACCCCGGCACCTTAATCCCTTCTTCCCCTTTCCCCCTCCCTCCCCAACTTCCCCTTGCCCACCCGCTCTTCTCCTTTCCCCATCTCCACACCTCTGTGCCTCCGTCCGCATGCTCATCTCATCCCTGGCGGGAAACCCTGGCCTGGGGGAGCACAGCTGCTGGGCGCGCTGGTGGCGAGGCGAGGCGAGCGACACCAAAGTGTTTGTGGCGTCACAGCCCGAATCGCCCCTTCCCATTCTTCAACCCCCGTTCCCTCTCCTCCTCCCCTCCCCTCTCCCCCCCCCCCTCCATGTGGACATGCAGCTGCTGGGAGCGGTGGTGGCGAGTGACATGAGAGGGCTCGTGGCATCACAGCCTCCTTCAACCGTCCTTCCCATGCTTTAACCCTCGTCCCCTCTTCCCCCCCCCACCCCTTCCCCCCCCCTCCTTGGCGTGTCACAGCTGCTGGGAGCGGTGGTGGCGAGTGACATCAGAGGGCTTGTGGCATCACAGCCGCTCTCCGACTGGCGGGAAACACTCGCCATGCTCTGCACTGTAAGCCCGCTCTTCTTGCTTACTGATTCTTGACCTTCATTTCATCCATGCCCTCTATTTTCTTTCGTTTAGCCATTTCTAGGCTCGCAGCCGATGACCATCCAGTTATCCTGCTTCCCATTCACCCTCCCTTCTTCGCTTCCCCTCCACTCGTTTCACCTTCCTCCTCTCTCTCCACCCCCCGGCCCTCACAGTACGCATCGAGCCGTGAGTGGCCGGTGCGGTGTGACGAGCTGGCAGCGCACTTCCCATTCACTCACTCTTCTTGCTTCACCCCCATTTGTTTCACCTACCTCCTCCTCCCCCTCTCTCTCTCCCCCCTCCTTCCCCCTTCCCCCCGTTTTTCTCCCTCTTCCTCTTCTTTTTGACAGTACGCGCCGAGCCACGAGTGGTCAGTGCTTTGTGACGAGCTGGCAGCGCGGCTGGAAGCAGAACACATGACTGCCCCGTGCTCCCTCTTCCCATTCACCCACTCACCTACCGTTCCCGCTCCCCCTCCCCCCCCCCCCTCCCTCCCCTCTCTCACAGTACGCGCCAAGCCACGAGTGGTGCTGTGTGACGAGCTGGCAGCAAGGCTGGATTGACTTTTAAGTCGACTAAAAACTCCACCCCCTATCCTCGTTTTCCCTTCATCCGTGTCACCTTCCCCACCCCTCCCCTCCCCCCACAGTACGCGCCAAGCCACGAGTGGTCCGTGCTGTGTGGCGAGCTGGCAGCGCGGCTGGAAGCGGCGGGGCAGTGGCAGGCGGCCACTCTTAACTCTAATTTTGAGTCGTTTCAAAAACCCCCCTCACTTCTCCCCTCCCCCCACAGTACGCGCCGAGCCACGAGTGGTCGGTGCTGTGTGACGAGCTGGCAGCGCGGCTCGAGGCAGCGGGGCAGTGGCAGGCGGCAACGCTGTGCTTCATGTGTGCGGGCTCCATCGACCGTGTCGTTGACATCTGGGCCTCCCGCCTGCAGCCCTCACAGGGGTCCCCGCCCCTGCCGCACCTGCAAGTGAGTTCGCTCTAGAGACTACTGTGCATGGATGGCTTTTGAGGCGCCTTGAAAGGCGATGCTGTGCTTCATGTGTGCTTCATGTGTGCGGGGTCCATTGACCGCGTGGTGGACATCTGGGCCTCGCGCCTGTAGCACGAGCAGCCCTCACAGGGGTCCCCGACACTGCCGCACCTACAAGTGAGTTCAGTCTAGAGGCAATACGTGGATGGATGTTCTGCCTCCATGTTTCCCCCCTTTCCCCCCTCCATTCTCCCTCTCCCCCCTCCATTCTCCCTCTCCCGCCTCCATTCTCCTTCTCCAATACCTTTTGGTCAAATGCAGGATCTTATTGAGAAGGCAGTGGTGCTGGGCTTGGCTACAGGACAAAGCAGAGTTGGCGGCAGGTGGGCGGCATCGCTCGTCTCAGAGTACGCAACTGTACTGGCGGCGCAGGGCCGGGCGGCGGCGGCACAGCATCTGTTGTCTCTTCTGCCGCCGTGGGAGGAGAGTGTGAATGACCCGAGTGTGGCGGAGGCTGCCAAAGCTGCTGCTGCCTTGAAGGAGCGCATCTACCGCAGTGGCCTCGGTGAGTTGCTGTTCGGGGTGTGTGGGTGTGTGGGTGTGTGTGTGGGTGTGGGGAATAACAAGAAGGAGAATAAGAAGGTCAATTTGTTTAGACTGGTGGGAGATCGGAATCTCTTCTTGCATTTGCTACAACAAAGAAACTGCATTTGCAATGCATTCTCTCATGCATTCAGCTAACTCAGCAAACTCCTTGCCTTGTCCGTGCCGTCCGTTCACCGCAGTTGCCGTGGACCCCTCACAGCCCGCCCCACCCTTCCCCTTCACGCCTGTGGATGTGCCTCTTGGCTCCACCACCACCACCACCACTGCTGCTGCCAAGCCATATGCCGCACAGCAATCAGCATATGCTGCTCCTGCTCAGCCTTCCTACTATCAGGCACGTACCTGCCTCATCTCCTGCCCGGCATTGGTTTTTGGCCACAATGCTGCTGCTGCTGCTGCTGCCGCCGTCTGTTAGTCAGCGGTTACTGCTGCGTATGCTCACTCTTTTTTGTATCAGCTCTGCACCCCTAGTAAGCTGTTAGCCTTTTCTTTTTGCTGTCCGTTTTCCTTTCTCCCTTTTCCGATTTCCGTTCTCCCCTCACCCTTCTCCGTTCTCCCATTTCCGTGTTCCGTTCTCCTCTCTCCCTTCCGCTTTCTCCCATTTCCATGTCTTAATCACACCTCTCCCTTTTCCATCCACAATCACCGGCACCTGCCCAAGCTGCCCCACAGCAGCCACAGCAGCCGATCGCTCACACCCCCCCTTTCCCTGTCTCCCATTCCCGTGTCTTGTTCGCCCCTCTCCCATGTTCCATCCACAGTCACCGGCACCTGCCCAGGCTGCGCCGCAGCAGCCACAGCAGCCGATCGCTCACACCCCACCTCGCCCGCAGCAGCAGCAGCAGCCGCAGCAGCCCCAGCAACGGCATCCGCAAAGCTCCTATGCTTCCACATATCAGCCCCCGCCCGTTGCTCCTCCTGCTCAGTCCTATGCCCAGCAGCAACAGCAGCAGCAGCAGCAACAGCAACAGCAACAGCAGCAGCAGCAGCAGCAGCAACAGCAACAGCAACAGCAGCAGCAGCAGCAGCAACAGCAACAGCAACAGCAGCAGCAGCAGCAGCAGTATCAACAGCAACAGCAGCAGCAGCAGGTGCAGCAGCAGCAGTATCAACAACAGCAGCAGCAGCAGCAGCAGCAGCAGCAGCAGCAAGGAGCAAGGCCACACATGTTCATGCCCACTGCACCGCCCCCGGGTGTGACTATGCCGCAGCACCCCCCTCCCATGCAGCCCATGCAACCCATGCCAACAGGGCAGGCAGCACCAGGCGCACAGGTGAGCGCTTGCCTTTTGAGACGTCTCAAAAGGCGCACAGGTGAGCTCTTGTCCCCACAACAACACATACATGTGCTCTGCTGTGCATCTGCCCTCTGTTCTACTGCTCCTGCTGCTTCTTCTCCTCCTGCTGCTGGGGCAGCAGCGCAGAGAGCGTGTGAAAGCTGTGCTTAGATGGGCGGACTGTTGGTATTTCTTTTCAGCTCATGGGTCTGGGCAGCTCAGTCTCTTCTCATGCACTTCGTTTCCTCTGCTTCTTCTCCCACGTGCCATCCCTGTCACCCTGCTTGCTTCTACTCTTACCCTTCCCACCCCTCCCCAGCCGTCCTTCATGCCTGTTGCTCCCCCGCCTGTGGCCGCCCCCCCTCCATCCGCCCATCACATGCCCTCCGGCCCTCCAGTAAGCCCCTCTGTCCCACTCCATTTGTACCCCCTCTCACCGATCTCAACCAATTGCTTGTCGTTTCTCTCATCCTTCACGCCCTCCTTCCCAACCAACCAACACTCCTCCCAACCCGTTCCAACCTCCACCTCCCCCCCATCAGCCGGGGGTGATGATGCCGTCGCAGCCGCCACCAGCAGTGCGCACAGCGCAGGGCCCTCGCCCCGTGGCCTTCAATCCCTCCTGTCCAACCAACACTTCTCCCAACCCCTCTTTCCCCCCCACCCCCCCCCCCCAAACCTCCACCTCCCCCCCATCAGCCAGGGGTGATGATGCCCACGCAGCCGCCACCAGCAGCACGGGCAGCACAGGGACCCCGCCCCGTGGCCTTCAATCCCTTCTCTCCAACCAACACTTTTCCCCCCCACCCCTCCCCTCCCCCCCCAACCACCATCCCAACCCCCTCTATCAGCCGGGGATGATGATGCCGTCGCAGCCGCCACCAGCAGCACGGGCAGCACAGGGACCCCGCCCCGTGGCCTTCACCCCCGTGGCTCCCCCCCCCGCCCACCGCATGCCCACCGGCCCCCCTCCCGGCATGGCCCCCACCGCCCCTCCCCCCGGGGTCTTCCCCCCTGGCGCGCCCCCACCTGGGGTGCTCCCCCCCGGAGTCCCCCCCCCTGGCGCTGCCCCCATGATGCGCCCCACTGGTCCCCCTCCCGGCGTGCGCCCCCCTGCTGCTGCTGTGGGTGCGCCTGGGGCGGCGGCTGCTGCTGCTGTGGCTGCGCCTGCCCCTGCTGCTCCCGAGGCTGCGCCGCCCGCCCCGCCGCCCACGGTGCAAACAGCCGACACCTCCAACGTGGCCCGTGAGTGTGCTGCTTTGCACAAGCTGGTCTTTGAGAAATGAGAAGAACCAGAGGGCACTTCTTTGCCTGCCCTCTCGTTTCTCTCTTCTTCCACCGCCCCGCCGCCCACGGTGCAAACAGCCTACACCCCCAACGTGGCCTGTGAGCTTTCTTTCTTTGCCTGCCTCTCTCGTCTCTCGTCTTCCCCTCCTCACCCCCACTATGTGGCCCGTGAGTGTGCTTCCTTGCCTGCTTTCTCATGTCTCCCTGCTTTGAGACAAGCTGGGTTCCAAAAAAAAAAAAAAAAAAAAAAAAAAAAAAAACGAGTGTTCTGCTTTGCCTGCCTCTCTCTCCTCTCTTCCTTTCTCCCCCTCCCTCCACAATGTGGCCCGTGAATGTGCTTCTTTGAGACAAGCTGGCTTCTGATTAAAGTAGTGTTTTGAGACGTCTCAAAGCTCTCTTTCTCTCTCCCCTCCCCCCTCTCTCTCTCTCCAGCTGAGCTGCGCCCGGTGGCAGGCACGCTGGGGAGGGTGTTCTGAACTTACTCTTTCACTCTCGCTGCCACTCTCTTTCTCTCTACCCTTCCCCGTCCCCCCCCCTCTTTCTCCCTCTCTCCCCAGCTGAGCTGCGCCCGGTGGCAGGCACGCTGGGGAGGGTGTTCAAGGAGGCGGCAGCGGCGGTGGCGGCGCAGGGCAATGCGGGGAAGAGGAGAGAGATGGACGCCAACAGCAGGAAGCTCGGGCTGCTGCTGCAGCGCCTCAACCAGCGCGATGTGTCACCCTCCGTCTCTCAGAAGCTAATGCCTCTCTGTGCTGCACTCGATGCCGGGGACTATGCCACTGCTCTGCACATCCAGGTGGGTGGAGAGCGGTGGTGAGAGATGGATATATGTGTTGTGTTGCACTTTGCCAGAGGCACGTGCACATTTCTCCCCCAGCGCATACACAGGCACAGACACATATCTCCTCCCGCCAACATAAAAAAAACACACACGTACACACACTCACACGTGCCCTCTTCTGCCATACTGCCCTCCTTACCTCTATCATTCCCCTCTCACATCCCCCCCCTCTCCCCGGCAGGTGGATCTGACGACCAAGGACTGGGAGGAGTGTGGCGTGTGGCTCACGGCACTCAAGAGCGTCATCAAGACGAGACAGCAGCTCGGATGAAGGGCTGCTTGCTGGGATGAGGGCTTTGAGAATTCTCAAAAGCGATTTCCAATACTGGGAGGAGTGGAGTGTGGAGTGCGGCTCACGGCACTCGAAAGCGTAATCGAGAAGAGACAACAGATTGGATGACAGGGCTGCTGGGATGAGGGTTTTGATGCCTTGATGGTTACCAGCGTCCGTGTGATGGTTATGCCGGCACGTTGACTAGATAACTAGGAGTGCAGGTTACAAGTGCAGGGGACACTTGCAGCGGAGAAGAGGGTCTTGATGCGATGATGATTACTAGCATTTGTTTGATGGTTATGCCTGGATGGCGGTGGGCTGTGGGTAGTCGTTTCAGTAGATTACAGGAGTGCAGGTTACAGATACAAGGGACACTTGCAGTTGCACATGATTAGCAAGCTATGTCTGCCAATCTTGGGGCGAACAATGTTGTGTTGTGCCACCATGGCAGACATCAGAAGTGCTGTGTTGTGCTGTCATTGTTGCTGGAACTGGCAGTTTCACTCAGATTTTATGGCTTGTTGTGAAACACTTGAATGATAGAAACAGGGCAGAATATCATGGAAACTTCTTCTCCCACCATTTCTTTCATGCCTTATGTGTGCTAGTAGGTATGCCTCCAAGCAATTCCCCATACTTGCTCCACATGTGCCGCTCTATCCACACGGTACCTCCATAGTATTTCATTTATACCATAAGACCAAATGCATAAGGTAGAAAAAAACATCAACAGTGCACTCCAAAAGACACACGCTTAGCAGTGCCTCTCTGGCTTCACTGACTAGAGAATGTTGCCTCAAATGGGGTTGTTGACAAATGCGCCCTTGTTCAAGCATGTGCAGATCTTTTGGGTGTGACGCGACGCGAGTTACCGTCGGCGGCGCTCTGGCTTGGATTTCAGAGCAAGGCGCCCGCCTGAGGGTCATTCATTGGAGCACGTGGGCCTCTGTTACCACGTGAGCACTGTAGCGCTCTGTAGCCTAGCCCAACCCACCCCCTGCGAGTGCAACTAACGACCGTTCGCGAAACACAAGTTTTCGCGGTGCGTTCACATCGCATCGTGGTGGTGGCTGGTGGTCGTTGCAGCATTGCCCCCACAGTAAGCCCCCCATCACTCCACCACCCCACCCCACCTTCCACCACCACTCCGCTGACCCCGTCGTTCGTGCGTGCGAATTCTCACGAGCGGCCACTCGTGTGTAACATTCTGTTACTAGTCCCCTCCACTCGTCAAAGATTTCGCCACTGCTTCTTCCTCCTGCTCTTCTTCCAGCTCTACGCTCTCTTCCTCATCCAATTGCACCTCCGCAGTAATTATGACGTTTACTTGTTCCTCAGGCCCCATGAGGCCTTTCTATTTGGTCCTAAAATGGGTTGTCCAGGCTTTACGGGATTGTTCAAGAATCTGACACGCGCCAACAGGTCGACTCACCAACAGAATTGCGCGTTTCACCCTTTGCGTGGGGTGCGGCATTGTGGTCTCTCTGTCCTTTCCGTACCATACCCGTTGAGCATATCCCGTGGCGTCCTTCTGCCCAAGTTTCTTCGCATGTCGTTGGCTGTTCGGGTGCCTTTCCTGCAGTCAGGGGAAAAGCGAAACATGGATCCTCAGCAATATCGCCAGCAACATTGCCAGCAAGGCATGCTCTCCGGTTCATAAATATCTTCGTCCAGATGAACTCGCGTGACGTCAGCATCATCATCAGCGCATTCCGTCCGCCTCACGCCACGCCTCTGGCATCTCAGATCAGACCTAACCCTCTCTGTACTGATTCTCGACCCTCAGGTTCCACCGGGGAGAGTGAGGCAAGGATGGATGGGGTCGGGTCGGGTGAAACCGTGGAACATGCATGTGCTTGTCTTGACGCAGTGCGTGCGTCCCATGCCATGAAAGGAAAGTTGGGCTGTGGGAGGGACAGACGGGCCATGAAGGGAGGGAGTCAGGGGACGGGTCACAGGACGCACACTCAACGGTGAATGTCGGTTCGGTGCGTTCGGGTTTGGTTCAACGGGGTCAAGGAGCAGGACGGGTTTGTCGGGCATGGAGTGTTGAGCCTTGCGAGTCGCGACGCCATGCCATTGCTGACGTGGCGCGACGGTGGAGCGTCATGCTCATTAACACTGTGGATACTTTCGTCATGCGTGGCGCATGAACGTGTGTACTATCATGATACTTCCCCAGGATACTGCGGATACTTCAGCTCGTCCCATCTGGTCAGTGTCGCCTCAGCAGCGCGCAGCGTTTCGCGCCAACCGTAGATCAACTGTAACTCGATTCATCGAACGGCCAGATCTCGTTAGCACGACACCTGTCACGCCACGACCCGTAGATCCCGACTTGCCGGTGCTGTTAGTAGCAGTGCTGCAAGAGGTACTTGACTCGCCATCGGGGGGGGGGGGTACCTCCGATGAGCCATCATGTACAGCATGAGCCATCGGGATTCGGGTTACAGTGTACTGCGGCAGCATGAGCCATCGGGCGAGCATCAGCGGTCACATGGCGGCATCCTTGTCTCCAGGGACACACACAGACAGACAGCCTCGGCTCGTTTTTCCAGGGCCGCGCCAGACTCACAGAATTCGACAATGTCAACCCCAACTCAGCCTTCTTCGCGGCTCCCCGCAGTGTCGTTCCGCGCTTCCTCCTCCGCCGTGAAGCGGTCCCAATTCCTTGAGGCACTGCCGCTCGTGCGAGCACAGCGCATCGCAGCGCAGCAGCAGCATCCCGCTGGCCTTCGGCTCGAATAGTCGAACTAGCACATAGCAACAGCAGAAGCATTGATTGCTATTAGCAATCGTCCCAATCGTCCCAGCTGTCACTGCTGTTTCCGCTGTTAAAGTCGCTGTTGAGAAATCCTCTGAAGAGTGACTCCTGATACCGCCGCACATGAAATTCGTTCGACCTTTGCGTCTAATCAGAACCGAGAGGCGTTTCATTAGCGGCTCTGCCCATCCTTCATTCGCCCCCGAAAAGCGATAAAGCGGCCGAAGCAGACAATTTCCTCCAATGATGGTCATTCCCCTTCGTTCGCGCAGACACAGTCTTGTCTCAGCCAACCGCACCGTGCGGAAGCGAGCTCCTTTTTGGTACCCACCCCACATTCAAGCACCATACCTACCCCGTTTCATCCGATCAGGCTTTGTCGTCTCAGCTCCTTTTCGCCGAAAGCAAAAAGGAGGAGTCCAGCTACTACCTTGGCGTTTCATCATCCGAACCCGGTCCAGCGCCGCGCGATCGTCTCCTCTCATCGTCTCAGCTCCTCGCGACGCACGAGCGCCGCTTCCCGCGGTCGCAGCAAGCCGCATTTCCCCACATGGCGGACGTTTCCCCACGCCGCGTCGACAGCCGCCCTGCTGCGGCCAATGCGGCGGCGACGGCGACAGCAACGGCGACTCTGACGGCGCCGACGTGGGACTTTCTCACGGTGCACACGCGGCGCGCATTGAAACGGCGACACAGCGAGCGCGACGAGCACGACGAGCGAGAAGGCCGGGACGACTCATGGGATGCGTCGGAGCAGGATACGCGGGATGCGTGGGATGCGTGGGATGCGCGGCGCAGCACCAATGGCGACGATCCGAGCCGTCTCATGTCTCTCATGCTCGCCAACTCCTCCTCCGCCCACTCCGCGCGCCCCTCCTCCTCCGCCCATCCCGCGCACCCCCGCGCCAATGACGCCGCCGTCGCCACCGCTAACCCCAGCCCGCGACCCCTCTCCGGTCTAGCAGAACCAGTTACCCCCCCGTCGGCATTCCCGCCAAGCGTCAAACCCGCCGCATTTGCCGGCCTGGGAAGTCACGGTCACGGTCTCGCCCCCATTTGTGCCACTCCCGCTTCGGTTTCAGCTTCTCACGCTGACTCGCTCCATGCGAGTCCTGCCGCGTTTCCGCCGCCGCCGCTGTCTGCGCTCTTCACACTCCGCCAGGCGTCCATCCCCCGCGGCGCGCTGCTGCCTCTGCCCGAGCTGCTTCTCCCCGGCCTGCCACGTGGCGGCCCAGGGGCTGCCTCTCTGCCAGAGGCTCTTTTCCGCCGCCTGCTTGACTGGGTTGACCGGGTTGACCAGCATTACTGGATTGACTGGCTTGACAGGCATTACTGGATTCACTGGCTTGACTGGCGTGACTGGGTTGACTGGCTTGACTGGGTTGACTGGCTTGACTGGGTTGACTGGCTTGACTCGCGCTACAGGCGGTGCTGGCGCTGGCGGAAGCAGCGGTTTCTCGTGCGCCCTGTGCGGGCGCACATTCCCGACGGTGCACGCGCTAGGGGGTCACAAGACCATGCACCGCAAGAGCATGCAGCGGAAAGGCATGCATGGGGCACACGTTAGTGCCACCAGCACCAGCGGCACCAGGAATGGCGGCAGCGGGAGGAGGAAGGGCAGCAGCAGCGCCGGCAGGAATGGCGCCAGGAACGGCATTGTGAGCAAGAATCAGGGCAGCAGCAGCAGCAGTGGTGGTGAGCTTCCCAGCAGTGGAGTGAGGCCTGAGCTGCCATCGCCTGCACGCTACCTTAAGAGGTGCAAGGTCGTTGCTGCTGATGTTGGTGATGCTGATGCTGCTGCTGCTGCTGCCTCTGCTGATGCTGCTGCCTCTGCCACTGCTCAACAGAAGACCTCAGAGCGCCCTTCAGCAAAAGGCAGCACTCCAGCCAAAGCCTCTTCCCCCACCCCGCCAGTCACGCCGTCAAACGAGGAAGCTGCGCCGGCTTCATGGCCCAAGGCAGGGCCTGCATTGGAGCCTTCACGGCCTGCATTGGAGCCTTCAGGGCCGGCAGACAAGGGCCTTCTGACTCAGGGGGCTGCGGTGCTGTGTGAGGGCCATGCGGATGCGGTGGAGAGCGGTGGAGAGATGGCGAGCCCTAGAGGGGAGCATGGAGATGTGGGGATGGTGGGCGAGCAGGCAATGGGGGAGAGTGGCGGGGCGTGTGAGGAGCAGATGCGGGAGCAGCTGAAGCAAGCTATCAAGGAGCGGCTGGCGCAAGCACAGCTGCTGCAAGCACGCCTGCTGCAAGCACGCCTGGTCCATACACAGGTGCTGCAGACACGGCAGGTGCTGCACTCGGATGGGGAAGGCGAGCACACCTCGTGTTCAACGGCTGCCGGCGTTGCTCCACGGTCGCCCCCCGCACTGGTTCTTCAGGCGACCCAGAATAAATGCTCACAAGGGGAAGGTGCACCCACGTCATTCTCACCTGCTGCTGTCACCACATGCTCGCCTGCTGCGGTCACCGCATGCTCTCCTGCTCCCGTTGCCGCATGCTCGCCCACTGCATTGTCCACCACGGCAGGGCCTGTGTGTGCGGCGGACTTGAACCTACCGCCCGCTGACGTGGCAGGGGCGATGGAGAGCGAGGCAGTGGTTGTGGAAAGCGAGGATGCGGATCTTGCCCTGGCTGCCATGGCAATCGAGTGCGAGGCGCGGGAGGCACGGGAGGCGGGGAAGGCGCGGGAGGCACGGGATGCAGGGGGTCTACCTGCCTCTGATGAGTGCATGGCTGAAACTGACACTCCTTGCACCGCTCCTGGCTGCAGTGCACAGGGAGATTTTCCTGGCACAGCATGCCCTGCGGGTCGAGATGCCAGTGCCGATGCCCCTGGGAATGCTCCTGGGATTGCCCGAGATGCGGTGTTTCTGTTCGCTTGTAACCTGGGAGCTGAGAAGGTTTCTGGTGCTAATGATGTTTTTGCTGCGAACAGCAGTAAGCTGGATGGTGCGGATAGTCGGGCCGGGTGCTTAGATTTGACCTTGCGCCTATGACGAATGGAATCGAGATTGCACTCGTTCAGGTTAGCCTCTGATGCGTTGCAGCTCCATGCACATATGGAGTGTAGGGTGGCCCATTTCTAATGAGCTTGAGGATCCCAAATTGGGAAACTAGGTCATAGGAATGCTTCGAGCAGGGACGGCAAGTCTATGATCAGCCTTCTTCGTTAGTATTGATTTTTACATATTTTTTCCGTGTCAGAGTGGGATTAGAATTTGTACCTCACATTGCGTGATTACAGAAGCCTTGGTCTTGACAAGGTTTGATTTGAGAGTGAAAGATGATAAAAGTACCGGTACATCCAATTTTGGCATACGGTATATCCCAGAGCTCAGCTAAAGATCTACAGTAGATCAATACACTAGTAGTACATGCAGACAGCAACCCATCAGGTTTGGGGAAAAAAGACATTGATTTCAGCAGGGACGCTATCTCCTAACAGAGAGAGGCCATGTGGTATAAACATACCATGCCAGCTCCATAAGACGCCTGGTCTTCAGGGAGCCTCAAAATCACCGGATCGATATCTAGAGTACTGCTGTACCTGTGAGCCGTGCATGGCACTTCATCGTAGATTTCAAGGGTTTGGCCACGGAGACACCCCAAGGGATTCGCCGCACCAAGTCTGGAGCACGCTCGGCACAAGACTAAACGACGACAGCTTTTAAAGCTGCGGTATACATTTGAAAGGAAGAGTTCAAAAACTTTTGAAATTTGAAAAGTTGCCCCAAACCTGTGAGGCTTACTCCCTAAACCCTGAACCCTGCTGACAAATGTATACTAGTTGTGCCCACGAGATGATGCTCGTGTCGTCATGGCTGCCCATGTCGTGACGACAGCTTAAAACGCGATGACGGCTTTAGAGCATGTAGTGTGCCAACGAGATGACCATGACACTCGTGTCATCATAGCTGCCTCGCTTCCCAGCAGCTTCCACCAGCTTTTGACACGCCAGCAGCAGCGCAGACTTCACCGACTCTTCGGTCCCCTGCGCCTTGGCTCCCGAACCAGCTTCCGCCTCTCCGCTCTCCTCCGATTCACTCCCCTCGCTGCCATCACCTTCCTCGCTGCCCTCGCTGACGTCATTCCCGCAGTCTTCACTGCTGGATGACACATCAGAATCCTCGGTTGAAGTGCACCTAGTGATATCGGGACCCTGGTTGTCCCCTTCTTGGGCAGATTCAGTAACCTGTTTCAGACTCCCGACAGCAAAAACGCTGCTGGTACGCTCTCGGGGTGTTTTTAGGGCAAATGGGTTGAGCTTGGCGTTGGAATCGGCGTCCGGGGAAGGTGTTGTGAGGCCATCGTCCGATGCGGATTCTTTGCCGTCGGAGTTGAGAGTGAGAGACGAGGATTCGGTGGAGGTGGAGGAGAAGGAGGGGATGGTGGAAAGAGATGATTCTCTTGTTTTGGCGGAGGGTGGGTTGTTTCGCTTGAACGCCTTGATTTCGGCCTCGAGGCAAGATCGGGCAATGTCGACAGCTTCTTGATTGGTCACCTGAGAGTGGAAAACCAGGGAAAAAAAAATGCAGAAGGAACGCGTGAGGATGCGCTGTCTATCATATGCATGGCCTCTTTATCTAGAGACGTAGATGGACGGACGCCATTAAGTATCGGAGAAAGTGAGCACTGGGAACAAACAAGTAAGGTGTGTGCAAGAACTTACCACATCCCAGAGTCCATCTGATGCCATAATTAGAAAATCGCAGTCTCTCGTAACGGGTACATGAACCACTTCTGGTTCCGGGGTGATGTACTCCTTATAGTTAGCATCGCCAAGGCCTCGAGTAACAGCCAGCACTCCCTGCACGCGCCATGTGCCCGTGAAATTATCCACGTGACCTCCCAGGTTCTCGATTCTGTCTCGCTCGTCTTCCCGAGACGCCTTGTGATCTGACGTCAGAACACTGGCAGCGCCCTTTCGGCAGAGCACGGCGCGACAGTCGCCTGCATGTGCCACGTGGATCGAACCAGGGGCAGCCCAGCACGTCACCACAGCCGAACCGCTGCCCAGGTTCTGCCGAGACACATCGCGAGGGAAGTGAACGGTTCGGATTAGCAACGATATCAGCGGGAAGCCGATAAAGCGGGGTAGTGAAAGAGAAAGAACGAGGGAGATAAAGTGCATGAGTGTTACCTGTTGAAGAAACTGTTTATCGGTCTCCTTAAAGCCTTCCACCAGAGCCGCTTCCGGGCTCTCGGCGCCTTGTTGCGCCGCTTTCAGAACGTTCCCCGCGATGTTGCCCGCCGCGAATCGCGCCGCCATGGTGCCACCGTGGCCGTCGAACACGCCGAAGAAGGCCTGGGGACGACAAAAGCGAGAGACACGGGCATCAGGTGAGGTTCAGGCGTGGAAAAATACCAGACGGAAACGAGCATGCGGACATACAGCGACGGATGACATAGCGAAGCGGAAGAGGGGTTGGGTTGGGGAAGAAGTGAATCCAGGAGGGAGGGGAAAGTGGGATAGGAAGGGGGGAGGGAGTGGGGGGTGTGGGGAAGGAATAGGGCAAAATAAGGCATGCACTCGTCAGCGCGCAGTGCGCACACACATTTCCGGGAGACGTGCCGAACTGCGGGATGGCCTGGTAAGCATCCTCCATGAACTCGCGCCGCCCTTTTTTGCACATCACGGCGTACGAGTGACCCACGGCCACAAGTTCGCTCGCCTCCTCCGTCTCCTGCGCGCGCGTGCTTCGCGGCGTATTTCCCGGCGTGTTTCCCGGCGTCGTTGTCGGCGAAGCGGTGAAAGAGTCCTTCGCGGGGATGTTGAGCATGGGCGGGCGTTTTCGCTTCAACCGCGGATTTTCGTCGCGTTTGCGCAACGGCGAGGCGACTTTTCGCGAAAAAAGCGGCGAGCTCGGGCCAGCCTCCGACGAGCAGAGTCGCAGGCGACTGAACTCGCGCGACGTCGGCAGTCGCAACTTGGGGCTGATGATCTCGGGCTCGTCGCACGTGCGACTAGCGCTGCTGTTGTTGCGCGACAGGCAGGCGCTGCTGCCCTGGCTCGCTCGGTCCCACGGTGAGTCGCCAGCGCAGGCCGCGATCGCAGAGTCGCTGGAGCGAATCGCCGACGACAATGCGACATCGCTCGTGTCTGAGAAGAGGCTGCGGGACCGCGGGCAGGGCCCTCGCGGAGTGTCGCAGACGGCATGAAAAGCGGGGAAGGACGGGGCGGATAGCTGGCTCAGCAGCACGGCGGACTTTTGCATCGCGTTTGAACTGAGCGATCGGCCCGGCTTGGCCTCCGATTGGAGGTCGGTGCTCAAGGAACGTCGTTTATGTTCCCTCATTGTGAGGAAATGTGCGTGGCAGGAGCGGTAGTGATAGGAGGAATGTCTGATGCAAGTACGTGAAGAGAGGACTTCGGTAATAAGAGTGCTATTCGAATCAAGGAGCGCTTGACCTGGTCTGGAGAATTGGAGATGGGAACTATGATATCAGCATGGAAACTGGTTACTGCGGCAGTAAGGATCCTGCGGAACTATGAAAATTGAGATCGAGATGATTGAGCTGAAATGCTATGGCTTCTGGAGGCGGTGTAGTGGCATGACAAGCAACGCGTGGGGATTAGCCAATGGAGGAAATTACTGGAGCGAGCAAGCATAGCAAGAGCAACAGTGAGAGCAAGTGTGTAGTGAGGGGAGGGGACGCGTTGAGAGCCAGAGAGAGCAGAACACAACTGCGAGTGCTGCCCTAAGTTCGGCGGTTCGGCCCAGCCTGCCAATGAATCTCTCCGCCACGGATGACGCACATGCCATGGATCGCGCACGAGTTGTAGAACTCACCACGACTCACTCGCTAACATCTAAACTGTAAACGCTCGAAACATGGGTAATCTAAAATTCGGCACCTCTTGTTTTGTTAAACGTTTCAGTATGCGCTTCCATTCTTCCCACGCCTTGGGATCCCAAGTTCGAGACCAGGCTTGGGAAGGAGAACACTTTTCCACACCTTGAAGTTTCCATCACCTGTTTTTTTCTAGATTGACGATTCCTTTGTTATCAGTATGCTTTTGGTAGTTACCCTACTTCTGCAACGGGTGATTCGGGGCTGACATCTCCCTCCCAACAAAATCTGTTTAGGTCAGCCAACAACGGATGAATCCAGGTTTTGCCGCTGCAGACATGCGGGTTGGAGCTTGGGTTGGTTGGCAGGTCTGTCCCGTGATCAACGGGCCGATATAAATTCGGCAAGAGTCATTACAGTATCTATCGAATTAGGATACAGTAACTCCCAAACTGTGTCCAAGCTCAAGAATTACATGCCCCGAAAAGAACGAGCTGGAAACCCAGATCATCCGATGACCCACAAATTGCGGAGGTCGGACTAAATGTTCCTGCATTTTGAGTGGCGCAAACCTCAGTCTCCACCACCTTCCATGCTCAAAGACACGGCAGGCAGCAAGAGTTGGATCTCGTACCGTTCAAACCTGAATCGACGGTGGTCGCTCATGCAAACACCCCACAAGATGACACTTCCCTACCTACTCAAACAGTAACAGATTTTTAAGACAGCTGTTCTCAGGCTGTTCTAACAGACGTGAGGAAGCGTTCAAAAAGTGATTTCATCAATGGGTGCGGTTTTGCAAGGACGCTTGGCAACAGCGGATGCCCTTCATAACCCAGTTTTTTTCGGGTGGTTTCTCCAAACTGGAGCATGTCAATATGCCATATAATATGCCATAAAACCCCATCCGTACAGTAAGGATCTTTCTTATTCCTTACTGGTTCACCTTGTACGCGTGCAACTCCAACTTTCGGAGTTCCAGGCTAGGTCCGATGACCTCGCCCTCCGAACGTCCCTCGCGTCGCCTTCTGGTTTTCCAACCCCCAACCTCACCCAACCATCCGTGATCCCGCGAACCCAGCCTGCGTATATCTGTGCTAGACTTCATTATTCAGGCAGTAGTTGTAATCACTTCCCCGTTATTACATTCTGCTCTGCGCATTCTTCCTTTCTACAACTAATACCGGTAACAGATCTCATAGGCCGTGGATTGGCACAAGCTGTGCGCGTTCACAAGCAACGCACGATGATCTCGGGGTTGGGAAGAGAAAACCGGGCCGAGGTTGTCATTCCGAGAGTCAGGGTTGTGTAAAGTAGTGCAAGATAGTGAAGAATGATGGGCTAATTAACCTCAGCAACTGTCCATCAGTTGAATCTGCACACCTTGGACCTCTGAAAAGTTGGGTACCATGTCAAACTACCCAGTAAAGGACTGGAATCCCATATGGTCAAGCTACTTTTTTAGAGGCCCAGTTGTTGGGCGTACATATACGGTACCAGTTGTGCCTACCTACGTACCACCAGTTCATGACTAGCATACTCATTGATAAACCAATACACTTGTGCCTAAGGTGTGAAAGATTTAGCCCAGTCAATAAGGCTTGTAACCATCCAAGGAGTGCTCGTTGCCGCTTCCTTCTCGATAATATGACTTGTACCATTGCACGAACTTGGACAGCCCCGTTTCCAAGTCCGTGGTTGGGTGATAGCTGGGGAAGCGGGAGATAAAGATGGAGGACAAGTCAGAAACCACGAGGCAACAAACCGAAGCCTTGCAAATGACAGAAAACGAAGGCGGGAGAGAATGTGCTGGGAATGTGAGAACCGACCTGAATTCGCGGGCAGCACGTGTGATGTTGGCATGCGTGAACATGACGTCTCCAGTGCTCGGCATGGGGATAACCCTGTCATGAAAAAAAGCAGCAGCACGCATCAGCAACAGATATTAGCCAAAGAACCACACATGGAACAGCTTTCAAGAGCCAAAATCTGTTCAGCCATGTTCAGATTTTCTCTGTTTGTTCTCTCATATGCAATGTTCAACCCAGCCACCACTTCACTCACTTGGGAATCACCTTCGCATGGAGCTGCCACTCCAGAATTCCAACAAACTCGCCTCACTTTCATTATTTAGGAGCCTCAACCCCCCCAAACATCCCCCCTCCGCCCTCCCTCCCTTCACTCACTTGCGAATCGCCTTCACTCCAAGCTGCCTCTCCAGAATCCCCACAAACTCGCCGACTTTCACTGGCTGGGTATTCCCGAGGTTGAACACGCGGAGCTGCGCGCGGCGCTTCTTGCCCTTCTTCTTCTGCCCCTGCTGCGCGCCAATGCTCGGCTCAGCAGTGTCCAGCGCGCCCAGGCACCCCTTCACCACGTCATCGATGTACGTGAAATCGCGAGCCAGCTCCTCGCCCTTGGGCCCACGGAACACTTTGATTGGCTGCGTTTTGGGGTGTGGATAGAGGAGAGGCGGGGAACTTTAGAGTTGACTCAAAACACTCAGCTGTGTTTAGCGCGCCCAGACACCCCTTCACCACGTCATCAATGTACGTGAAATCGCGTGCCAGCTCCTCTCCCTTGGGCCCGCGGAACACCTTGATTGGCTGCGATTGGTGGGTGGGGTTGAGGGATGGAATGACAAATGCGCATTTGAGGGGGAGGGGAAGAGGAAGGGGGTCGGGGGAGGGAGGGCGTCGGAAAAGTCAGGTGTTGAATTGCAGGTGCGGAAAGGTACCAGTAGATTCAATACAGTAAATGGTTACAAATGTGTGGTTACTACAAGCCCTCGATTACACGGCGACGCACCTTGCCCTGCATGATGTTGCGCGCGAACGCGAAGTAGGCCATGTCGGGGCGGCCCCACGGGCCGTACACCGTGAAGAACCGGAGTGCTGTAATCGAGAGGCCATAGATGTGATTATACGTGTGCCCCAGCACCTCGTCGGCTTTCTGCAAGACCCACGGCGGAGGAAACGGAAAGATAAAAAAAAAAAGGATTTCAAATATGATGTTAGCTGCACTGGCGTTTCCCTGGTACCAAGGACAGCCATATTTTTTTGATTCAGCCTTGCATTGTTTAATCCTGTTTTACCTTGGTAGCAGCATACAGGCTCGCAGGACGGTCCGTGCGGTCGTCCTCCGAAAAGGGCACCTTCGAATTCAGCCCGTACACGCTGCTCGACGACGCGTACACTATAGCGGGGGCCGGATCGACACTCTATCGGAGACAAATGGAAAGCAAAGAAAGAGGGGGAGGGGGGAGGGGGGAGAGAAAGGAAAGAGAGTGGGAGAACGGAAAATGATAGGTGAGATCGAGCCGCGTCGTGGGACCAGGTCATGGTAATGCAGGTGCGAACAAGCGAACGGCGAAAATGCGTAGGTTAATGTTACCTTGGCCTGCTCGAGAAGCGTGACGAAACCCGCGACGTTGCTGTGGACGTACGCGAGAGGATTGACAACGGCGTAACGAACACCAGCTTGCGCCGCGAGCTGCAGCACGTGCGTAAATTTCACGAGCTCGAACAGCTTCGCGAGTAACGCCGCGTCGTTAATGTCGCCGTCGACGATGAATCTGTTCGCACAGGACAGACGGGATCGACGATGAAGAGTAAGGCACACCAGAAGCGCACTAAACCGCAACCCCCCCAATAAAAGGCGTATCGAGTGTACATCACATAGTGTCGCTCCATTTATCTGCAATAGCGCAACGTCCCTACTACTTACACTCCCTTGCTCTCGAGTCGTTGCTGCCGAGCGCGCTTGAGCGCGGGCGGGTAGTAGTCGTTAAAATTATCAATTCCCACCACACCATCACCGCGTTCCTTCAGCGCGAGTGACGTGTGCGAACCAACGAAGCCCGCTGCGCCAGTTATCAGCACAACCATTCTGCCAGCCCTCGGTGTTGCCGACAACCGCACCTGGTCTTCCCACGCCGCGCTTCCCCACGTCGGAAGCTCAGCATCCAGCATCCCCGCCGTTTGCGGAGACGAACGCGTCAGGATGCCGATCGCCCTGAAATTTTGAGGAAAACGGAACACAAAGGACGGAAGGCAACAGTAAGCCATAGCAGGCGGTTGAAGACCTAGATGGGAAAAAGGTGCGCTGGAACTCGTGGTATCGGTTGAGTCGAAACGGTGCGAGGCAGCGCCAGGGCTCGAGTCTGCTTTATATCGCTCCAGGGAGGAAGCACAAGGAACCAGCAAGGCTCGACTGCTCTCCGCAGCTGTCTGAATCCAGACCAGCCAGGCCAAATACCGTTATTTCGAGAAGACCCACCTAGGTAAATTCCAATTTGGTATTTAAAAAAAAAAAAAAAAAAACGAATCTCAAAGTGAACAAAAACACTATCGTACAGATTTTGCGCTTTCGTCCTTAATTCGGACGAGATCGCTGCGTGCGATGCGCACTCAGATAACAATGGCGAGCGGACTGGGACCGACGTGATCGTGCATGGTTTATCAGCTGTTGAGTTTTTAGGGCGTGAAGCGTTTTGGAATTGGCGTCACTTGGCGTAATCACGCAGGGACACGAAATCACGAAAATCTTACATGACGAAAACGAAGAGGCTGAGACACGACGCTTGCAGCCACCACATCGTTCGAGCGGACCGTTGCACGAACGAGTTGCTCCGAAGCTTCTCGAACTCATCTCCGCTGGACCCGCCGCCCTTAAGCCCGCCGGCCGTTGGCAGCAGCTTCGCGAGAACCGGCGTCGGACTGCCAACCATGGCGCCGGGCTGGGAGCTCCCGCCGCTACAGCGGCTACAGCTGCTACAGCTGCAGCAGATGCCTCCGCTGCACTTTAGTCGGTTGAGCGTCGATCCACTCTTAACTCTAGGAAGCGCCAGCGGCAAAACTGACTGGGGTAAGGACTACACGGTGAGTGCTAAGAGCTGGATTGCCTCGTATGCCTGACGCATCAGACTATACCGAGAAGGGAAAATGAAATGGTGGTTGGCAAACAGGGAACCTCAAAACCCTCCGTGGAGAATGAAGGCCAGAGGCTATTGGGGTGGTTCTGAATCTTTAAACTAACGTTTTCTCGAAAAAATGCGATGAGCAGAAGCTGAGGCGAGGGAGGATTCTTAGGAACCAAGAGTGCGACGCAATGAGGTTGTCCTGCCCAGGCCCTAGCAATGGCGATGAGCTAGCTGGATAGTGCTGGGAAGGGGAAATTTGTTCCTACCTGCTGTTTGGGAGGAGAAAGGTGGGTGGCAGGGAGAGAAACAAGCCCGAGTTTACAGCAACCCGTTTTTCTGTCGTGTGCATTGCGCAAGGGGGCTGGGCTGGGCTGGGCTGGGTGTTCTTGTGACGGGACAAACGGAAGGGACGTGATCGCGACTCCAGTCGGGAATTGCAATGCTTTGCGGGGCGAAAAGGCCGAGGGGTGAGTCAAGTTGAATTGATCAAAACGAAATTCTCCACGCGCGAAAGGGTGCGGCGCGCGGGCTGGCCTCGGTTGGCGAAGGTGGCACAAAGGCGAAGCGGCTTGTGTTGAAAAACTCCCCTCGACAAATTGCTCCTTTCCTGTTCGCGCCTTGTCGCTCCGAAACCATCGGTAACTGCGTGGCGAGGGGTGCTGCTGCTGTGAACGCGATGCATTCTTGCAACACGACTGCTGCAGAACCTCGGGTTTCATGTTTGGGATGGGTCTCAAGCAGTTATTTGTCCTTTTCGGTGTTTTCATACGGTACACAATGGTTTTGTGGGCGGATTTGACTGCCGAACCTCTCTCAAAATTCCCCAACAGCAGTAATCCCCGAAGCCACCGCTTCGAACGGGAACGGGTATCCCGATTTCCGAAGCAATTTTGACTCGATCATGATCAGCCGTCCATTTTCTCCGATTGACAAACCCAGCATCAGCTCCATTGGATTTCATGTCCTAGCGTGATTGCCGCTGAGGTAGACTGCTTGGTATGGGGCACCCGAGACTGATTCTTGTCTTAACCATTGGCTGTCGTGTCGGTAATTCATTGGTCTATTTCGAGATCAAACCTAACAGCTTGCCAGCAGCCACAAATACGAGCCGAACCTACCACTGGGGTGAGACGTGACGTTTTAGGCTTGGCAACATACCGTACCTCGGTGCCTCCTTGGTTTCGGCTGTGTGGCGAGAACGTGCCACAACATTGGCTTCGCTGCAAGGAGCTTCTTTTTTTCGACGTGGTAAGTGTAGGTGATGTACAAGTTGATCATAATATGTACATGTTGAAAATAACATCTTTGTTGTTGTTTTGGGTCTAGGTGATATACGTATGTATGTTTTACATACGGTATCCTCTATAGAGTTGTTCTCACACTTTGATACACTAAAACCTCGTTGCTGTTTGTCATATGAAGGTCGAATTGCCGCCTCAAAATTTCGTCCCCCTTCCTCACCCTGGCTTTCTGACACGCGCCAAATCCCAAATCCCGCCTTCTTCCCTCCATTTTCCCCCTTCCAAACGAAGGAAACCCAGGCGACAGTTTGCCCTGGTTGACAAAAAACCATTCACACAAACCCGTGTGGCGGAGGACTGAAGAACCGCACCAAGCGCGGCCAACTCGAGATTCCAACTTTTCGACACCGTGAACTTCCAGCTCAACCGTTCACACTGTTTGTCAAAACACCTTAGAATGCACAGCACCTAACTGAACCGCATTAAGTTTACACACAACCAAAGCAGTACATAAGCTTCTAGGTAGTTGATTCCTGCGATGGTAGTCGTTGTTGTGAGTGGATTTTGCTTCGTCGTCCGCAAAGGATCGCATTTGCGTCGAATTAGATAGCTAGGACCGTGCTGACGGCTAGTGTGCCACCTTTAGTTTCTGCAGTCTGTTAGCCCACGGTGTTGCTCCTGCGGCTACGAGTCTACTTGAAGTTGTAGACTTACAAGCATTACTACACTAGTTGTTTCAGTTGCTGCTCTCCGAGAAGCTTCAGGTGTTTTCTTCCTGCTAAGCCGGATTTAACCTCTGAAGAACCTTTTCTTAAGAATGGTACGGCACCTCAGTCTGCACGCAACCATTTCTTTAATCTCTTGAAATCAGTACCGACAGTCCTTTTCTTGCAGCTAAACATTGTTTCCTGTTCCGCTCCCGTCTCCTCGCTTCCCCCAGGCCGTGGTTCTCCCAGTAGGATCCAACGAGAATTTGCCACCAAAGGTGGTTCGGGTGATAGTCAAGGAGCTTCGGTCCCTCCAAGACTCGCCTCCAGAAGGCATACGCGTGCTTCTGAATGATGACAACATCTCAACCGTCCATGCGGAGATTGAAGGACCAGGTGAGACGACAGATCCTATACTGCTCAACCTAAAACTTGTATTCACAAACTGAAAATTGTTATAACTTTGTCTCCCTGAGCGTTTTGCACACATTCAGTATAGCGGTTATTTTTCCTTTTTACTATGCAATCTAAGTGTTTATTTTTTTGTCTTTTTGGGACTTCACCTCCAGTCGGGACACCTTACGAGGGCGGAGCGTTTCGCATGAAGCTCGTGTTGGGTCCAGAATTCCCAAACGCTCCACCAAAGGGCTTCTTTGTGACTCGGATATTCCACCCGAACGTGGCCAAGAATGGCGAAATCTGTGTGAACACCCTGAAGAAGGACTGGAAGCCATGCCTTGGTCTGCGCCACGTACTCATTGTAAGTCAATCTCGATTGTAAAATGTATTAGAATCCCCACTCTTTTTTTTTTAGTACGACCAATTGTTCCTCGCACTCCTCAATCTTTGAGCTCATTACAAGGATTGTGCACCCATTGCGTCGTGGCCTCATTAACATCCCATCGCCTTCGCTTTTTGCAGGTTGTTCGGTGCCTGCTCATTGAGCCTTATCCCGAGTCAGCTCTTAACGAGGATGCAGGCAAGCTGCTTTTGGAAGACTATGAGGCGTACGCCAAACACGCTCGACTCTTCACGTCCATTCACGCCCCATCTTCAGCAGCAGCAGCAGCAGGCACCACAGGTGTCAGCATGAGCCGCTCCAAGTCCATGCCGCAGCATGCCGCTTCCCAACCAGGTCAACAAAGTCAACCAAGTCAACACCCGTCCTGCCCCCACCACACGCTTCGCCAGAGCGTCTCAGCTTCAGACCACCTCGCCCCTGGCGCTGCTTCTGCCGCTGCCGCCGCCGCCGCTGTTGCCGAAATGGCAGGTTCCGCAGCTGCTGCCGTCTGTGTGTCTCCGTCAGCCCTTGCTGCCGGTGGTGCTGGTGGGAGTGCTCCTCTTGCTCCCAACCGCTCGATTGCCAACGCTGAGGTGCAGAGGGAGGAGGGTGTGGGTGGTGGAGCGGGGGGGTCGAGCGGGGGCCTGCGCAGTGCAGGAAGCAAGGGGGAGAATGGAGCGAGAGGGGGCCATGAGAAGAAGAAGGTGGATGCGAGGAAAAAGAGCCTTCGGAGATTGTAGGGTGAGAGTGGGGGAGAGGAGAGGGGGGAGCGCGGGTGGTGGAGAAGGAGGGAGTGGCTGCGTATGGTTTGATTAAAGGGTCCTTATTCAAGGATACAACTGATTGGTGAAGTCATCAGTTTGGTCGACACGGTATTGTTCCCCATATACTTCGTGTGAGAGCGCGACCGGCGACCTTCTGTCCACGTAATTCAAGTTTACGCTAGGAGGTTTGTTCCTTGACAAGGCAAGGGACAGTTTTGATGTTATGAGCTGCTCTGAACTGGGATTGACATCCACTGATCCTAGTATGCACACTTGTATTATGCGCCAAGCTACGGTATGCTAGTAATGTGCACTAATTTCAATGGCAATGCCAAACCGCTAAAGGGATAGGCTACGCAAATTCTAAGAATCCATTGCCTAGTCTGAACCCCACCACCTGAAGTTCTCTCCTGGCTATGTTCTAGGGACTAGTCTCCTGAAGTTCTAACAGCCATTAGTGTAAATCGTACCAATTAGCGCAAGTCGTACCAATTAGCATCTGAACCAAATCTGTGTCTGTAACTTGTCAGAGTATGGTACAGCACCAACACACCCCTTCAACTCAATTTCCTTCGACAAGCAGCAGTGAAGAATTTGAGCATCATCACACACAACCAGGTTTCTAAGTGGCACATCCCGCGCTTCGTAACCATGTCGCGCTCGTTCCAGCTTCCAGGCGCTCACTGCCCAACTGGCCTCGCGAAAACAACGACGGCTGCCGCTCCTTCTTTGTCCCATCGTTACTCGACGCTCCGACAAACCTCCCCGCGCCACTCGCCAGCTTCCCTCCCCTTCGCTTCCCCCGGGCTCTCCGCACGTGCCCGCCAGGCGCCCTCTCCGACCACCGCGCGCCGCGCTGCGCTCTCATTCCGCACAGCAGCGTGCTGCAGAAGCACCAAAGTCACCGCCGCTACAATCAGCGAGGGGCGGATCGCGAGTGATTATGACGAGGTGGAGAAACAGACGCAGCTGTTGAGAATTCTCGAGAGTCAAGACGAGCGCGACAGACGGACGCAGCAGCCGCCCGTCGAAGCAGCTGCTAGCACCGCGCCGCCACGGCAAAGCAGAGAAGCAGTCTGCTGCGTTGCGCCCCTGCACGCACGCTGGCTCTCTCCCGCGCTCGCAGCAGCAGTAGTCGCCTCCGTCCTCCTCCCGCTGCCTCTCCAACCCCCTCCGCAGCACGCTCCGCCCTCTGTGGAGCAAGGCAGGGCAGCAGGCAGCAGATCGCTGGGCGGTGCGTGGGGCAGTGCGGTGGGCAGTGCACTGGCCATGCCTGCGCCATTCAGTGGGGCCAATGCGCCTCTGCCCTCCGAGACGTTCGACAACGTGCCCCAGTCACTCTCAGGTGCCCTCTGTTTCTCTCAGGTGCCCCAGTCTTTCTCAGGTGCCTCAGTCGCTCTCAGGTGCCTCAGTCGCTCTCAGGTGCCTCAGTCGCTCTCAGGTGCCTCAGTCGCTCTCAGGTGCGCTGCCAGGTGTGCTGTCAGGTGCTCTGACAGGTGTGCACAACATCCCATCCTTCCTTCTCTCCTGCCCTATTTCCTTCTACCTCTTAATTTCCCCACTCTCCATCCCTCTCCTCTCCGCACCAACAGAGGATGACAGGAAGCCGCGGCGGATTCAGAAGCCCAAGACACCAGCAGCAGAGAAGTGTCTGCGCAAGTGCGTGGGCACGTGCATCAGAGGAGGGGCGGGGGCACCTGGGGAAGGGCCCATCAACGTGGAAAGGTGAGGCTATTTGCCTCGCGTGAATGCCCTCACTATAGCACTCTCTTATGCGCCTATATGTTTTTAATCACTGTGCCTGGAAAGACGATGGCGCCGTGTGCCTTTTAACAGCGCCCGGCCCAGTTTCCACTTATCTTAAACAACATCTGTGAACACCCTTGATTTCCTTTTTCAGGCCCATCGTGGTTTTCAAGTCCGAATTCAGGTCAAGACAATACTGGTGAGTGGGGCTTCGGAGAATGACAATTTGCAGCCTGGAACCAAAAGCTGCCCTGAGCCCTGATTTTTGCAAACTGTGGTGTATCCTGTTTTCCCCTGATATCTTGCGCTTTGTCAACTCTTTTTTTTTTTTGCCCTCTTAATGACTCTCAAACGGTCCTTTGTATTGATTCAGGCGAGGTACAAGCATGCAGATCCCCCTTCTTAATGATCTATCTCCACCCCCTTCTTTCTGCATGTCCCTCCTCCCATTCTGTTGGGTGCAGTCTGGTGGAATGTAGTGAGATCTGCAACCTATTGTCGGATGCTAAGAGCAAGCCTTGATGCCATGTATAATTATGCTAATGTGTGGGGGAACTGCAATTTGTGAAAATGAATGACATGCCCTCAAAACGGGCATTGTCCATTGTAGAAAGGAATGCCGAACTCGATGTATCTCGAATGAAGCTGCCGCAAGAATTAATACTATTGTGAAAAGTCTATCATATTGGTAACAACGGTTCAGAGTGGTAAATAAGCAAACCGTCCTAAAAAGCACAATATCGTGCTCAACCGCTTGTACGGAACCTAGTGAAGTTGTGGAACCTATACCTGGCTGGTGCAGCCCCACCTGAAACCTGCAGTGCAGCTGGCTTGGTGCGAGTGTGGGGGATGGTTGGCGAGTGTGGTTCGCTTGCCCAGTGGGGGGCCAGCCCACCTGGCGGGACTAGTCCATCTTGTGGGACTGTTCGCCAACAATCCCGACCTAGCGAACGCCAGTTTCGCCAGCTACATTCGCGAGTGTGGGCTGTCTGTGGAACCGTCCCGGGCCCTGTCAACTGTGGATGGGATGACAAGCCTCATGTTCGCCACGGCTGTAAGAAGTTACACTTATGACACGATTGCAAGCCAAAATCGGTTCCCGATAGGACTGCGAGAACAACATGTGCGTTTCGTCCAGACGCTACACTTCGCAGGCTGACACCTCTGCGTTTCCTCCAAGCTTCTCCTCCGCATGTGCACCTCCCCCAACGCAACCATGCATGCGGCGCGCCCCACGCGACTCCAAACAATCACCACTCGCACACTCGGCCCACTGCAATTTTTGCAGCCAGCCACCACAACAGTGTTGTGTCGGTGATGGTTTCTCCCCTCTTTAGAAATGAGTCTCTCAGGGTCTGACATCCGGTTTAGATCGATCAGGCTGTTAGTTTTCCCAAACGTGTCTCCTACCGAAGGTCGCTCGAGAATAGGTGCACAAGCCGCTGCATCGAAACACAGATAAGACTATTAGTACGCTTCATCTCGGTTCTACTAGATACTTCCTTTCCATGCTTGAGGCTACACGTTGAAATTTCTCCCACGCAAGTTATGGCAGACCACATCATTAAAAAACGTCGGCACAAATTCTCGCTGTTCCTTCTCCCTCTCCTCGTCTCTTCACTCCTAGTACTTCGTTTGGACTCCTCTTCATGGGCCCCAAACCTAGCAGACGCCGCCGCCGTTCCGAACCCTAATACCGAAACGAAGCTTCGGCGAATCCAGTTCTCGCAGGCGGAGCTGAATGCCGCCGCAACCCTCCGCGCCGCTCAACGACCGCAAGCCCCGCGCAGGGGCGGCGGAACGGCGCAGTCGGCGCAGCGGGAGCGCACGGAGGCGCCAACCGAGCTCCGCGTTCCCCTCAACGGCGCCGCGATGAGCATCGCGTCGCTCAGCGAAATGCTCCTCGTCCGCCCGCGCGGCGTGGCGCAAGCTCAACCCGCCGCGAAACAGTCATCCGCGGAAGCAGATGGTTACGCGCCGTGCCCGCAGTTTCAGCCCTGGAAAGGCGCGCTTTCGCGCATCTCCGCGTGCAAGTGGCGCAGACCGGAATCCGCCCTCCCCGCAAGCGCCTCCTCCCCGTCCGTCGCTCTGCGGCTATTTATGATCGATTTCCTGGAAGACAAGAGAGGCCGCGCGGTTGAGAACGAGTGCCGCGATCGGCGCTGGATCTGGCCGCGACCGCTCGTCACGGGCGGAGAAGTTTGCGTCGACGAGGCGGACGAGCTTCAAGTGGACGGTGATGATCTTAACGATGATGACAATAACGAGGAAGAGCTTCCGGAGCTCGTGGGCGCGGCAGAGCTTATGAAGCGCGTGCGCGAGGCGCTGGGGCAGCGGCGCGGGGAGCAGCGGTCGCGGCTGGAAGCGAACGAGGCGGACGAGGTGGGGGAAGTGGGCGCGCTGGGGGGAGGCGGAGTGCTGCGGTTCGATGACGTGTTTGTGAACTCTAAAGGGACAGTCTTTAACGAGAGCCACGTGTTTGCAGTGGACGCGTGCGGGCAGGGCCAGTGGAACCGGCAGGGCGGCGCAGTGAAGGCGCTGAAAGATTCGATTTCCTTTGCGCCGCGGACTCGCGTGAGCGTGCACGAGCACCTGGTGAATCTCCTGCCGTACGAGCAGGAGGAGGCGGAGCAGCAGGCGGAAGAGGCGGAGGAGGCGGAGATGGCGGAGCGGGGGCTGCGGGGCACGGACTGGGTGGCGCAGGCGCGGCTGCACAACGGCAAGGAGCGGCTGCTGGCGCGGCTGCTGCCCGCGCTGTACCTGGTGGCGACCGCGCTCATGCCCGGCGCGAGGCAGTACCCCCTGCTGCTGCGGAGCGAACATGTGAGTCCCGCTAACACCAATACCTGCTTACCAGCATTTTCTTATTCTCTGCACCCATCTGTTACCATTACAAGTATATAGCTGATGAACAGCCGTGCCATGTCCTTCAACCACTTATTCACCTTCCATCCGTTTCTACTTTCTCGTTTCACAATGCAGCTTCTGGAGCATCTGGGTCGCAGCATGTTCGGGGTGGAGTTGGCGTCTCTCTCGGTGCACCACCTCCCGGCCAGCAGGCAGCATGGCGACGGCCATCGCCACCTCTTCTACGCAAAAACACTCTTCATGGTACGCGCAGGCACTATTCATGGTATACGCAGGCACTGTTCATGGTGGTGCGCATGCCATCTGTGTTCACCTTGTCTGTATTCGTGTACGCGCGGGCACCTCGTCTTCACTGATATGAGATTCCCGTCTGGACCTCCTTCCCGCTCACCCTCTCCTATTGCCCCCTTCTCTTCCCCATCCCCCCCCCATTCTCCCCCCTCTCTCCCCCATCCGCTCCCTTTCTCCCCCCACCCAGCCCGTCCATGCCAGCAGCGTGTGCGGACTCTCCTCCTCGGGCCGCCCGCGTGCCCCCGACGCTCTCTGGCTGGCCCTCCGCGGCCACCATCTGCTACCCCCGCAAGGCCTCCCCATCCTCTCCCCCGACTGGACCCCCCGCCTCCCCGCGTCCGCGCAAACGCAATCCGCTCCGCCTACCGCGCACCCGCTGCACCACCTCGCGGTGGGGCAAACTCTCCCGGAGGATTGGGTGGTGGTGGTGTCGCTGGTGTGGAGCGCGCACGTGATGGATCGCGGCGGCGGGGGCGTGGGCGACGGGAACATGCGGACGGCCGCGACACGGCACACGGAGGAGGCGATGGAGGCGATTGCGGGGATGCTGCGCGAGTTGTACTCAGAGGAGCGCGTGGTGGTGTACGAGGAGCATCTGCCGCTAAGGAAAGCCAAGGCGTTGTTCTCGCGAACGATTCTGCTGGTGGGACCCACGTCGCCTGCGCTCTCGAATCTTATCTTCATGCCGTTTAACTCCACGGTTATCGAGATCTTACCGTACGTTGTCAACGGCTCATCCGATTCTAGCAAGAGCAAGGCCGGGGATCCGCGGCCAGAGGGGAAATCCGGTGGGAAGTTGTCCAGCCAGCAGAGCACTGCCACGTGGCACTACAGGCTTTCTGAGCGCGTGGGTGTGCATCACCTGCTGTCCGTGTGCGATCCCGAGAGGAACCACATGGATGAAAGTGAGATGTGCCACGTGGATGAGGTCTACGCAACTGTAACCGCATCGCTGCGGAAGAACCCGGTGCTGCGCGAAGCCACAGGGTTACCACCAGTGACCTTCCCCCCTGATGACGTCAGCAGATTAGGGGATTTCCGCGATTTCATCCCGGGGTCGAGGCTGCGGAAGGGGGCGGGCCAGGTGGCGGAATTTCGGCAGTGGGCGGAGTGTGTGGCGGAGAGGGGGGAGTGGCGCTTCAACGCTACTCCGCGGGTACTGGCTTGGCCGGATCACGGAGTCGAGAAGTGCGAGGCGGAATGGGAAGCCGCAGGCGGAATCGCGTCGACCAAAGCGGATAAGGTCGCGGCACGCGGACCAGCAGCTGCAGCCGATTGGAAGGTTCGAGATACGCTCAAGTACGAGTGGGTGGTCCCAGCGAACAAGTGTCCAAAGGTTACTAGTTTCGGAGCAGCGCAGCTGGCGGTGCCTAGTTCTGAGGTGCTCGATCCGCGAGAACTATTTTCTAGGTTTGACGGTCGAGGGTTGTGTGAGTTGGCGCGGCGGAGAAAAGGCGGGCTGCGGATTGCGTTTCTTGGGGATTCTCTGTCTCGGGAATCCCATGTGAATTTCGTGAACAACATCGTCAAGCACATCCCGAAGCCTGCAAACGTGATAACGAGGCGCAAGTGTATGACGTGGACAACAATTCTCGGATCGAAGGTGGACCTGACTTGTATGGAGTACACGTTTGAGGGAGCTGGGTGCCCAGGCTTGAGTGTACACTATGTGGCAAACAGGAGACTAATTCCTGTGAACGAGGAAAAGCTGGAGCGGATAAGATGGATCAGCACCCCTTGGATGGAGGTTCCTGGCATTCGCAACTCCCATGTGCTGGTCATCAATCGTGGAGCGCACTATAAGGTGAACGAGAACGTGGTGGAGTCGGTAACGCGGATGATGCGCTTCATTCGTTACAATCACCCTGACAAGCTCGTGATATACAGGACCACTGCACCAGGCCATCTCAACTGCTTGGAGCACACTCGACCTATAAAGGAGAGACAGGACCCAGAACAGCTGCCCTACAAATGGGGCAACTTCAAGCTTCAAAACGAGCTGGTGAAATCTATAGTGGAGGAGAACGGGGGAGTGTACATGGATGTGGACCCTATGACTGCCCTCAGACCAGATGGGCACAGGGGGGACGTGGGAGGCACACGGCTGGATTGCCTACACTACTGCTCACCTGGACCAGAGGATACATGGTCACAGTTCATCTACAATATTGTAATGAGGCTGCTCCCTCAATAAAGATTGGATGCAATGCCAAATAAATGCGCCTTGCATTCAACTATGGAATAATACTGGCATTATTAGAGGTTTTTTGCCCGTATCTTTGGCGATTGGTCTTTCATTGCTAGGTAGAAACATCTTGCAAAGATTTCGTTTCAAGATAAGCAGACTCTAAAGTAGTGTATGACATGTTCTGGAAAAATCGAGTTGTTGTTGTGACGACTATCAACCAACCATTCGTGAGCAAAGCGTAACTGGAACGTCAAAATCTGTTTTGCACTTCACGTATCAGTGTTCAAGAGGGTAAGAGGCGGTTGAAAGCGGTGAGATGTCGGACCGCACAGCATCGTTTCGAACCGCTCTTACCGAACAGAAGCGAATCTCCTACTACCTGCAATGTCGGCTCAGCTTGATCGGAAAGCTCCCCTCCCCGCCGCACCCACCTATCAGTTACGCGTACACTGAGCAGCACCTATCAACGCAATTCTCAATTTCTTTCTCATTTCTTTCGAAGCTTGTGCGCAAAGCTTGTTTCAACGCTAGTTCAATTCGCTGATCGCTCGTCCTACGTCTTCTCTGTCGCAACAATTCGCCGTGTCCCGTTCAGTCGCACCAGTGCGTCGCCTGATGCGCATGCGACGATTTCATAGCGACAATCGCTTGCTTACTAGCGACCAAACCAGCCGTCGCAAGTGAAGAATCTTCTCATCTGAAAGTGGACTGCAAATTGTATCCGAAGCTATGTGTAGCTTCCGACCGATGTAGATAGTTCTCCGTAGCCTTTTCCGCCATGGCCGGGACATCTTTTCAATCGCGTTGTCGCCACAAATGCAGATTCAAGACGTCGCTGCTCCTCGCCTGGGTCATTCTCCTCCTCACGCCCCATCATCCAGAGCTCTCTACGGATTCCCTGCACTGTACTAAGCTTTCATGTACCGCAAACGGGTTCATTCTTAGCGGATCATCGCATCCGTCCAGCAGCGAGCATAGACCCGCGCGGACGTTGCGACCAGACTTCACTGCGCGGCTCCCCCTGCGTGCGCAGCCCGCGGATTTCGCCACATCTGTAACTCCGCAAAACCCCACTCCGCTGCTCCGCTTCCGCCCACAGCCCGCAGAATCAGCGGAACCGGGCAGCACCGGGGGCAGACGGCGGAACGGCAGGCGCAAGCCGGCGCAGCATGGGGAGCAAGCGGAGCTGCGGGAACAGCGGGATCAGCGCGAGGGGGATCAGCGGGAGGGGGATGCGCAGGATCCGCGAGGTGAGCGGGAGCGGACGGGGGCGGCGGCGGCGCTAGAGGCGGCGGTGGAGGGATCGTCCCTGGCGGTGCTGCCTCTGGCCGACCTCATTCGCGCGCCGCGATCCGCGCAGCAGCTGGAGTGGCAGCGAGCGCAGCAGCAGCGAGCCCAGCAGCAGCAGGCGCAGCAGCAGCAGCAGCAGGCAGGCGGCAGGGCAGCAGCAGCGACACCATCACCAGGAGTGTGTCCGGACTTCCAGCCATGGGGCTTCTTCTCGCCTGACGCCGCCTCCCCGCACATCCATGCGTGCGCGTGGCGACCCATGGCAGCTGACGGTACCCCCACTGCTGCCCTTCCAGTCAGCCAGAGCAGTGAGAGCAGCAAGAGCAACGCTGTTTTGGCAGCGCTCTCTGCCTTCATGCAGCAGTTTCTGGCGGACAGGGCGAGCAGTGGGAGAGGCGGCGCTGAGGGTGGGGGGAGCGGTAGTGCGCGTGAGAGCAGCGCTGCTGCAATGGGTGGGAGGAGCGTGGCCGTGCAGCAGGACTGCCAGCACTGGAAGTGGCTCTGGCCGCGTCCCCTGGTGACACGTGGCGAGATGTGCTTGGACGAGGACGAGGTGAGGGAATTCGTGGAAGAGGGGCTTCGGGCAGAGCAGGAGCGACAGCGGAAGGAGATGGAGAAGCAGAGGGAGAAACAGGGGCTAGTGAAGCAGGGGCTAGTGACAGATGAGATTTTCGGGAAGGAGGGGCTAGAGCTGGATGTTGAGGAGGTAGTTAGACGCACCCAGCAGGCGATTGACTTTATAGAGGCTGAGCGCGGGGCGCAGGTGGTGAGTGGCGAGAGAGAAGAGGAGAAACGGAAGGAGAAGGGGGAGGAGGTGGAGGAGGAGGGGGTGGAGGTGGGGATGGGAGGAGAGATGGGAGGAGTGGTGGGGCAAGGGGGGGTGGTGTTGCTGCGAGATGTGTTTGTGGATGGGAGGGGTGTTGTGTTCAACGCGTCCCATGTGTTCTCATTGCATGGGGCGTGTGTTGGCATGCGGGGAGGCGGCAGGAAGAGGCAACTTGCAGCAGCGCTGAAGCTTAAGAAGGTGAGGGGCCCCAGGAAGGCTCAGTGTGAGATTGAGAGGGGTGCGCAGTGGTCAACGCGTCCACGTGTCATGTCATCAACACATGGGCCCAGTGGGAGCATGAGTTGTCATCAGTGGAGTGGAGAGGACAGGTGGGCTGCGGTCAGGTGGGCTGCGGTCAGGTGGGCTGCGGTCAGGTGGGCTGCGGTCAGGTGGGCTGCGGTCAGTTGGGCTGCAGTCAGGTGGGCTGCAGTCAGGTGGGCTGCTGTCAGGTGGGCTGCAGTCAGGTGGGCTGCAGTCAGGTGGGCTGCAGTCAGGTGGGCTGCAGTCAGGTGGGCTGCAGTCAGGTGGGCTGCGGTGGCCGCACAGTATCTTCATCAGTACAGGTCTGCGAAACTTAATTTCAGAACGAGCAAGCAAGCAGTGGGAGCATGAGGGGAGGCGTGTGGCAGGACGAGACGGGTCGCGGCAATGAATGAGCTGAGGAAGGAGAGGGAGGAGTGTGTGGGAGCGGCTGTGCTCAACTCGCCCCATAGAGGTGTGTTGATTGAGGGGTTGCTCTCAAGTCAGGGCGTGCGATAAGAAAGGCTGAGGGGTGGCCGAGAGGAGAGTGTGAATTCGTGATTGAAAAGAGGGAGAGGCGAATAACGCCTCCTTTGATTATGACTCCAGAAATAACGCCTGCTGTGTCTAGTCAAATTTACCTCCGTGCCTCTCAGCTTCCATACTTACCTCCCTTGAGTCCGTTCAATGTTTGAGGCGCCTAAAAAGCCATTGCCTAGAAAGCCATTGCCTAGAAAGCCATTGCCTAAAAAGCCATTGCCTAGAAAGCCAGTATGTTGAACTGTCACTGCCCCTTTCCCTTTGCCCAGTCCCTCTCCTTCCCCCCAGGTACCCCTGTGAGCGTGCACGAGCATCTGGTGAACTTACTGTTTTACGCACAGGAGGAAGGGGAGGACTTATCGGAGCAAGAACCTCTTCTATTTGTTCCTCCCCTCCCCCTCTCCTCTCCAGTCCCTCTCCTTCCCCCCAGGCACCCCTGTGAGCGTGCACGAGCATCTGGTGAACCTACTCCCCTATGAACACGAACAGGAGGGGGAGGAGGAGGGTGGGGGTAAGGGGAGCGGAGGGGGAGAGTGGGTGGCGCAGGCTCGGGTGCACAGTGGGGGGACTCGGGGACTGGTCCGGCTGCTGCCAGTGCTCTTCCTGCTCGCCTCCTCCCTCATGCCCACTGCTCGTCGCTTCCCCATTCTGCTGAATCACCGGCATGTGAGTCGTCGTGGGGAGAGGGGTTGTGGGGGAAGCGCTAGGTAGGGAAGGCGGCTGGTGCGGCTGCTGCCGGTGCTCTTCCTGCTCGCCTCCTCCCTCATGCCCACCGCGCGTCGCTTCCCCATTCTGCTAAATCACCGCCATGTGAGTTGTGGGGATGGGAGGGGAGGGGGTGTTGGGTATTTGGCCCGGCCCATTCTGCTAGCGCATCTTGACCCGGCCCGGATGTCTTGGCATTGACCTCGGCCCACTCGCAATTCTCCACTCCACAGCCCTGTTTCATTTCAATGCATCCACCGCAGCAGCAACAGCGCCTCACCTCTGCCTTTCTCTCCTTCCTCCCCCCTCCCCTTTTCCCCATCCTGTCCTCACGTCTGCCCATCAATCAGCTGCTATCACATCTCGGCCCGGATGTCTTTGGTGTAGACCTCGCCCCACTAGCCATCCACCGCCCCTCAGCCCTGCTTCACGGCGCCTACAGCAGCAGCAGCAGCAGCAGCGATGGCTCTTACAACGACCCAGACACTGGCCCTGATCCCACCGCTGCCACCGCCACCGGCATGCCTCCCCATCTTTTCTTCGCCCGCACCCTCCTCCTCCCCATCCACACCCCCAGCCTCTGCGGTCTCTCGTCACCTCCGCTCACCGCACTCCACTCCTCTCCACCGCGCGCCCCCGACGCTCTCTGGCTGGCCTTGCGCGGTTACCACCTGCTGCCCCCCCACGGCCTCCCCATCCTCTCCCCCGACTGGACCCCCCGCCTCCCCGCGCCCCTGCAAATGTCGGCACCTGAAAAAGCACCTGAAGATTCACCTGAAGTTTCACCCATAGATTCACCTGATGGGCTGGTGGTGGGGCGGGCGCTGCCGGAGGATTGGGTGGTGGTGGTGTCAGTGGTGTGGAGCACTCATGTGATGGAAGGAGGGGGAGGGGGAGGGGGGGAGGGAGTGAGGGAGACAGAGGCAGCCATGCATGTGATTATAGCGATGCTCAAGGAGCTGTTCTCTGATGGGAGGGTGATTGTATACGATGAGCACATGCCGCTTCTGCAAGGTGGGTGGCTCACAGGCGCACATGCATGCATGCATGTGAGGCAGAGATGCTTGTGACTATAACGATGCCCAAGGAGCTGTTTTTTGGGTGTGCGCATGCTTTTTGTTGTGACAAGCACATGCTGTCAGTCACATGACTTGTTGTACCAAGGCTTGTTTGACTACTTGACAAGAACTTGATCTCCGTTTCTGCTTTTCTACACGTTCCCTTCGTTGATCCTTCTCTCTTTCTCAGTATTATCCCCTTCCCTCTCCTTTTTTATTTTCTTTCTTCCCGTCTTCCTGACGCTCCCCCGCCCCACCCCCCCTGCAGCCAAGGCATTGTTCTCAAGAGCCATTCTCCTGGTAGGCCCCACCTCACCCGCCCTCACCAACCTCCTCTTTATGCCTTTTAACTCAACCCTCATTGAGCTCCTCCCCTACCCCGTCACACGCCCCCGCTCCTCCCTCCCCCTCTCGCTCCTCCTCCGCTCACCCTACCACAAGAAAGCAGCGGCAGAGTCAGCTCTGATCGGCCAACCGAGCGCCGCCACGTGGCACTGCCAGCTGGCGGAGCGGCTCGGGATTCGGCATTATCTGAGCGTGTGCGACCCGACGTGGCTGGACAAGAACACGGGGGAGCAGTGCCACGTGGACGAGGTGTACGCTACAGTGCTCGCTACAGTCCGAAGGAACCCGACCCTACTGGCCCTCACAGGGATCCCCGCAATCTCCTTTCCTCCCAACGCCTTCCAGCCAACCCCCGAGCCTCCTATTGAGACCAGCCTCGGCATCGGTGCCAAACCCAGTGACTTCGCCGAAGGGGCCAGAAGGTTCGGGGATTTCTTGGAGTCGAGCCTGATTCCAAACCAAGGGTCGAGGTTCGGCAATTTCAGCGATTTCATCCCGGGATCGAGGCTACGGAAGAGGACGGGGGAGGTGGCGGATTTTCGACGGTGGGCAGCGTGTGTGGCAGAGAGGGGGGAGTGGCGTTTTAATGCCACTCCGCGGGTGCTGCCCTGGGCCGAACGAGGCTTTGACAACTGTGACCTGGTGCACGTCCGGGATAAGGGAGGCTTGGCCGGAGCTGCTGCCGACGCTGTCGCTTTGGTTCGGGAGATGGGTCGGGAGGAGTGGGAGCAGGCGTGGAAGGTGAGGGACGCGTTGAAGTACCAGTGGGGGGTTGCTAAGGAGAGGTGTCCGCGCGTGGTTCGTGCAAAGCTAGGCGCCCGAGCCCAGGCCGTTCCAGGTTCGGAGGTTTCCGAACCTGACGAGCTGTTCTCTAGGTTCGACGGGCGGGCACTGTGCGAGCTGGCTCGGCAAAGGTTCGGCGGGCTAAGGATTGCCTTTGTCGGGGACTCACTGACCCGGGAGGCACACATCTCCTTTGTACATAGCATTGTAACACACGTGCGAAAGCCGGCGAGCGTGGTAACCAGAGAGGACAGTGCGGGGTGGGTGGCGCAGATGATTCGGAAGAAAGGAGATTTTTACACCCGATCGACATACCGATTTGATGATGTGGATGACGGTGGGTGTGGGAAGCTGGTTGTGCATTACATTGCAAACCGTCGGCTTGTGCCTGTGTGGGAGGAGAAGAGGGACCGTGTGAGATGGATTAGCACGCCTTGGATGGAGAGTGAGGAGATCAAGGGCGCTCATGTGGTGGTGTTGAATCGAGGCGCGCATTTCAAATCCACTGGGCATGTCGTGCTGTCGGTGTCGCGTGCGCTGCAATTCCTCCGGTATAATTACCCCGAGAAGCTGATTGTTTACCGGGCGACCGCCCCGGGTCACCTCAACTGCAAGGACTACAACAAGCCCCTTTTCAAGCGGCAGAACGGGAGCGATTTGCCCTTCCACTGGGGGGAATTCAAGGTGCAAAACGACGCGGTGCGGCCGGTAGTGGAGGCAATGGGGGGTGTGTTTATGGATGTGGATCCTCTAAGCGCCTTGAGACCCGATGGGCATAGGGGGTTGGTTGAGAAGATGGATTGCTTGCATTACTGCTTGCCGGGACCAGAAGATACATGGTCGGAGTTCCTGTATAATATTGTCCAGAGGCTTGTTCCTGTAAAGTAGTCTTATATTTTTTTGTATTACGGTATATTATAACGAGTTCTTCCACAACTGTTCAAGCCGCGGTTTTGAACACTACATGGAGCCACTTCATTGGTGCACTCGTTTTTCAGGGAAACAGCACAGGTCAACAAGAGCCAATCAAGCAAGTCAACAAAAGTCAATCAGGGCGAGTCAACACGGAAGAAGGTGTAGGAGAGGGTGAGGTGGTTGACGTTCTTCATCTGTGGGTCGCTGGCAAACTCTGGATCGATGTAGAAAAATACCTGGTGGGTGGCAGAGTGTTGGTAGATGGATGGTGGAGCGGTGGCCGGGTGGGAGAATGGAGGGGGTAGGGAATGGAAGGGTGCTTGAGACAAGAGGGATTTCAGAGGGAAAAAATAAAAGAAAAAGGCACACATTGCCATGATTCATGTGACATGAATCATGTGGCCATGCGTCACGTGTCATGCTTTATGTGCCAAGCTTCAAGCATGGCACATGAAGCATGGCACATGAAGCATGGCACATGAAACATGGCACATGAAGCATGGCACATGAAACATGGCACATGAAGCATGGCACATGAAACATGGCACATGAAGCATGGCACATGAAACATGGCACATGAAGCATGGCACATGAAACATGGCACATGAAGCATGGCACATGAAGCATGGCACATGAAGCATGGCACATGAAGCATGGCACATGAAACATGGCACATGAAGCATGGCACATGAAGCATGGCACATGAAACATGGCACATGAAACATGACAGATGACACATGACTATGCACGTCCCTAGCCTAAGTAAGATTTGGGTGGTGTTAAAAGTCCTACACTCACAGGGTGCCTCAAGCATGAGCATACCCCAGTCACGGCTGTGCCTCACTCACGGGCGTGCCCCTCTCACTCACGGGAGTGCCCCTCTCACTCACGGGCGTGCCCCTCTCACTCACGGGCGTGCCCCTCTCACTCACGGGCGTGCCCCTCTCACTCACGGGCGTGCCCCTCTCACTCACGGGCGTGCCCCTCTCACTCACGGGCATGTCGATGGTCTCTCCTGGTTGAAGCCTCTGCTCCTCAAAGCAGAAGCACTGGATCTTGTTGAAATAGATGCCCGCCTGCCATGGCAGCACAGAGGAGGGGAGGGGAGGGAGGGTTGAAGTGGGGGAGAGGGTGGGAGAGAAGCAGAAACACTGAATCTTGTTGAAATATATGCCCGCCTGGCATGGTAGCAAGAGGGGGGAAGGGGAGGGAGGGCGGCACAACACGAGGGGCTCTCACCTTCATGGGAGAGACGTTGTAGGTGCTGACGCCTGTGATGGGCTTGTCACTCTTGTTGTGCGCCGTGTAGAACGCGAGCGTGCTCTGGCCAGGCCTCACCCGAACCTGTGAGAGAGGCTCGGGACGAATGGCGCGTGGAGAGTCGGCAAAGTGAATCGTGGCAGCATCAGATCAGAGAGCGCGCAGGTATATGGCACATTGATTGATGAAGCACCAGGGAGGAGCAGAGTCTTATAATGACGCGTGCCATGCAAGATCCCACCCCTACCGATCCCATGCCATGCCATGTTATGAAATGCCATCCCATCCCATCCCATCCCATCCCATGTCATGCAATGCCATGCTATAAAATGCCATCCCATCACATGCCACGCCATGCACAGTCCCAGCCACATTGGGCATCTCATTATGAGATGTGCCATGATGCGATGGTGCCATTTCAGCATGCCATGTGGCACGCCCACCTCTCTCTGCGTGGGGATGAAGCGCCACGGCAGCCCCTCTGCCACGTCAGCATTGAAATGAATCACCAGCTCCCTGCAGTTTACGCATGGCGGGGAAAGCACAGCGAGGTGACTTTTGAGTCGACTCAAAAGTCAGTTGGAAAGCACAGCCAGGGAGACGGCAGTCACGTAGAACGAACGAAAAGATTAAGGGGTTTCGAAAAGAATAGGGAAAAGGACGAGGCGACAGCGTGTTGCTATGCCTGATTGCGATTGATACAAATAGGCGCGATGAGCAGTATGAGTTACTGGGAGGTGAGCAAAGGTGAGGAGAGGTGAAGCAAGCGGGGCCGTCATAGCAGCAACATACCTGGCAGGCGCTGCAGTGTTGTCTGCATTCTGCCGCGCCACCTTCTCCTCCACCGTCTGAGCGATACAGTCACAGCCGCCCAACAACGAGACAATGAGAAGAGTGAGAATAGTGAAACAGCCTATGCCAAGACAATGAGACGAAACAGTCAAAACGGAAGAAGCATGAGCAGATGTCTGGGCGATTACCCCTCCCTTGCCAACTAACACCTTTCATTCCCCATTTCCCCCCCCTCGAATCAACCCCATCCCCCACTCCTTCCCCCATTCCTCCTCCCTACCGCACTTCTTTCCGCTGGGTCGTCCCTCCAAACCCAGTGGCCTGGCAGAAGAGCCTGTGAAATGGCCACCGCATTCCACCGCTCATTCTCCATTCATACTCCATTGGACACCTCATTCCTCTAAACCCTGCCTCCCCATTCCCCACCTCATGCCCCCATTCTTCCCCCCATTCCGTACCTCTTTTCCTCTGTTTCGTCCTTCATTCCCCCCCTTCATTTCCCCTTCCTTCCCCCCTCATTCGCCCTTCGTTACTCCCCCCATTCCTCCGTCAACCCCCCCTTTCTCAGCGCACCTCTTTCCGCTGGGTCGTCCCGCCAAACCCAGTGGCCTGGCAGAAGAGTCGATAGAGAGGCACGGAGGCATAGGCAGCGCCCAGCATGGCCAGCGCAGCAGCTATTAGGTACATCAGATGGGACTTATTCGCCTCTGCCTGCCTCCCTGTTGGCCCGCTCGCCCCGAACCTCCGCCGAGCCTGCTGGCTCTGCTGGTTCGGGGGATGTTCGTGGGAGGTTCGGGGCTGGGCTGCCTGGGGTTGGAGCTGCTGCTCCTGCTGCTGATTCTGGCTGGTTGGTTCGGCTGGTTTGGTCTCTTGAGAGAAAACGGAGATGCCTATAACGGGGATGGGTTCGCGGATTTGGGGACGATGGAGGGATGGGGGATTAGAGGAGGAAGGAACGGAGGAAGGGAGGTGGAGGGTATGGTGGGTGAGGGAATGAGGGGGGGCTCGTCTGTGCTTGAGAATAGAGAAAGGAAGCGGCACACGAGTGGGATACAACATATGAGTGCTCATCTGAGCAGCAAGAGAGCAAGAAAACAGCAGGCGTGCAAGCAAGCATGCAGGTAGAAGCAGCAAGAGAATCACCATGATGAAACGACGCAGATGCTGCTGACGTGGCACTGCAGCCCACCACTGCGGCTACAGCAGCCCCTTCGCGTGTGCTCTGCGGATGCCACGTCACGCGCCAACAGGCTGGCGAATGCAGCTGCTGCGCGGGTGTGACTATAGCGTCTAGACGTGCGTTACACGCTTGCGCCGATGTGACTATAGCGGGAGGGAAGAACGCGCGCGGGTGCGGAGAAGGCCACGGGGCGCTATAACGAAGGAAGAGGGGGCTTTGGTTGTGAAACTGCGGGGAGATCGCGGCTCGATCCACTAAGGGGGGAATGAAGCTTCGTGTGGGTAAACTGGTGGCTTGGGGGATGTGCTTGTAACGAGGGGTGACAAGAGTGCTCGAATCGCGGATGCAAGAGCGGAACGCGCAGAGCGCGTTACGCAGCACGTGGCGCGACGACGACGCCATCGGCCATGCAGCGTGTGCGCGCAGGTCAACAAGAGTCAACGGGAGTCAACGCATGTCACGGGCGGCAGTCAACGCACGTCCAGCGAGTCTAACGAGTCGCGTGATGACGGAAGCACCCGGGTGCGGCGGCGACGGCGGCGGCGGCGGCGGCTGAGGCGGGGCGGTCTTATGGATGGTGTAGGAGACGCGACAAGGATAACTGCGAAGGTGATGCGAGGCAAAGTGGAACCGCGGGGTGAATGCTCTACCTCATGTCAATCCCGAGAACCACAATCGACCGCCGCCACGAGGATTCGAAATCGGGGGGCTTGGGGGAATCTCCTGAAACAAATGGAGGAAAAGGGTGCTTTGCTTGCTTGCTTCTTGCTGGACGGGATAAGAGAAATACGCGATACAGCGGTGCTGACCTGTGTTGTTGCGAGGCAATCTACATTGCGCAATGAAGGCGAGATTAGATTGAAAGGTTCGTTTTGGAGATAACCGTATACCGTTCCCAAACGTGTTTGACCGTACTAAAAAGCGTCGAAAGAACCCCGAACCGAGAAGTATGGCTTGCTATGAGTTCGCTTCCAAATCGGGTCCGATTCGCTATAACATGCAACAGTATTGCTCTCACCGGTATCGGGTCTATATTTGCTTCAAATTCGCGCTTCTTATTTCTGCATGCATTTCTTACCCTCTGCACCAGAGAGTCACGGTCACGACGAAGTCACAACAATCTCTTGCGCGCAGGGCCGTATTGCACGGTCCTTTATCAGCAGCTTATCCAAGTACAGTACGAGTGTGAGGAGTACGGGGAATTACGAATTAGGAATTAGGCCGTTCACTCAGCAACTTCAACCCGAGTCACGTATTTAATTAGGCCTGCACCATGAAGCACGGCAAGACTCCTTGAGGGTTGAACGAACTCGAGGTACCCCCCGAATTTCGCAGAGGCAGTGCGACGACGAGCAGAGCAGAAGAGCAGCAGAGCTACTAAGTCGGCAGCACCATGGATTCGCAGGACCATTTATTAGGGTTTGCTCACGTCACCCACTGCATGTACTAGGTCTAGACCCTAGAGCCCAAGTCATACTTTCACCCTCACTTACCCAATTCGTTTCTCTATTCGCAAACCATCTCCTGTATATCAACTGATAATCAAATCGTTCTCCTATTTGTCGAACCTCTCCTATTTTCAAATCATTCCCCTAGTCTCAAATCATTCCCCTAGTCTCAAATCTTTCTCCTAGAATCAAATCTTTCTCTTAAGACGAGAACGTACTGTGACTCCCCAAACCACTCTCCTGCGTCCGATTCAGCTTCCTGCTACGCTAACTGCAAAGTTCAATCCGTGGCATCTGATCAAGCGGTCAACCCTGATTCTAGGTGCAAGATGCCACGTGTTAAAGTCTGAGCTCCAGATCAACACACTGCTTTTTCTGCCCTGGCTGCTGCTCCCGCTGCTGCTCCCGCTGCTGCTGCGCCTGCTGCTGCTGCAATTGCTTCACCTCCTGCTGCTGTCCTGATTGCTGCACTTCCTGCTGCTGCTGCTGCTGCTGTCGTCGTTCCTGCTGCATCCCCTGCTGTCGTTCCTGTAGCTGGGTTGTCCGCACCTCTGCAACCAGCTGCTGCTGCAACGGCTGCAGCTGTGGCTGCTGCAGCTGTGGCTGCTGCTGCTGTCTGTCCACAAACTCTCTCACATCCTCCCCACCGCTCCCCACCCCACCTTGAAACAAATGCCTTCTAGCACCGCTTCCCACCGTACTCAAAGCCTTCTTCCCCTGCTCCCCCTCACTGCTCCACTCTACCCCCCTCTCTCCCCCCGTCTCGCCCCGCTTCTCACCTCCACGCTCACTACCCATGTCTGCTTCTCCTTCCGCTCCTGCCCTCCTGCCCCTAAGCGCAAGAGCCCTGGTCCGCTGAGACCCATCCTCGGTTCTTATGTCTCCCTTACCAGTGCTCCACTCCACCCTTATCCTCTTTAAGAGCTGACTCACGTCAGGAGTAATGTCCCCTCTGGAACCACATGTGCCAGCACCAGTACCACCAGCACCACCAGCACCACCAGCACCGCCAGCACCACCGGCAGCAGTGGCTGCAGCAGCAGCAGCAGCAGCAGCAGCGGCAGCAGCAAAAACTCCTGACGAAGTCACATATTGCGTCATTTCACCCTTCATTCCCGCCGTCTGGAAGCAAGGCACTCGGCCAGAAGGGCTCCCCTCGCCCTCGTTCTCGCGCTTCCCCTCCCGTGCGTGCTCTGCAGGGCCCTTCCATGGGATTAACCCCTGCCCTGGGCTTCCAGTGATAGGCTGGTGGTAACCAGACGCGTGACTGTAAGGAGCGGTGGGGTTATGGGGAGTGGTGTGGGTGGCGGCATGTGCTTGCAGCCACAGGGAGGAGAAAGAGGGCAGTTGGGGGGCAGAGGGGGCGGAGGGGGAGGAGGGATGATGAGAGGAGGAGGGCAGTTGGGGAGCGAGGGTGGGGTTGGGGGGTGCGGAGGAATGGTGGGAGAAGGAGGAGAAGGAGGGCAGGTGAGGGACGGAGGCTGGGCGGACAGAGGGGGAGCGGTGGGAGAAGGAGGAGGAGGAGGGCAGGTGGGCAGCAGAGGCGGAACGGACGGCTGAGATGGGCCCAGTGGGAAAGCGTGGGCGATGGGATGGGTGGGGCTGATTATCGAAACTCTCGTGAATGTTTTCACTGGGATTGCTTTGTGGATTGCCGTGTGAGTCGACTAGGGGCTTATGGGAAGGAGAGAGAAGCAGGGGATTTGGCAGTGCGGGGGCTTGTGGTGGTGAGGTGAGAGGGGAGGGGAGGAGGGAGAGAGAGAGGAGGGAAGGCGATGTTGCCTCGCCAGCTGCTCCTCTCCCGGCTTCATCTTGTGGCTCTGATTTTCCGGGCGGCAGCCTCCCACTCCCCTTGGTTTCATCTGTTGCTCCCACTCGTCCTACTTGTCCCACTCGTCCCACTTGTCCCACTCGTTCCACTTGTCCCACTCGTCCTGCATGTGCCGTATGTGCTCCCGCCACTCTTGCAACGCTCTCACTGCCTCCCCTTGCCACACCCACCCCGCCTGCTGCTGCTGCCCCTCCTCCTCCCAACCCCCCCACACCAGACCCCACTCCTGCAAGCGTGAGGACGTCAGCAGCTACAGCCATGGTGACGTCAGCAGCTACAGCCATGGTGACGCCAGCAGGGATGTTGCGAGGGGAGGGGTTGGAGCAGGAGGAAGGGCTGATGACGTCAGAGGGGGGGAGAGAGGAGGTGGAGCTAGATTGGCCGCTTGTTGCCCTAGGGGGGGGTGCATGGGGTGCAACGGGTGCTGCAAAGGGTGCTGCAAAGGGTGCTGCAAAGGGTGCTGCAACGGGTGCTGCAACGGGTGCTGCAACGGGTGCAAGCTCCAGAGGCGGGTTCTGAACCGACTGGATCTGAATCGGACGGATTTCGGACGATTGGTTTTGCGTCGACTGGTGCAACCAGTCAAAGGCCACTCTTGCAGGGTGCGTCTGTGCAGCCACCAGCTCAGGCCGATAGGAGACTTGGCTCGACGCCTCGAAACTGGGTGGTCGGGACAATGGTGGTGGTGGTGGCGGTGCCATGATGGGCCCACTGGATGGCTGCGCTGCCAGGGGGGGTGTGCTGGCAGCCGATTGGCTTGCTGCTGCTGCTGCTGCTGCTGCTGCTGCTGCTGCTGCTGCTGCTGCTGCTGCTGCTGCTGCTGCTGCTGCTGCTGCTGCTGCTGCTGCTGCTGCTGCTGCTGCTGCTGCTGCTGCTGCTGCTGCTGCTGCTGCTGCTGCTGCTGCTGCTGTTGCTTCTGCTGTTGCTGCTGCTGTTGCTGTTGCTGCTGCTGCTGGTGCTGCTGGTGCTGCTGCTGTTGCTGTTGTTGGGAAAGGGGAGATAATAAGGCTGGGTGCTGAAGTGGCATGAGCGCAGCTGACTGTGTTTCAGGGAATGCTGATGTGGAAAGGGGACCTGCTGACGTCACAAACTGGTTCGGGTTGTTCAGATGATGTATCACTTGAGCCGTGGATTGAAACGCAGGTGCTTGAAACGAGGACAGCGGGAAGTGTGGTGGTGGCTGCATGAACGGATGTGGTTGGGACTGCTGTAGCTGGGATTGCTGCAGCTGGGATTGCTGCAGCTGCACTGCTTGCAGCATGGTCAAGGAGCCAAAGGGAGCCACAGGCGAGTCAAACGTTCCCCCAGATGCGCAAAAAGGTCCGCCAGACGCAACCATGTGCGGCAAAACAGAGCTGGCTGTGATCGATGGTAAGCCTCTCATTGATGCGTCCCCGACGGGGTTTCCAGAGCGGTGAAGAGAGGTAACCAGGGGTGAGAAAAAAGGCCCAGCAGGGGCCGCCGCAGCAGCAGCAGTAGCACCAGCAGCAGCAGCAGCGCCACCAACACCACCTGCTGGTGCTGCCATCGTTGCAGCGGCAGCGGCTGCCGCTGCTGCTGCCGCAGCTGCAGCGAAGAGTGTAGAAGTGCCTTGGGCAGGGTTAAGGGCCAGTGAGGCTGAGAGCATGTGAACACGCGAGCTTGCATGTGAGCCATCAGATGCAGCTCTCTTGATGGTCTGATGAGGGCTCAGCACCATTCCTGCTTCGCCTGACCTCCCCTGCAATCCTTTTGCTTCTTCTGCCATTCCTCGTCCCATCCCCGCCCCTCCTACTGCTCCTGCTGCTGCTGCTGCTGCTGCTTCTGGTCCGGCCAAGCCGGCTGCTCTTGCTGATCCGCTTCCTGCTGCTGCTCCCTGTGAGCTCACGAGCGAAGAAGGGACGTTGGCAGAGAGCGAGCGAGGGAATGAGACAGAGAAAGCGGGAGGGAGTGGGGAAGAGAGCGAAGGGGGGAGCGGGGAGGGCGGGAAGGAGGCGGAGAGAGACGGATGGAGGGAGGTGGGAACGCGTATGACTCGGGTGAAAGCTTCTGAGGCAGTGGCACCAGGCTTGGCGTGGTTGTGTGTTCCATGGTATACGACGCTGATGCTGCTGCTGCTGCTGCCGCTGCCACTGGTGTTGCCGGCGCCACCCGCGCCACCAGCAGCGTCGGGAGCAGCACTAGCAGCAGCAGAAGCAGCTGCACCAGATGCAGCTGTGGGTTTTCTTGGAGTGCCAGTGCTGCTGCTTCGGGTGGCACTGGCAGCACCGGCTGTGACGACAGCTGTAGCGCCGGCTGTAGCGCCGGCTGTAGCGCCGGATGCATCAGTGCAGGGTTCTGCCTTGGCTGTAGGGCTTGTGACAGGGGAGGATGGATCAGAAGCAGTCGTGTGTGTATCTGCAGCGGCTGTATCAGCGGCTGTAGCAGCGGCTGTAGCAGGGTCAAGCACGAGGGGCGAGTCGATGGTTTTCTTGGCCTGGCAGCCCATGCTGTGGCGGGCACACCGGAAATACGCCCTGGGTGGGAAGTTGAAGGCAAAGGAGGAGAAGAGGGGAGGGGGGAGCGGTCGCAAGCGAAGCTATGGAGGTTCTTGTTGCATGTCTGGTGTTGAGTTCAGGAGGATGCTCAGGTTTCGTGAGCAGGCTGCATCGTGTTCAGCACATCACAACTTCAGCCTACATGTAACCTGGTAACCGCCTGCTATGCCGCCCGTGACGGATTTTTTATGTACGTGTGCCAGAAGCCCACTCGCTACAAGCACATCATTACATGTGCACATACGCGCATGGGAATAACAAGACACAAGACAATGTGGTTAGGTTACCTGGTAACCGCGCGGTCCATGACGGTCTTCTGGCCGTACTTATGCCAAAAATAGCCATCCTCAGCCACCACTGAGCGGCTCCCTGCATGCACCACTGGCTTGCGCTTCCTGCATTCCCATGCCATGCCATGCCATGCCATGCCATGCCATGCCATGCCATGCCATGCCATGCCATGCCATGCCATGCCATGGGGGCATGCATTGCAAAGCCATGCCGTGCCATGCCATGTGGTAATTCGTGCCCGTTGCGCACCAACCAAAGTTTCAACGAGAAAATTCAGAATTAGGCAGGTGCGCAAGTGAGCAAAGAATGCATCAGCCGTTCGGACCCAGCCGTTCGGACCCAGCCGTTCCCCCTTCGGCCAAAATGAGCACCCCACCAACGTACCTTGTCTGGTGAGGGCCACTGGCCACCCTAGTGGAGCCGCGAAAAAGCCTTTGAGGCCCACGCTGATTCTGCTGATTCTGCGTTTGTCTCTCTTGCCGCGGCTGCTGCAGTTGGCCTTTCTCCTCTTCCCCTGCTTCTTCTTCGTGGCCCCCATGCCCCCTACCGTTCCCTCCGTGCTCCCCATGCCCCCCATGTCCCGCATGCCTCTCCTGCCCCTCCTGTCCCCCATGCCCCTCATCCCCTTCATGCCCATCGTCTTCCTCATCTTCACTGCAACCACCACCGCTGTTGTCGCCACTCGCCACGTCAGCATCACTCTCGGCCTTCATCATTGTGTCCACGTCATCCCTGCCGCCCACATCACCGCCACCTCTCCCATCATTATCATACCCCCCGTCCCATTCCCCCTTGCTTCCTACCGCCACCACCCCTCCTCCCCCATCCCGCTTCCCCGCATCCATCAAGCTTGCAGCGCGGTGTTCCCCCTCTGTAACGGCGGCTGCGGCGGCGGCGTGCGCTGCAACAGCACCGCCCGGTTCACCCGCAGAGGCGGAGGCAGCGAAAGCAGAGCCAGCGGTTGCCCCGACGGTGTCGGCGGCTTGCAGTTGGGTTAGCCGCGTCAGGAACAGGCGCGGATCGGCGGAGAACTGGGGCGGAGAGGCGCAAGAATCCGAGGAAAGGCGCGAGATCTGAGGGGGGAACGGCAGATACGGCCCGGGGGCGGGCGCTGCAGCGTCGGCGGAAGCGGCGGAGGCTCTAGTATCGATGGGGGAAGCCATTGAAAAGGTCATAGGTAGCATATGGGGCGGTGCGCGGAAGGGGGAGGGGAACAAAGGGCGCTGTGCGCCTGAAAAAACAGGCCGCATTGCGGCCTGCATTGCAAGATCTAGCAAGGCGACGCTGCTGCTTCCGCCGTCGAGTCCGCTTTGTTGCGCCGAACGACCTTCCGCCGCTGAAGGCAAATCGGCCGCGCTGCGCGCCGCCGCCGCCGCCTCCTCCCACGTGCGGTGGGACGTCGCGCGGAGAGCGTCCATCGCCGACGCGAAGGGCGCAAGCGGCAATGCGGCGGCGGCGGCCCCGCTGGCGGCGAGCACCGAATCCTGCGCCGCCGCCGCTGTTGCAGGCCAAGGGACAACGTCGCCGCTACTAGAATAACTGGCAACAACCCCCCTATTATGATCCACTGGCGTCGCAGTTGCAGATCCGAGCATCCAATGTGGAAAGGTCGCGCGATCGAGCCCTGGTGTGGGCCGCAAAAATCCGTGTCTGCTCGGAGAGCTGCTTATTAGCAACGCCGCCGCATTTTCCGCGGCGGCGTTTCGGTTGGCGATAGGAGTGCTTCCCGCGCCGCCGGTGCATTGCGCTGACGCTGCGGCTTCGGCTGCGGTCATCGCTCCTCTAGTGGGGATTCGCGTAAAGAGGTCGACGGTCTCGTGAAGCGGAGACGCCGCGTCTGCAGCTTCCGCTTGGGGGAGGGGGACTCCGTTGCCGCCGTCACCGGCTGCAGATTCGCCGCGCAGACTGACTCTTCCCGCTGCCGCCGGTGCTGGTGGCCGGCGATCATCGTTCATCACGCGGAGAATCGAATATTAAATGCAGTGGAGCGTCTCGGCGTGTACGTTGTACCGCAGAAAGCTTCGTTTTGAAATGAATATCGCGGCAGAGCCAAATCGCCGCGGGATGCGACGGGTTTCGCGTATTGCCAAGAACTTATCTTCTCGCTGCTTCAAGCAGTTTTAGTAGAACGAGCTTGCGCGTCTCGACGACCCATTTCTTAGGCCGCGTGAAGACGGATCCAATGCTGTGAATGATGCCTTCTGCCAGGACTGAACGACCGCGTGACACACGCGTAGGAGCCAATTCGGGCTGCTGTGATTGTTTTTATCGACGCTCGTTGCAAAGCATCATGGGTCTTGCCGCACGGACCGCGTAAGACGCATGCCACCTCTGCCACTCTAACTACTTGCCAAGTCTGAGAAGCAATGTGGAACGTCGCTGGAAGATTCAGTTCAGGCACTTGAACGTGTTACAGTGAGGCCCACTCTCCTCCCACAACACGGTTAACTAACTCGGTTGGATAAGTCCACTGGAAGGCTTGTGTAGGGAGTGACAAGACAAGACGCTAGCTTCTCTCCTCTCATCGAGTTGCTCGCGTGATTCGAGTGGTTGCTGGCTGTCAGTTGTCGAGTCATGGCATCATCTGAGCAGAAATGTTTGAGAGTGGGTGTCTTACCTTTGCCGCAAACCGGAGCCTCTGCATATTATAATAGGTATGGAACTGCCTTTTTGTTCTGTTCCTCAATTATTCTACAGCGATGGAGCTATTCCTGCCTGCGATCGCCGAATCTTCAGCACACTGAGGAAAGTAATCAGTAAGTGTGGATTTTAGTGCTCATAAAACAATAGATTCCGAACGACTTTGAGTTGGATCTGAAACTTGTTCAGAAGCCAACGGCTGATATGAGATTCTAATAACACTGGTAACAATCAATAACAGCCCTGCTTCTTCTGAGTTGAGGGTTTGACGGTGTTACCCACTGAGGGGTTGGAGTCAAAAACATGCTGCACCACACGCGTGACGAAATGCCACATCGACTCACACGATGAATGCGGGAATTTCTATTGGCAGAAAACGGGAGATGATGAGACTTCGTGGTTCTGTTGCAATGGAAATTGGCCCAGACATGATTCGGGAATTGCTGGTGGTGTGGCAAATTGCTGCAGTACAAGGGTCTCGCTAAGGGCTTGAGGATTTGATGGAGGCCCAGACTTCGGTCCAAACTTCCCCATAGAGGAGAATGAGGACCAGATTTCCCTCCAAAGAACGGATTTAGAGGATTTAAAACCTAGGACTTCAGTCATCCATCCAGCTGGCTCAGGCTTTTTCTCCCTGAATGAGACCTGACACGGTGGAGGTTTTCGTGCGTACAGCAAAGGATTACGGTAAAGTAAGCGGGGGGAGGATTACGATACACCGCCCCCAAAAGTTAGCGGACCCCAAAAGAAGTTTTGAGTAACACGTTTTTCCACAATATTCAATCACCCAGTTGAATACCTTGTACGTTCTCAAGGGTGAGTACCCTGTCGCAAGTATCCTAGCAGAAGCCAACCTCGGCAAATTGGTGAAAGGAGTTCTTGCCCAATGGACCCACCATGTCGCCACTCCCGCCCAGGTCTTGACAAATTGCACCCATGTGTAGTGAAAAACCTCGGCAACATCCAATGTTTACAACACATTTTTTTGTGTTGAGGACCTCCAGGGAGAAATGGCTACTACACAGCTCTATCTTACGCAATCTACACAGAAAATGGTACTGCGGGTAGACTCGCATATGACTTTGCATGCTGAAGTGTCCACACGCCTGGTGTACCGAAAAAGAGATGTCCCACTCGAAGGGGTGCATGAGTGGCAAGAAATGGCTATGTATTAATAACCGACAAGATTTAGCGTCGATGAGATATTCTCTTGGCTTGCGCACCGCAATGAACAGCATTAGGAGACAACTGGCACAACCAGCTAATAGTGGTGCTGAGGCCAGCACAACCTCTTTTTGTTTTCGGCCACTCTTCCTTTTCAGGGTTGGAGATGCGCGCTCCCGGCCCAGAACCCTGGGGTGGCGCCCTGAATGTATGAACCAGGTTTCACCTAAGTTTTCAAAGTAGATACATAAATGATTCCGCGATGAAGGGTCACAATCTACTTTGATCGCCTCGATCAGAGGGAAAGAAACCCCTTTTTGGCTATTTGAGTCTCAGTTTGCCATGACAAGTATGCGAAACTTTTCTGTTTCCGATCACGATCACTCTCTGGTGGCGACTTAAATGTCGTCTAGCACCCATATCTGCTGCTTTTGACTTTATCGAATTTTGAGCAACCAAAGGAACTTGGCCGACGGGGGACGAAGCAAAAGGGGCAAGCAGAAAGTTTAGCTAATGAATCTTCAACAACGGAGAAGTGCTGTGCAGATAATTTGGAGCATTAGTACAGAAACAGCTCAAACTCAAATACAGTAGCCTAAAAAACTCAGAAATGGACCGAGTCGAAATTCCGTAGACTGTTTCTAGCAGGGTGAGCTCTTGAAAGGACGGGTGATAATCAGGGAATAAATTCTGCAAAAATAAAGGGTCCTGCCTCGATTGGAGCGCACTTCTTACGTGTAGAAGCACATTTGTGTATGTTTACCAAGCACGAAGAAACCGTCAAAGTTTCAGGTACATATTTTGCTCGCGAAATCGTCCACCTTTTTTTTTTCGAACACCAGACAGCCCAACTGGTCGGGTTTTACGGGCAACAGCTCAATCGTAACAAGCCCACGCGCAGCGCACTGTCATTGCGTTTTGTGACCGTTTTACTACGAAAACAAGCGAGGCAGCCCACTGTTCTCATGATATCGTTAAGGCTCACATACAGGCCTATATAGCTCCCAGAAAAACAGCTACAACTCCAATGGAAATAGAGTGTAATCTCGAAATTAACATTCTTTGTCGCGACCGAGCAAAGTTACACGTTCCGTGCAAAGCTGGCTCTGTGTTGTTCCACGTTATTTGTCAAGCTGCACGCATTTTCTCAACTCAACTCACCACACCACCACCACCACCACCACCACCACCACCACCACCACCACCACCACCACCACCACCACCACCACCACCACCACCACCACCACCAGAAATGTTTTAAAGCCGCGGTGCAGATATCGCTGCGCCAGTTCAAAGTATTATAGCTTGAAGGGCGCGTTACCCAGTATACACTGGAAGTCGAGCAGGCCGAGCTTTCTGAGATCCGGGGAAGGTCGTGCGGAAAAGTGCCTCGCAGCATGATGAGTGGGGGGGAAGTTGGGGAGGGCTTGCGGAAAAGCACCGCACAACAGCATGAAGGGGGGGCCAGGCATCAAACTTGAAACTTGAAACTTGAACTCAAAACTACTCAAACTCGGCAATCTCTCGCGCTAGGCTAGGTTACTACTAACTTGAAGTGCCTTCCCGTAGGGCTACTGAGAGCCATTCGCCTCAGATCTATCTCTATTCTTCGCCTCTTAGTGTGCGCTCGAATATCTGCGCTATTTCGTACCTCAAAAAACACCACGGCAGTCGTACCCGTAGCTCATTGCGCTAGATTTCCTCCGCTGTCGTCGTTCAGTTTTCCCTCTCCCGTCCCTCTATTTCTCACGAATCGGCGGTGGCAAGCAGCGACGATGGCGAGTAAACGGAGTCATCACGAAGTCAAGCTTGACTTCCAATCCAAGCAGACTGGCGTGATCTTCGTTGAGATCGACAGTTATTTCAAGGGATTTTGAAGAGACATGGAAGAAGCCCCAGTGGGGATTTCGAGCCGACCGCTACGTTAGGCAAATCAACACAAAGTGAGGACGGCTGAGATATGTCCACATCAGCTAGACTGTTGCCCGTGTTCCATCTCCACAGTCGAATTGCTGTGCTGACACAAGGTTCACGATTTGTGTTGTGGGAGGTTGGTTTGGATAGCTTCGAGACACACAGAAGACAGGATTCAGGTTCACAATGTTTAGGATTGATCCATCTGTCAAAGGTCAATGTTCGAAAACACCCACGTTGCAAGAATGTCATCGGCGGATTTGGTTGCGACTCCCGCAGGAGTAATAGGGCGCGTCCCCACGTTTGCCAGCCATGAAAGTTTACGCACCAGAACAAAATTTGAGCAAAACGCAGAAATGTACTCACTACAAATGCAACCCGCGCGTTCACAAGCACCTTATCCATATCAGATTGATTCTGTACAACAACTGCTCAGTAAACTTACCCTTCTGGCAGGTCATGCCTAGCGTGCTCTTCTCCTAGCGTGCTATTCCCGCTAGGCACGAGCAGCGCGATTCCCGCTAGGCAGCAGCAGCGCGATTCCTGGTAGGCAGCAGCATTTACCTCGCTAGTAGCAGCGCGATCGCGCCACGTAGCCCGCGACCCAGCCCGCAATCTCGCCGCCCAGCCCGCGAACGAGCTCCTAAGCCCGTGATCCAGCCGCGTAGCCCGGTACCTCGCAGCCGAGCCCGTGATCTAGCCGCCTAGTCCGCGATCTCGCCGCGGAGCCCGCGATTTAGCCGCCAGGTTCGCGATTTAGCCGCTTGGCAGCGATCTAGCCGACCAGCCCGTGATCTAGCCGCAGAGCCAGCGATTAGGCCGCCCGCAGCGCCGTTAGGCAGCAGAACTGGCGCCATAGCAGGCTCGTTTCACGTACTGGCAGCAGAATCGCGTCACAGCAGCGAAAAACGCGCCACAGCAGCGAAGTCCATGCCACATCAGCGAAATCTGCGTCACGGCAGCGAAGTCCGTGCCACAGCAGTGAGATCCGAGCCATAGCAGCGAGATCCGAGCCATAGCAGCGAGATCCGCGCCATAGCAGTGAAATCCGAGCTATAGCCGCGAGATCCACGCCATAACAACGTGGTTTGCGCCATAGCAGCAAAAGCCGTGTCTTAGCACCGAAATCCGCCCCTCAGCAACGGAATCCGCGCCATAGCAGCCGCGCCTGGGCCATCGCAGTGAAACCCGCGCCATAAGAGTGTGATCTGTGCCGTAGCAGCGAAGACAGCACCTTTGCAGCGAAACCCGCGCCATAGCAGCACCGTAGAGTAAGAGCAGTAGCAGAGAGTAAGCGAACAAGCCTTAGCCAGATCCTTGAGCCATGGCGGACGATCCGGACCCCGGGGATCCCGGGGGCCGGGTGGGGGGCGGCCTTGACAGCGACGTGACGGGAGCCTTCGGGGGTGAAGGGGGGGTAAGCACAGTAGCAGCTGGTGGGTCGCTCCACCTATTGACCGGTCACAAAAGACGGGGGGGGGCTGAGAGTGCGCTCCAGAGCCCACGCATTCGTCGCCTCCACCACGAAGACCTTCTGTGCCTCTTTGGCAAACCAGCCAAGAGACAGTGTTGTGAAGCAGGCCGTTCCATTTCAGTACTGACATGCGGCCAACCTCTCGAAAACCCTCCCAACACCGGGTCTGACGGCGATTACCCTGTACCTTCGGCCATCATCGGAGAAAGGGGGGGAGCAACAACCGAAAAGGGTCCAGTCGACGAGGCGGCGGTTGTACCACGGGTGGCATCGGAGGTAGCGAGGGCAGCCTGGGAGGAACACCGTAGGCGCTTGCAACAACAGCATGACACTCGCAGACGCTGCCTACCTGTGAGGGCAATGTTGCACGGCGCCGGCTCGGCCGACACCGCAATCCCCCCGGTCGTGCCACGTCTCGCATGGCGGCAGGAGCGGAGGCGCCGGAGTGCGGCGGGGAAAGACAGGCAGCAGGAGCCACTAGTGGGGGGTCAGCGTGACCCGCAGGTGGGCGGGCAGCAGGGGGCCCGGGAGAGGAGCCGGCAGCCGCCGGTGGGGACGGGGCAGCAGGAGCTGCAGAGCGGAGGGCAGCAGGAGCTGCAGAGCGGGGGGCAGCAGCAGCTGCAGAGCGGGGGGCAGCAGCAGCTGCAGAGCGGAGGGCAGCAGGAGCTGCAGAGCGGAGGGCAGCAGCAGCTGCAGAGCGGAGGGCAGCAGCAGCTGCAGAGCGGAGGGCAGCAGCAGCTGCAGAGCGGAGGGCAGCAGGAGCTGCAGAGCGGAGGGCAGCAGGAGCTGCAGAGCGGAGGGCAGCAGCAGCTGCAGAGCGGAGGGCAGCAGCAGCTGCAGAGCGGAGGGCAGCAGGAGCTGCAGAGCAAAGGGCAGCAGGAGCTGCAAAGCGGAGGGCAGCAGCAGCTGCAGAGCGGAGGGCAGCAGGAGCTGCTGAGCGGAGGGCAGCAGGAGCTGCAGAGCGGAGGGCAGCAGCAGCTGCAGAGCGGAGGGCAGCAGCAGCTGCAGAGCGGAGGGCAGCAGGAGCTGCAGAGCGGAGGGCAGCAGGAGCTGCAGAGCGGAGGGCAGCAGCAGCTGCAGAGCGGAGGGCAGCAGCAGCTGCAGAGCGGAGGGCAGCGGGAGCTGCAGAGCGGAGGGCAGCAGGAGCTGCAGAGCGGAGGGCAGCAAGAGCCGGTTTGGGTGTTGGATGTGGAGATGGCGGACGAGGCTTGCACCGATGAGCTGGAATCAAGCCCCATGGAGGGGGAGAATGCCAACCCTGATTCCCCGGACCAAGCGGAAAGGCCCCGAGCGCGGGGCCGGGGCCGGAGGCGACGGGCAACCAAACTGCAGCAGCTGCAGAGCGGAGGGCAGCAGCAGCTGCCGAGCGGAGGGCAGCAGCAGCTGCAGAGCGGAGGGCAGCAGCAGCTGCAGAGCGGAGGGCAGCAGCAGCTGCCGAGCGGAGGGCAGCAGCAGCTGCAGAGCGGAGGGCAGCAGCAGCTGCCGAGCGGAGGGCAGCAGCAGCTGCAGAGCGGAGGGCAGCAGCAGCTGCCGAGCGGAGGGCAGCAGCAGCTGCAGAGCGGAGGGCAGCAGCAGCTGCAGAGCGGAGGGCAGCAGCAGCTGCAGAGCGGAGGGCAGCAGCAGCTGCCGAGCGGAGGGCAGCAGCAGCTGCAGACCGGAGGGCAGCAGCAGCTGCCGAGCGGAGGGCAGCAGCAGCTGCCGAGCGGAGGGCAGCAGCAGCTGCAGAGCGGAGGGCAGCAGGAGCTGCAGAGCGGAGGGCAGCAGGAGCTGCAGAGCGGAGGGCAGCAGGAGCTGCAGAGCGGAGGGCAGCAGGAGCTGCAGAGCGGAGGGCAGCAGGAGCTGCAGAGCGGAGGGCAACAGCAGCTGCCGAGCGGAGGGCAGCAGCAGCTGCAGAGCGGAGGGCAGCAGGAGCTGCCGAGCGGAGGGCAGCGGCAGCTGCCGAGTGGAGGGCAGCGGCAGCTGCAGAGCGGAGGGCAGCAGGAGCTGCAGAGCGAAGGGCAGCAGGAGCTGCAGAGCGGAGGGCAGCAGCAGCTGCAGAGCGGAGGGCAGCAGCAGCTGCAGAGCGGAGGGCAGCAGCAGCTGCCGAGCGGAGGGCAGCGGGAGCTGCAGAGCGGAGGGCAGCAGCAGCTGCAGAGCGGAGGGCAGCAAGAGCCGGTTTGGGTGTTGGATGTGGAGATGGCGGACGAGGCTTGCACCGATGAGCTGGAATCAAGCCCCATGGAGGGGGAGAATGCCAACCCTGATTCCCCGGACCAAGCAGAAAGGCCCCGAGCGCGGGGCCGGGGCCGGAGGCGACGGGCAACCAAACTGCAGCAGCTGCAGAGCGGAGGGCAGCAGCAGCTGCCGAGCGGAGGGCAGCAGCAGCTGCAGAGCGGAGGGCAGCAGCAGCTGCCGAGCGGAGGGCAGCAGCAGCTGCAGAGCGGAGGGCAGCAGCAGCTGCCGAGCGGAGGGCAGCAGCAGCTGCAGAGCGGAGGGCAGCAGCAGCTGCCGAGCGGAGGGCAGCAGCAGCTGCAGAGCGGAGGGCAGCAGCAGCTGCCGAGCGGAGGGCAGCAGCAGCTGCCGAGCGGAGGGCAGCAGCAGCTGCAGAGCGGAGGGCAGCAGGAGCTGCAGAGCGGAGGGCAGCAGGAGCTGCAGAGCGGAGGGCAGCAGGAGCTGCAGAGCGGAGGGCAGCAGGTGCTGCAGAGCGGAGGGCAGCAGGAGCTGCAGAGCGGAGGGCAACAGCAGCTGCCGAGCGGAGGGCAGCAGCAGCTGCAGAGCGGAGGGCAGCAGGAGCTGCCGAGCGGAGGGCAGCGGCAGCTGCCGAGTGGAGGGCAGCGGCAGCTGCAGAGCGGAGGGCAGCAGGAGCTGCAGAGCGAAGGGCAGCAGGAGCTGCAGAGCGGAGGGCAGCAGCAGCTGCAGAGCGGAGGGCAGCAGCAGCTGCAGAGCGGAGGGCAGCAGCAGCTGCCGAGCGGAGGGCAGCGGGAGCTGCAGAGCGGAGGGCAGCAAGAGCCGGTTTGGGTGTTGGATGTGGAGATGGCGGACGAGGCTTGCACCGATGAGCTGGAATCAAGCCCAATGGAGGGGGAGGATGCCAACCCTGATTCCCCGGACCAAGCGGAAAGGCCCCGAGCGCGGGGCCGGGGCCGGAGGCGACGGGCAACCAAACTGCAGCAGCTGCAGAGCGGAGGGCAGCAGCAGCTGCCGAGCGGAGGGCAGCAGCAGCTGCAGAGCGGAGGGCAGCAGCAGCTGCCGAGCGGAGGGCAGCAGCAGCTGCAGAGCGGAGGGCAGCAGCAGCTGCCGAGCGGAGGGCAGCAGCAGCTGCAGAGAGGAGGGCAGCAGCAGCTGCCGAGCGGAGGGCAGCAGCAGCTGCCGAGCGGAGGGCAGCAGCAGCTGCAGAGCGGAGGGCAGCAGGAGCTGCAGAGCGGAGGGCAGCAGGAGCTGCAGAGCGGAGGGCAGCAGGAGCTGCAGAGCGGAGGGCAGCAGGAGCTGCAGAGCGGAGGGCAGCAGGAGCTGCAGAGCGGAGGGCAACAGCAGCTGCCGAGCGGAGGGCAGCAGCAGCTGCAGAGCGGAGGGCAGCAGGAGCTGCCGAGCGGAGGGCAGCGGCAGCTGCCGAGTGGAGGGCAGCGGCAGCTGCAGAGCGGAGGGCAGCAGGAGCTGCAGAGCGAAGGGCAGCAGGAGCTGCAGAGCGGAGGGCAGCAGCAGCTGCAGAGCGGAGGGCAGCAGCAGCTGCAGAGCGGAGGGCAGCAGCAGCTGCCGAGCGGAGGGCAGCGGGAGCTGCAGAGCGGAGGGCAGCAGCAGCTGCAGAGCGGAGGGCAGCAAGAGCCGGTTTGGGTGTTGGATGTGGAGATGGCGGACGAGGCTTGCACCGATGAGCTGGAATCAAGCCCCATGGAGGGGGAGAATGCCAACCCTGATTCCCCGGACCAAGCGGAAAGGCCCCGAGTGCGGGGCCGGGGCCGGAGGCGACGGGCAACCAAACTGCAGCAGCTGCAGAGCGGAGGGCAGCAGCAGCTGCCGAGCGGAGAGCAGCAGCAGCTGCAGAGCGGAGGGCAGCAGCAGTTGCCGAGCGGAGGGCAGCTGCAGCTGCAGAGCGGAGGGCAGCAGCAGCTGCCGAGCGGAGGGCAGCAGCAGCTGCAGAGCGGAGGGCACCAGCTGCCGAGCGGAGGGCAGCAGCAGCTGCAGAGCGGAGGGCAGCAGCAGCTGCAGAGCGGAGGGCAGCAGGAGCTGCAGAGCGGAGGGCAGCAGCAGCTGCAGAGCGGAGGGCAGCAGCAGCTGCAGAGTGGAGGGCAGCAGCAGCTGCCGAGCGGAGGGCAGCGGGAGCTGCAGAGCGGAGGGCAGCAGCAGCTGCAGAGCGGAGGGCAGCAGCAGCTGCAGAGCGGAGGGCAGCAGCAGCTGCAGAGCGGAGGGCAGCAGCAGCTGCAGAGCGGAGGGCAGCAGCAGCTGCAGAGCGGAGGGCAGCAGGAGCTGCAGAGCGGAGGGCAACGGCAATTGCAGAGCGAAGGGCAGCAGCAGTTGCAGTGCGGAGGGATGGAGCTTGCAAGGCCGTTAGAGGGGGGCATGGAGACGGAGTCTAGCAGGAGGGTCTTGCCGGCGTGTTCGAGTGGAGAGGAGCACCCAGACCCTACATTGACACCCCCGCCCCGCATTCCGTGCGAAACCTGTTATCGCACGTTCACGGAGAGAGGAAAGGCCACACGCCATATGTCGGCCTGCAGGGCAGCGGACGCCCAGCGTCGTGCTCAGGCGCTTGGGTTGACCCGCGACGTCACAGATGACTCGGACGGCGAACCCCCGCCACCACGTGATATCAGTTAAGAGGTATGGGCCGCAGTTCCTACATGGGACTGGGAGTCGTTTTTTGGGATCGAATTGGTGCCAGGGAGAATCATGCGTCGTATCCCACAGCGCGCTAGATTGGGGGTGCTTGATGCACTGTCTTGTGTCCTGAAGCGGCTACAGTTAAAGGCAGCAGACGAGGCGGCGTCCTTGGTCTTTTTGGCCTTCCCTCGTCTTATCTTGGGGATGCCAACTGGGCAAGGCCAGGGGCATAGGGCGGCAATCAGGGAGCGGTTGGAGAAGTTTTGGGTCGGGGAGTGGCGGGAGCTGTTTGAGTTGGCGGTGGCGGTAATGCAACCTGCGGCGCGTCCTTTGTCCTTCACCACCCCCGAGCATGATCCTGATGCGGTGCGCCTGGCTCGCTGCCGCACAAGGTGCAAAGTGGGAGAATGGAGTCGGGGTTTGGCGTGTCTTACTGCCGGTAGCATCGCTCAGCCCTCTCAGCACATGGTGGACGCGCTGCGAGCGAAACACCCATCGAGCGAGACCGCCATTCCGGAGTGGTTGCAGGAGGAGATAGTTGAGCCTTCCCTTATCCCGCAGCTCTCAGTGGAGGTACTTGGTCAGGCGATCCACTCTGCGGCTAGGGCGTCGGCACCAGGACCGTCGGGGTGGGTGACGGAGCACCTGCGCGACACTTTTCTCTCTGAGCCCGCATACCTGCCTCACCTGCTAGGAGTCTTCACCCAGTGGACCAAGGGAGAGGTAGCGGAGCGCGTGCGACCCTGGCTCACTGCGTCCAACCTTGTGGGCCTGTCGAAGCCGAATGGTGACGTTCGCCCGGTGGCTATAGGCGAGGTGCTCCCCCGCATACTATCTCGGGCCCTATGCATCGTGCTTCGGCCGAAGATGATGTCGCACTTTGCGCCGTGTAACCAGCTAGGAGTCGGATCCAGGTCGGGAGTGGAAGTCCTCGCACATGCCTTTCGTTCTGCCATCTCTACTCACCCGTCATGGTGCGCGCTTCAAATTGATGTGGCGAATGCTTTCAACTCCTTCCATCGGCGGGAAATGTTTGAAGGACTTCGACAGTCGCCTTTTGCGGGTTTGATCCCATTCATGCGTGTCTTCTACGGCACTCCTAGCGACCTCTACCTCCGTGCGGGCCCCTTCGTCGAAGCTTTGGCTTCAGAGCGAGGATCGAGGCAAGGGGACCCATTGGGGCCGTTTCTGTTCGCGTTCACACAGCAGCTGGTTATGGAGCCCACCAAACAAGAATTCGCCGACCTACTCTTTCTCAGCTACGCCGATGATACGTACATCTTGGGGCCTAGGGAGCGGGTGCTAGCAGCTTATGAGGTCTTGCGGGAACGACTGGGCGGGCTTGGTCTGGAGGTGCAGCCGCATAAGTGCAAGCTTTGGGAGCGAGGGGTGGACCAGGAGGGAGAGGAGAGGAACGAGACCGTCCCGCCCGGCATGCAGCAAACATGGACGGGGCTCACCGTAGTGGGGTTTCCTATTGGGGAGGAGGAGTGGGAGGTGGCCAGCTTGCGAGGCCGGCTGATGCAGCTGCATGCACCTGTCCCTTGGCTTCCTTTGCTCGACCACCCACAGATTGCGTCCCATCTGCTGGCGATCGCAGTGTCAGCGCGCCCGATTTACCTCACAAGGACGATGCCTCCACGGCCTGAGGTTGTGGAGGCTTTCCGCGACTGGGACACGAAGCTTGAGGATTGTTTTGAGCAGCTGTTTCCAGATAGCACCTGGGATCATGATTCGGCAAGGTCGCAGATGGCCCGTCTACAGCTGCACCTTCCAGCCAGACTTGGAGGGTTTGGCATTCGATCTGCAGCTGACCTTAGTCCTCTGTCGTACGCATGTGGTTGGTGCCAGGCAGTGAGCGATGTGGCTCGGATGGGGGTGGCAGGGGAGGAACGGATGTTTGAGGAGTTTTTCCGCACGCCCGAGGCTACGACCTTGCTGGATCCTTGGTTTGCGAGAGCAGTGGAGCTGCTGCCACAGTCGGTCAGGCAGGAGATGCCACCCCTAGCCTTATGCACCGCTGACCCCCCTGTGCTGCTTTTCCCCACACAACACCGTCGCCTAGCGGTTGAGAGTCTGCAGACTCTTCGGGGTATGGCCCACGACGACGCCACCATGGCCCGTTTGACATCCCTTCAGGGCCCGGGGGCAGGGGCGTGGGTCTCCGCCGTCCCTTCGCACGAAGAGGCTACCTTCACCGCAGCCGAGTGGAGCATCTGTGCGTCCATGCGCCTAGGCCTCCCCATACAGCAGCTGATAGTCGCCAGCAAGTGCGCGTGTGGGTTTGAGTTTGCTGATCCCTCTGACCCGCATCATGCCCTTCGCTGCAAGTACCAGTACGCACCTTCTCGTGTTCACGACGCGGTTAAGTTTGTGGTGGCGAAGATAGCTAAAGGGGCGGGTGGGGTCGTGACCATGGAAGACGACACGTTGCTGCCAGGGAAGAGGGTGGATGTGGCGGTGCGGAGACTGAGGGAGGGGGAGGAGCATGCGCTGGAGGTTAGTGTGGTGGACCCTATCTCGTTGTCCGCGCAGCACCATGGACAGATTGGTCGCAAGGTGGGTTTTGCCGCTAGAGAGAGGGAAAAGCGGAAGGCGGCGGACTACAAATTGCTTCTGCAGCGACATAGGGGAGTGTAGTTTACACCTCTCATTGCTGAGACATGGGGTTGCCTGGGGGGGAGTTTTGGGCGGTGGCTTAAGAAACAGGGCGACGCGCAGATTGAGGTAGCGAAGACGAAAGGGGCGGCGAGAGCTACGGGGAAAGGTTTCTCGGCTTACTTGCTTGGATCACTTAAAGCGGCCATAGGTGTGGCTTTGCAGCGGGCTCAGGCGCGTGTGATCTTGTTGCGCGCGGCGTCGATGATGAGAGGCCCAGAGGCTGTTTCGGTGGAGCGGGAGGATTTTGAGGAGGAGATGGGATGGGATGCTCCGTGGGCGGATGCGCCCTATTTGGTGGACATGCGGGTTTAGAGGGTGGGTTTAGGTGAGGGGGGTGGGGGGTTTGGTTAGATGGGGCGTATTGTTGGGGTGTCTCGTTGGGGTGTCTCGTTGGGGTGTCTCGTTGGGGGTATCTCGTTGGGGTGTCTTTTGGGGTTCCTTATGTGCTGTTCTACTGGGGTGTTCTTGATGCACGACAGGGTGAGTAGCTACAGCCCTGGTGACAGCCATGCACAACTTGAACAGATTGTTGGACGCAATCCAGAGCAAAAAAAAAAAAAAAAAAAAAAAAAAAAAAAAAAAAAAAAACAAAAACAAAAACAAATGCAAAATGACTGCACATGCTGACTGGACGCGCAGCAACCGAGCCGAGAGTGCAGGGAATCGAGATTGGAATTCGTTACAGCATTTTGACATACATTCAGCTAGAAACACGTTCTGAAGTTACATTCTTTGAAGGCTGATGAGGATCCTACAGACTTGGTAATGAGGATGATGGACAGGCATCTCAAACTACCAGTAGAAACACTCAATTTCTCTCTTTGCCTGTACACAAGTTGTCAATTTAAAAGCACCCTTGTGCTTCGTATTTCCATCCAGCCACTGTTTGTTGCACCCACCCACCCCAGTTTCTATACGGCATTTCGAAAACCCGGGTGATATACATGGGGGAGTTTGATAGCAGGAAGAGAAGATCGTGTTGAGGAATGGATAGAGGCAGCAGCACGAGCACCAGTCTGGTCTGCACTGCACCAGTCTGACCCGCAGCAATGGTATCTACTATTTGCGTCTCCTGCAGCCCTAATTATGACTCACCCATACTCTCAGTCAGCAGCACCGGTTGGGCGGCAGAGTGCAGATACGATTCTACTTCATTGTTCCGCACCCACAGAGGGAATTCAGCAGCACCCCCAGCAACACCAGAAGACATAAACCCTCCACTCTCACTGCCCATCTGGCCCGGCGTGCCGCCCAGGATGGGCACAGAGCTGGCTGCTCTGCGATGCGCGGCGGCAGCGGGAGCAGCAGCAGCAGCACCCCCCCTCCCTCCAGCACCACCCAGCAACCTATCACGCGAGTGTGGGGCCGAGATGGAGTCAGAATGAGGGGCGAGCATGCGTGCAACTGGCTAGCGGAGTGCAGGTATGGGACTAGCTGCGCCCTCACACCCTCTACCAGCCCCTCCATCTCACGCTGCTTCCTCGCTCCTCCCTGCTGCCACCACTGCTGCTGCTCCTTCCCCTGCCCCTTGTGCTGCTCTAGCTGCTGCTGCTCGGCCTGCCCAGGCGTTAACCACGGAGGACCAATCGTTTGCCATTGCATCTCCGCCGCACGCCCCTGCCCCTGCCCCTGCCCCTGCCCCTGCCCCTGCCCCTGCCCCTGCCCCTGCCCCAGCCCCAGCCCCTGCCCCTGCCCCTGCCCCAGCCCCAGCCCCTGCCCCTGCCCCTGCACCTGCCCCTGCCCCAGCCCCTGCCCCTGCCCCTGCACCTGCCCCTGCCCCTGCCTCTGCCCCTGTTCCTCTTCCCAGGTCAACATGTCAAGTGCCCCCTGTCCCTCTTCCTGCCTCACCTCTGCTCGTTCCCACTCCCATTCCTCCTCCCTCACTCCTTCCTTCTCCCTCTCCTTCCGCGCTCCTCCCCTCGACTCCACCTCGTGCTGCCCTCCTCGTTCCGCTTCCCCTCCCCCCTCCCCCTGCCCAGTACCATCCCGCCGAGTCTCTACACTCGAATCTCCGCCCCTGCTACTCCTTCCGCCGCGCCCAGTGTCCGCCGGCCCGCCCGTTTCTCCGCGCCCCCTTTCCCCGCGCGCCTCTTCCCCGCTCGCGTACAGCTCCCATTCGCTGCTACTCCGCCGTTTCTGCGCGCGCTTTCCGCATTCCGTAGCTTCCCGCGCCAGCGTGGGCGAGCGCAACGCGCCTTCCGCGAGCATCTCCGCCTGCCCCGGGGAGCCGGGAAAGCCTTCCGCCCCACCGCCCATCAGGTCACGGCTTTCAAAGGCGGAGCGCGCTCGCACGCGCCGCTGCTGCTTCCAGCCCGCCGGAAGCGGCGCAAGTGGCGCCGCGAGAAGCGGGAGGGACTTGCGCGCATCGAGCGACGCGAGCGCGGCGGCGTGCGGACTAGTCACCTCCACGCGCATCGTCGAGCGGAGTTCCACCGCCAATGTCGCCCCCCGTGTTCGCGGCTCCGCCAATGTGCCAGCCCCATTGCGCTCCTCATCGCTCCGCCTTCCTACCCCGCCACCCCCGCGTTTGCGCCTGCCTCCCCCCCCCTTCCTAGTGCGAATCCGGCGGCGGCTGTGTCACCCCTCTCAACTGCGCCCCCTCCTGTCGCGACTAATCCCTTTTCTCTCATTTCAGACACACCTGCCTGACTACTAGCTTTTTCCGCGTTACAAGCACGACTCGATATTCGGCAACTGAACGGACCCTGGCGGAGCACGAACAGCGGGCTTTTCCCGTCGAGGCCGGCAGCGGCAGCCGCGCAAGCCGCCGCCGGTTCATCGAGCGCGTGTCTCAAGCCGCCCAGAATCCGCAGCCGCTGCTCGCGCCGCCTCTGGAAAATCTCCTCCTCCCGTTCGCTGACCGCTAGAGCCAACGCCTGCCGCCCAATCGCCTCGGGACTGCCACGTGGCTTCTTGGGCGAATGCACGGCCTGCCCCCAGTCTTCTTGGGCGAATGCGCGCTGCGACGAGAGCGCCAAGGCCGTTGGTGAGCGGCGCGAGGGGAGTGACGATGCGGCAAGATGCACTTCCTGATTTGGCGTGGGGACCGCGAGTGGCGGCTCGTCTGTGGACTGATTCAAGGCGACCAGTTGACGCGGTTGACTCCGTTGACTCGGTTGACTTGACTGAAGCGGCTGCTCCCACATCCACGAGCACTGCAGTCTCAACGGAAGAGAGCCGTGCGGCGCGGACGCGGATAGCCCTAACTCTTGCTGCTGCGTGGGGCGGGGGGCGTCGTCATTGGGGAAGGCAACACCTGGGGAACGCGCGGTTATGTGGATCCGGTCGAGGCGCGGGAGAAAAGATCTGCCAGCTGGCACGCTCCAGTCCTGCGATTGCGGGATTCTCGCGGGAACATCGTGACGAAACGGGTCTACTGAGGACGGACACGTGGCACGGGCCATGTCACTATCGAGCACGATACTGTCTGGGTCTAGATAGGGCCGCGCCGCGGGATTGGAGGTTGTGGTTAAGGTTCGATGGAACGGTTTGGAGGCAAGATCTCTGGCTTCCCCGGTGGCTGATCTTCTAAGACCTAGCACTGCCTCCGCCGCCGTTGGCGGCGGCGGCGGCGGCGATGGCGGCTGAGTGAAGGTAGACAACGATCGTGGCGGGGGCCTCGTTCCTGAAGGCGCGGCGGCGGCAGTGCGTGCATTAATGGCGCGAGACGCAACTCCGTGAATGTCGCGTAACGCGTCCATCGGAGCGGCCGAGGGATCACGACCTGCGAGGTCGAACGCTTCGCGACCGTCGCATTGAGGCGACCGCCGTTTGCGATCGAGCAGCGAACCCACGACGACGTCGCGCGGCGCCACTCCATACTGAGCGACAGTCCATACATCGCGCGGAATGGCCGTCGCAGGAGCCATCGCCACGCCCGAGAGCTCGCACCCTCCGCCATCCGACGACAGTGGGTCGCAGGCCATGCGACTCGGGCTTTGACGACGAGGGTCACGACGATCCAGGGACAGAAACTCGAATCGACTAGGAGAACCTAGGAATAGTATCGGCGGAGATCCAAAAGGATCGGAAGTCCGACAGGGTACAACGGAAGCTCGAGAAGGCTAACCTAAGGTTATTACATTTCCTCAGTTTTTTCACGAAGCTAGCATTTAGGTCCAAATGCTCATGGTGACATATTTGATTGGCAAAAGCTGCTCGTAAGGGACTGAGGCGGCGAAACCTAACACTTCACTTCCTCTTCATCCAGTGGCTAGAATTGTCGCGAGGGGGTGATAGCGGTGGTCGCAGATTCGGGCGTGGCGGGGCTGGCGTGGCGTGTCATGAATGCCATATCAGAGATGGAGAGAAGGATGAAACACGCCGCTAGGATGAAAACACGCCGCCATGGCGGGGTGAGGGCGGTGGAAGAAAGGTTGAGTCTGGTTTTGGTGGATGATGAGGTTTGTGAAGATTTGTCAGTGATGCCTTCCCATAAATAGGGTGGGTGGAAGGATAGGGTGGGCAAAAAACAGAACCATGGCCGAGATTTGGTGGTTTGGAGGGCGAGAACCTGAGATTTGGCAGTCACCAAACTTCGGGAGCTCCACACTAGCGTGACAAAGGAACAGACTTGTGCGTCCATCGATGCAGCACTATTCCACCCATAGCCAAGGGACACCGCGCCACTGCACCTAGTCCGCGGGACCAGCCTTGCACGGTGCGGTACACGGTGTGTATTTCATATTTTATACTGGATATTCCGCAATAGTTTCGCGTTACCGCCTTATTTCAGGAGACTTTTGCTCTGCCTCTGCCAGTTTGAAAGGTACTGGGTTTCAAAACTTCGCCCTGGATCAGGGTTCAGGGGCACCCTTCCAGGATCAACACCATCACTCACCTGAGCTGGACATATGATACACTCCCCCAATAAAATGTCCATCGATCCTCGATTTGTCCTGGACTGTGTAGGGCCCTTGTTTTTCTGGCACGTCAGCAAGCTCTTCCTTGTTAGTAAATCCACGCCAGGCCATCCACCAGGTGTGCGCGTGATAGCTGGCAGAACTTGGTGCGTTTTGATTCGGCAATCTCAGCCATCTTGGGTACGGAATGCACCAGCTTCGAGGACTTTGACTCGGTTTGGTTTGGGGGACGAAGCGAACTGTACAGTTTGCCTTCTGATTGGACACCAAGGCTCCAAATACAGACTCTACAGTAGAATACGCTGTGCCGAAAGTGAACTGTAGAGAATACAGTAGCCTCCACGCTGGCCTCCGCTAGGAACTCACTCTTTCTCACCTTGTCCTCGTAGAGCAGTAGACCAAACCGTTCTGTTAAAAAACGCCATATTGTGTTGTGAGTGTACACATGTGCCATTCTCTGTATGTGTTTGCAATTTCTATCCTCAAGAACATGCAAGCAGATTTGCTAACTGAAGAACTACAGCATACCGGTAAGGTTCAACTAGCGGTCCACAATAGGGAGCTCAACCGTAAATGCTGACATCGACGGTATCAAATATTTTAGTGTGGTAGCATTCGCCACATCCACCACGGGAGAAACCTGGGTGGAGGGAGGGAGGGGATGTGGAGGCAATTTGTTCAACAGGACCCAAAGTGAATCACTACCAGATGCAGGTAGCAATACCATGCAACAGGTGCAATACCATGCAGAGCCAGGAATCATCAGGTGCTTACAACATCGCACATTCTAGCTGTTCGGATCAATAAGGGTGGGACTCCCTCATGGAAATTGCAGCTACGGGAGATACGCCTGTATGAACCACACCACAAAAATCCATCTAATGGTATTATGGTACCACAATGGGACTACAGTAACACTGCACCACGGATGTTGACAATGTTACAGAAGTATTTAAACATACCGAACCTTCACAGGGAAATCAACAAGGCACTTCAAAAACAAAATTTGCGATAGTGAAAACTGCCCTCTGCAAGGCGACATATAAGGCAAGTCAGAAAATACCTTCACAAGGTGTAGCAGTGACCTTGGAGTAAACTCAAGAGTCAGCATATGAGGCAAGTCACGAATGAATTTCAGGGGATATAGCACTGACCTTCACCGGGTCCTTCAGCGAGTTTTCGTCGTCAGAATTGCAGGGTATATTCGAGATTTCCCAAGAATACTCTCATAGGAAGTGGCAGGCACTGACCTTCACCGGGTCCTCTAGTGAGCTTTCATCGTCGGGGTTCCCTGAGGGGCTGGAGAGGCGAGAGAGCAGCACTGGGCCTGAGGCTGCTGCGCCCTGCAGGTCTACATGTAGGGTCACTGCGGATGGCTGGAAGTTGGCTGCCTGGTGTGGGTGGATGGGGTTTAGGGTGCATGTGTGGATGGAGCTTGTGTGGATGGAGCTTGTGTGGATGGGGCTTGTGTGGATGGGGCATGTTAGGCATAAGCGAATGGGCATGTGGAACATGCATCGTGGGTCAAATCGAGACAAGGGAGAATGGGCGAGCCAAGCCGAGGAGGGCAAGAGCGAGTGTGACTAGGAGTGAGACGGGGACTGTTGGATACGAGGAGAGTGAGATAATGGCAGCGAAAAGCCATTTGTGCGACCCAGTGAGGAAATTCAGGGACTTCTCGAAACAAACCTTCACAATCCAATGAGAAACTTCCGATCATTATGCTGTTGCCAGCACCGTGAGAAGCACTTAGGTAAGAGAGAAAGAGATGGATGGACCATTCGAGATGGAGGGAGGGAGTGAGTCAAACCTTCACAAGTATAGCTGCCAATGCTGGGTTGCCATCTCTTCTGATCCGAACAGCCGATGCTTCAAACCGACTTGCCATGCGCCCATCAGTAGCAACCTCAACACCTCGGGGGGTGGAGGTGACATCTGAGGAAGGTGCATCTTCAGTGGTGGTTGTCAGATTCAAGAGAAGTGCATTTGAAACTAGGGAGGAGGAGGAGGAGGAAGAGGAGGAGGAGGAGGAGGAGGAGGAGGAGGAGGAGGAGGAGGAGGAGGAGGAGGAGGAGGAGGAGGAGGAGGAGGAGGAGGAGAGGGAGAGGCGAGACGGCAGCAGCGAGCCTCCCTTGGAGCGTTGGAACATGTGTTGCAGCCAGTAGCTGGGCGTGCCATACAGGCGGTGCGAGTCGAACGCTATGAGGTCTGGCGTCCAGCTGGGGAGATACGGAAGGGAAAAATGGGGGAAGAATGCATGGTAAGAATCAATAACAGAGACAGAGCCCCCGGGGGGTGAGTTGGAGCATTGTAACAAGTGGTGCAGGTAGTAGCTTGGAATGCCGTACAGGCGATGGGCGTCTAAGGCTATGAGATCAAGCGTCCAGATAGGGGAACGAGGAGGGTGGGGAGGAGTTAGAAGAGGCATTGGAAAGAAGGGAGTGTGCTGCCAGTGGCAGCGGGTGATGCAGAGGGGATGGGCGTCAAGACCCAAAACATGAAATAAGAAGAGGTGAGAGGAGTTGGGAGGATGGAAGGCAATAATGCTCTTTCCATCCTCCCAACTCCTCTCACCTCCACTCTCTACCTCTCCCTCACCTCCTGTCATGCACGTTGACCAGCAGAGGGGCGTAGCTCACCATTGCCACCACGTCGCTGCAAAGAGGGAGAGGGGAGAGGGGGGAAAGTCAAAGCAGGTCAAGTCAAGCAGTCAAGTCAAGTCAAGCCAAATCATGCATGAATGCATGTTGATTCGCAGAGGCACGTAGCTGACCATTGCCGCCACATCACTGCAAGGGTTGGAGGGGAGCGGGGAGTATCAAATGAAGAGGTGTGCCGGGGTCAAGTCAAGTCAAGTCAAGTCAGGTCAAGTCATGCACGTTGGTTAGCAGAGGGAAGAGAGCGAGGAGAAGACCCTAAGAAGCCTTTTATTCTGCTGCATCGACTCAGAACTAAGGGCGGCAGCGAAAGTAGCACGAGACGGAGGAGAAACCGCAAAGAGAAGGCAGTAGAAGAAGGCAGGAAGCGGGAGCAGGAAGGGAGCCTACCTGTTTCTTTCCAGCCCAATGAGAAACCCCGCCTCTGCCACTGCTGCCCGCACGTTGCCATCCCCTCCCCCGCCTTGCACTGCGAACTCGCTCAAAAAGGCCTGCTGGGCGAAGAGGTGGAGTGTGGGAGGGGTGAGGGGTGAGGGATGAGGGGCAAGGGGTGAGGGGTGAGGGATGCGAGGAGAGATCAGTCCTAAGGCGCCTAAAAAGCGAACATAGCCATCCCCTCCCCCCCTTGCACTGCGAACTCGCTCAAAAAGGCCTGCTGGGCGATGAGGTGAGTGAGAGGATTTTTGAGGAGGTGACTTTTGAGTCGACTCAAAAGTCACCTTGAGGCGCCTCAAAAATACTCAAAAAGGCCTGCTGGGCGAAGAGGTGAGTGAGAGGAGAAAGGGGAAAGCTGAGAGGGGATAGGGGGGAGGGCGAGAGGGGATCCGGGAGAGAGGAGAGGTGAATGAAGCATTCACGGCACAGAAGAAGACCACACAAGGATACCACCCGTGCATGCCACGTCACCTTGGGTCCATCCCTGCTGATGTCATCAAAGTAATGGCCCAAGCTGAAAATTCCCTCTGCTGTGCCGAAGGACTGTGAGCGAGATGATCATTCAAGGGATGGAAGAAGGGGCATTCAGAGATGATCATGCACGCACACATGCATGCAGATAGACAGACAGATAAACATGTAGGGGAAGGAAGTAGGCATTCAGAAGTGAGAGGGAGAAAAGCATGCAGGCAGACAGATACGCATCCCCACAGACATTGAATACAGAAGGGATGAGCAATGATGGAAATGCAAACACAAGGAAAAACAGGACACAGGAAATGACTGAAAAACAGGAAACGCAAGGAGACCGCCTGCAAGGGGAGGCAATGTTCGATCGAGACGCCTACGGGGTTCGGCACTTGCAACCATGTGGCAACCACGAACAGCTCTGCACCGCACTGCACCGCACTGCACAACACCGCCCCCCCTACATGGAAATCGTAGAGGTCGGTGGGAGGGCGGTCTGGACTCTGGAGTTGATTTCTAAGGTGCACGATGCAAGGGAGTGAGGTGCCTAAAAAAATGACTCACTCCACAGAGCAGCCCCCTCACTCTCTCCCCTCTCCCCCCCCCCCTTACATGGAAATCGTAGAGGTCGGTGGGAGGGTGGTCTGGAGGCCCCTTGCTGACGTCACACGTGTACACCACCGCCATGTCTGGATATGCTGCCTTGATTGCCGCCCGGAAACGAAGGAAGTTGCCTGGAAGGTGGCGAGAATGAGAAGGTGTGGTGGGGTGAGAGGGGGGAGGCCACGAGTTTGCGAGGTATGGCAAGGTAGGAGGTGCAGTGGTGAGGGGTATGGCAAGGTAGGAGGTGCAGTGGTGAGGGGTATGGCAAGGTAGGAGGTGCAGTGGTGAGGGGTATGGCAAGTAGGAGGCGCGGTGGGAGGTGCTTCCCCTTGTTACGCACAATTGCCTTTGTTACTCAATTATGATTCATTCACATCCTTCCCTTCACCACCACTGGTTCACCTCTGTAGTTGTCCTGGTAGCAGTTCTCATTCCCAATGCCCACGTGCCCACGTGCCCATTCATTCACACAAGATCAAATCATCACACCCTCGCTCCCCCTTGCTGATCTAAATCACCTCGGTAGATGTCCTGGTAGCAGTTCTCATTCCCGATGCCCACGTGCTCACGTGCCCACGTGCCCACTCACTCACATCGCACAATACATTGCTTCCCAACCACATGCCATTACCTCTGTAGTTGTCCTGGTAGCAGTTCTCATTCCCAATGCCCACGTGCCGCAGATCGAACGGCTCAGGATGGCCCATCGCCGTCCTCTCTGCTCCCCACCGTGAATCCGACGGCCCTCGTGCGAACTCGATTCCATCAAGCACCTCCTGTGGCGCCACGTGGCAGAGATCAACACACAAAGCAGGCATGACCGCAAAATACTACGGGCTTTCATTGCCCTTCCCAAGACGGGAAGGATGGAGGTGAGCAGAGGCGGGATAGGTGGGGGAAGAGGGAGGCTCGAATGAGGGAAGAGCAGCTGACCTGAATGAAGGGAGCAAGGGCGCCTGTAAAGACGCTGTCTGTGTGGCTGTTTCCTGCAAGAGTGCACGACAGCGCATGGAAGAGGAAGAGGTAGAGCAAAGCAGGCAGGAGGGCACTGAAACATGCTGCATGCATACTGTTGCCTCTCTCCATTCCATGTTGCCTTTTGAGAATTCTCAAAAGTGTCTCCATGTGCCTCTGAGCTCTTGCCTCACGAGGGTGAGCACCCTGTTGCTCTTGCCTCAGAAGTGAGCACTTCAGTGCTACTGGACACCCATGTGGGCCAAGGTGACTTTTGAGTCGACTCAAAAGTCACCTTCTTGCCTCACGAGGGTGAGCACTTCAGTGCTACTGGACACCCATGTGGGCGAGGTGCCAAGGTCCCAACACTTAAATCGAGATGTGCATCACCTTACCACTGTTGAACACCCACACACCCACTCTCACCGCTGTTGAACACCCACACACCCACTCTCACCGCTGTTGAAGACCCACACACCCACTCTCACCGCTGTTGAAGACCCACACACCCACTCTCACCGCTGTTGAAGACCCAAATCGGCGTAGCACCCAGATCCTCTGCAAACTGAAGGTACTCGAAGAAACCAAGCCCGTCGTCCGACCAGTACCCCCACCTGATGGGGTGTGTGCAGGTGGGGGAAAGAGTGGCAGGCAGAAAAGTTGGAAATAAGACACCTGGCTGGTGTTCCTTCCACTGCAGAAACTCAAAGAACCCCCGCCCATCGTCCGACCAATAGCCCCACCTGGTGGGTGCGCGGATGGGTGTGCGCATGGGGGTGTGGTGGGCAAAGGGGAAAGAGTGGCTGGCACCACCTGTGGGAACTAAGGCGCCTGACTGGTGTCCCACTGAACATACTCGAAGAACCCCCGCCCATCGTCCGTCCCACCAATAGCCCCACCTGGTGGGGTGTGCACGGGTGGGGATGGCATGAGTGTGGCCTTTGAGTGCAGACTTGTGAGCCAACTCACAGACAGTCACCCCCACGTGCAGGTACTGGTGTGACCCCATGGGTTGACTTATGAGTATCTGCACACTCACTGAAGCCGGATGGGAACAGCATGCAATCACACCCGCCGGCCGGTCGTTGAAGTAGCCGGGGCGGAGTTCCCAAGGGCAGATGGTGGAGCGTAGTGAGTGTGAGAAAGTGAGACGGAGAGGGAACAGTGAGAGGGAAAGAGACCCACCGGTCGTTGAAGTGGCCGAGGCGGAGTTCCCAAGGGCAGATGGTGGAGCGTAGTGAGTGTGAGAAAGTGAGACGGAGAGGGAACAGTGAGAGGGAAAGAGACCCACCGGTCGTTGAAGTGGCCGAGGCGGAGTTCCCAAGGGCAGATGGTGGAGCGTAGTGAGTGTCAGAAAGAGCGGTGAGAGGCAGCGGGGCACACGGGAGACGGAAGAAGATGCCACCGGGGCACCCAGCAGCCTTTTGATCAGTGAGTCGCCAGCGGGAAACACTGGCGAGGCGCACTGGCAACCCATCAGACGGCCTCTGGCTGAAGTGGCAACAAGACTCACATGTCCCACCAGTCCAAGTGGTAAACGAAACATGTAAAGAGTGTTGCCACGCACGCTCATACGATGCACCGCACGCTCATACGCTGCACCGCCCGCTCGTCCGCTGCACCGCACGCTCATACGCTGCACCGCACGCTCATGCGCTGCACCGCCCGCTCATACGCTGCACCGCCCGCTCATACGCTGCACCGCCCGCTCATACGCTGCGCCGCCCGCTCATACGCTGCACCGCCCGCTCGTACGCTGCACCGCCAGCTCATACTCTGCACCGCACGCTCATACGCTGCACCGCCCGCTCATGCGCTGCACCGCCCGCTCATACGCTGCACCGCACGCTCATACGCAGCACCGCCCGCTCATACGCTGCACCGCCCGCTCATACGCTGCACCGCACGCTCATACGCTGCACCGCCCGCTCATACGCTGCACCCGGCGCTCATACGCTGCACCGCCCGCTCATACGCTGCACCGCCCGCTCATACGCTGCACCGCACGCCCGCTCATACGCTGCACCGCCCGCTCATACGCTGCACCGCCCGCTCATACGCTGCACCGCCCGCTCATACGCTGCACCGCCCGCTCGTACGCTGCACCGCCAGCTCATACACTGCACCGCCCGCTCATACGCTGCACCGCACGCTCATACGCTGCACCGCCCGCTCATACGCTGCACCGCCCGCTAATACGCTGCAACGCACGCTCATACGCTGCACCGCCCACACATACGCTGCACCGCCCACTCGTACGCTGCACCGCACGCTCATACGCTGCACCGCCAGCTCATACGCTGCACCGCCCGCTCATACGCTGCACCGCCCGCTCATACGCTGCACCGCACGCTCATACGCTGCACCGCACACTCATACGCTGCACCGCCCGCTCATACGCTGCACCACCCGCTAATACGCTGCAACGCACGCTCATACGCTGCACCGCCCACACATACGCTGCACCGCCCACTGGTACGCTGCACCGCACGCTCACACGCTGCACCGCCAGCTCATACGCTGCACCGCCCGCTCATACGCTGCACCGCACGCTCATACGCTGCACCGCACGCTCATACGCTGCACCGCACGCTCATACGCTGCACCGCACGCCCGCTCATACGCTGCACCGCCCGCTCATACGCTGCACCGCACGCTCATACCCTGCACCGCCCGCTCATACGCTGCACCGCCCGCTCATACGCTGCACCGCCCGCTCATACGCTGCACCGCACGCTCATACGCTGCACCGCCCGCTCATACGCTGCACCGCCCGCTCATACGCTGCACCGCCCGCTCATACGCTGCACCGCCCGCTCATACGCTGCACCGCACGCTCATACGCTGCACCGCCCGCTCATACGCTGCACCGCCCGCTCATACGCTGCACCGCCCGCTCATACGCTGCGCCGCCCGCTCGTACGCTGCACCGCCCGCTCGTACGCTGCACCGCCAGCTCATACACTGCACCGCCCGCTCATACGCTGCACCGCACGCTCATACGCTGCACCGCCCGCTCATACGCTGCACCGCCCGCTAATACGCTGCAACGCACGCTCATACGCTGCACCGCCCACACATACGCTGCACCGCCCGCTCGTACGCTGCACCGCACGCTCATACGCTGCACCGCCAGCTCATACGCTGCACCGCCCGCTCATACGCTGCACCGCACGCTCATACGCTGCACCGCCCGCTCATACGCTGCACCGCCCGCTCATACGCTGCACAGCCCGCTCATACGCTGCACCGTCCGCTCATACGCTGCACCGCCCGCTCATACGCTGCACCGCCCGCTCATACGCTGCACCGCCCGCTCATACGATGCACCGCCCGCTCATACGCTGCACCGCACGCTCATACGCTGCACCGCACGCTCATACGCTGCACCGCACGTTCATACGCTGCACCGCCCTCTCATACGCTGCACCGCCCGCTCATACGCTGCACCGCCCGCTTATACGCTGCACCGCACACTCATTTGCTGCACCACACGCTCATACGCTGCACCGCCCGCTCATACGCTGCACCGCCCGCTCATACGCTGCACCGCACGTTCATACGCTGCACCGCACGCACATAAGCTGCACCGCCCGCTCATACGCTGCACCGCCCGCTCATACGCTGCACAGCCCGCTCATACGCTGCACCGTCCGCTCATACGCTGCACCGCCCGCTCATACGCTGCACCGCACGCTCATACGCTGCCTCGCACGCTCATACGCTGCACCGCCCGCTTATACGCTGCACCGCACACTCATACGCTGCACCACCCGCTCATACGCTGCACCGCCCGCTCATACGCTGCACCGCACGCTCATACGCTGCACCGCACGCACATAAGCTGCACCGCACGCACATACGCTGCACCGCCCGCTCATACGCTGCACAGCCCGCTCATACGCTGCACCGCCCGCTCATACGCTGCACCGCCCGCTCATACGCTGCACCGCCCGCTCATACGCTGCACCGCACGCACATACGCTGCACCGCACGCTCATACGCTGCACCGCACGCTCATACGCTGCACCGCCCGCTCATACGCTGCACCGCACGCTCATACGCTGCACCACACGCACATACGCTGCACCGCCCGCTCATACGCTGCACCGCCCGCTCATACGCTGCACCGCACGCTCATACGCTGCACCGCCCGCTCATACGCTGCACCGCACGCTCATACGCTGCACCGCACGCTCATACGCTGCACCGCCCGCTCATACGCTGCACCGCGCGCTCATACGCTGCACCACACGCACATACGCTGCACCGCCCGCTCATACGCTGCACCGCCCGCTCATACGCTGCACCGCACGTTCATACGCTGCACCGCCCTCTCATACGCTGCACCGCCCGCTCATACGCTGCACCGCCCGCTCATACGCTGCACCGCCCGCTCATACGCTGCACCGCCCGCTCATACGCTGCACCGCCCGCTCATACGCTGCACCGCACGCTCATACGCTGCACCGCCCGCTCATACGCTGCAGCACCGCCCGCTCATACGCTGCATCGCACGCTCATACGCTGCACTGCCCGCTCATACGCTGCATCGCACGCTTGTACGCTGCATCGCACGCTCGTACGCTCACTGCACGCTCGTACGCTCACCGCCCGCTCATACGCTGCACCGCCCGCTCATACGCTGCACCGCCCGCTCATACGCTGCACCGCACACTCATACGCTGCACCGCCCGCTCATACGCTGCACCGCCCGCTCATACGCTGCATCGCACGCTCATACGCTGCACCGCCCGTTCATACGCTGCACCGCCCGCTCATACGCTGCACCGCCCGCTCATACGCTGAACCGCCCGCTCATACGCTGCACCGCCCGCTCATACGCTGCACCGCCCGCTCATACGCTGCACCGCCCGCTCATACGCTGCACCGCACGCTCATACGCTGCACCGCCCGCTCATACGCTGCAGCACCGCCCGCTCATACGCTGCATCGCACGCTCATACGCTGCACTGCCCGCTCATACGCTGCATCGCACGCTCGTACGCTGCATCGCACGCTCGTACGCTCACCGCACGCTCGTACGCTCACCGCCCGCTCATACGCTGCACCGCCCGCTCATACGCTGCACCGCCCGCTCATACGCTGCACCGCACGCTCATACGCTGCACCGCACGCTCATACGCTGCACCGCACGTTCATACGCTGCACCGCCCTCTCATACGCTGCACCGCCCGCTCATACGCTGCACCGCCCGCTCATACGCTGCACCGCCCGCTCATACGCTGCGCCGCCCGCTCATACGCTGCACCGCCCGCTCATACGCTGCACCGCACGCTCATACGCTGCACCGCCCGCTCATACGCTGCAGCACCGCCCGCTCATACGCTGCATCGCACGCTCATACGCTGCACTGCCCGCTCATACGCTGCATCGCACGCTCGTACGCTGCATCGCACGCTCGTACGCTCACCGCACGCTCGTACGCTCACCGCCCGCTCATACGCTGCACCGCCCGCTCAGACGCTGCACCACACGCTCATACGCTGCACCGCCCGCTCATACGCTGCACCGCACGCTCATACGCTGCACCGGACGCACATACGCTGCACCGCCCGCTTATACGCTGCACCGCACACTCATTTGCTGCACCACACGCTCATACGCTGCACCGTCCGCTCATACGCTGCACCGCCCGCTCATACGCTGCACCGCACGTTCATACGCTGCACCGCACGCACATAAGCTGCACCGCCCGCTCATACGCTGCACCGCACGCTCATACGCTGCACCACACGCACATACGCTGCACCGCCCGCTCATACGCTGCACCGCCCGCTCATACGCTGCACCGCACGCTCATACGCTGCACCGCCCGCTCATACGCTGCACCGCACGCTCATACGCTGCACCGTCCGCTCATACGCTGCACCGCACGCACATACGCTGCACCGCCCGCTCATACGCTGCACCGCCCGCTCATACGCTGCACCGCACGCACATACGCTGCACCGCACCCACCGGTCATTGAAGTGGCCTGGGCGGAGTTCCCAAGGGCCGATGGTGGAGCGCCAGCGGAAGGCATTGGCGAGCCGCACCCCCTCCACGTAGCAGCCGCCGGGGAAGCGCATGAAGCCGGGGGAGAGAGCCTGCAGCATTGAGGCTATATCTGCCCGCATGCCGTGGGACTGGATGGGGTTGTATGGGTGCATGGGGGGAACATGCGAGCATGGGGGCATGGGGGCAAGGAATTGGCGAGACGCACGCCCTCCAGGTAGCAGCCGCCGGGGAAGTGCATGAAGCCAGTCGAGAGGTTGTCAAGCATTGCTGCTATGTCTGCGCGCATGCCATGGCCCTGTGGGTGGAACACGGGATGCGCGGGTGGGATTTTTAACACGACATTGGCCCCCTCCAAGCAGCTGCACGCTCTCCACGTATGTAGCAGCCCCCTGGGAAGCGCATGAAGCCGGGGGAGAGGTTCTCAAGCCATGCGCATGCAGTACAAAGGAGAGGAACAAGCCATGCCCCATGCCCCATGCCCCATGCCCCATGCCCCATGCCCGTGCTGATTTTTAGAATCCTCAAACGTGCCGCAAGCGACGTCAATCCTTCAGAAGCATACGACTCACCTTGAATGTCTCAGCAGGCATGGCTGAGATCTGGTCCAACCACAGAGTGCCACGTGTCATGCTGCCAGTGGTGATGGCCAGCGAGGCGTTGTGGCACGTGCCGGTCGCAGTGATGGTGGCCTCATAGCGGTGCCACGTGGCAGCCATGGATTGGTTGAGGCTGGCAGCATCAGAGGAGGAGAGGAGTGGTAATGGGCAAATGGGTACCATTAGACAACAGAAAGGTGCACTGGGATGGGAGAAGGGGGGGGGGGAAGGAGGGGACTGAAGGGAGGGAGGAAGGGGAGCTTTGAGGCGTCTCAAAACTAGGGCTAATATGGGTTGATCCAACGGTTGGGACCAACGAGAGTGGGCCACGGGGAGGGATTGAGTTTCGAGACGTCTCAGGTCCTGATAGCAGCGTACCTGATATGCGCTGAACCGACGGTGGGGACGGACGAGAGGGGGGGAAGGGGAGGGAGGGCGGGCGAGCAGAGGAAGGAGAGACGGAGAGAGAGGCGGGCCGTGGCACGCGCATGCAGGATGATGTTGTATGCACGGCCTTGCACTATGCTCTGATGGGGGGATGGGGTGATGGTCGGATGGGAAGAAAGGGCATGTTGGGATGGTGAGGATGGGGGCGGGGCGTGAGTGACGACATGGTGGCATCGGTAAAGCTAGAAACAGATGGAGATGGGGAGAAGAGCCACTCATTCTCATATGATCTTCTTGGATACCCTTAACAATCTCCCAATGACCCCTCACCATACCCACTCACCATGCCCCAATAGCCGGGATTCAGCACCCCCACACCATCTTCACACACACGCCCGTCCCCTCCCTCCTCCCCCTCCTCTCCGTATCGCTCCCTCCCCCTGCCACCATCCGCACCACCACCAACGCCACGCCTCCCCGCGAGTTCTCCTCGAGAATCTCCATCCGCCAGAGTCACCCCCAGCAGCCCGCCCACCCACTGCCTCACAGCCGCCCACACGCCCACCCCAGCGGGCCCCCCAGGGGAAGAAAAGAACCCCACTACGCGCACAGGCGCATGCAGTGTCTCCCCTTGGGTCAGCGCACGTGCAGCAGACATCTTTCGTGCAGCGGCCCCACCTCCCAGGGCGGGCTGCTCCCAGCCCACAGCCGGCTCAGGTTGCCTCTTCTCTCCTTGCGAGGGGAGCCCCAAGTGCTCCTCGCCCGCTCTCTGCGCGCCCTCTCCCTCAGACCTTCCCCCTGCAGGGAATGGCAGTCCCTGAGCCGTGGGGCTGTCTCCACGAGGGGATGGCGGAGCGGGGCAGTGGATGTCGATGCGAAGGGCGATGGGGTTGCGTGGGAAGGGCGAGCAGCGCTCCGTGCTCAGCAGCACGTGGGGCTCGGACCCCATGGGCAGCCATGGGTGGATCGTGGAGGGCGTCTCCTGCCCGCCCGCCTCGAACCCTGCAGAGATTTAGGAGAGAAGGCAAGGCAAGGGAAGGAATTGTGCGGGGAAAGGGCGAGCAGCGCTCTGTGCGCAGCTGCACGTGGGGCTCGGACCCCATGGGCAGCCATGGGTGTATTGTGGAGGGGGTTTCCTGTCCGCCTGCTTCGAATCCTGCAGTGATTCGTGCGCGACGGGAAGGTAAGAAATTTGTGAGGGGAACGGCGAGCAACGCTCCTTGATCAGCCGCACATGGGGCTTGGACCCGATGGGCCGCCACGGTTGCACTGTGGAGGGGGTTTCTTGTCCGCCTGCTTCGACTCCTGCAGCCAGAGTAGACGGGAGGGCAGGAGCGGAAAGGGAGGAAGTAGGTGTGGGAGCCGCTGTGGGGAACAGACAATGGGGCATGCATGCATGCATGCATGCATGCAAGAGAGTGCAGCAGTGAGCAGAGGTGTCGACACCACATAGGAATATCATATATTCCACTCCGTTCTCTTCTCTCTCTTTCTCCTCCACTCCCCTTAACCCCATTCTTCCCCCACTTTTTCCCCCCTGCCCTCCTTCCCCTTTCCCCCCTCCCCCTGCTCCTCCTGCCTCCCCCTCCCCCCCACTCTTTAACTTGCCTCGGTTCTGCACCAGTTCCGCGTACAGCCCTCCCGCTCCCCGTTGTTGGTTCCCTCCCTCTCTCCCCTGCCTTCTCTCCCCTGCCTTCTCTCCCCTGCCTTCTCTCCCCTGCCTTCTCTCCCCTGCCTTCTCTCCCCTGCCTTCTCTACCCTGCCTTCTCTCCCCTGCCTTCTCTCCCTCCGCCCTCTCCCCCCCTCCTCACCCCTCTCTCCAACTTGCCTCGGTTCTGCACCAGTTCCGCGTACAGCCCTCCCGCGCCCCCGTGGTTGATCTCCTGCGCACACACACATGCGTGCGCCACACACATGCGCGCACACACAGCATATGCACGCTCACATGCACACGCCCATGCACACACAAATGCACACGCCCAGGAGCTGATACTGGAAGTCCTATCGAATCTCGGCAACACGCCGAGAGATAGAGAAGCAATCCCATTCATGATCCGAGACGTCTCAGAATATGGTACTAGACAAGACATTCCGGGGAATATGCGGGAAAATGGGCACGCAATCCCCACGAAGCAACTACCTCGAGAAATATGCCGTAAAAGGAAGGCGATATTGGACGGCCTTGAGCCGCTCCATCGACGGTCAGTATCGCATGATCAACCCAACGCTCCGCATGCGCCGTATCTGAATCATTCTCCGAGGGTGCTGGCAATTCGACTGTCTCAGCAGACGAGTCAGCGAGAGTGAACGATTCGTTCAAATTCGAATGAACGTTGCTCGTGGATGAAAGCTTTGGGAACTTGAAGCTAGAATGGGAGAGAGCGACGAGAATGACGAGAAGTGCGACAAGAATGAGAAGCGCGAAACGCCGTGGGAGAGAAACATGTTTTCTAGCGTGGATTCGCGAGAGGAGAACGGGAGGTGCCATGGCTCCGGCCAGAATCAGTTTGAAAGTCTGAGGGCGAGGAAATGCTTGGGATTCTTACAATATACGCAACACTATGTGGTCCGGTAATACTTCAGAAACAAAAAGGCACAGCATGTTTTTCGTATATACTTGGTTTACCAGGAAGTCCTCAGAACACCTACAAGTTGTAGGCTACAACACATGCTCCATAAGCCATCAAACAGCTACTAACATAATAATAGCAACTACCAACACACTGCAAAGGCTTCTCTAGTTTATACTTACGGTATGTGCACTGTGCGTGGATGGATGGCACACTATAATCTAGTCTACAACAACATATTCGTTAGGGAAGATTAGGTCAGGGTTGTAAATGTCCGGGTTGAGTTCCACAATTTCCTTCCAATTGCGCTTCCCAACCTGCTTTGAAATGTGTATAAGAGTGTCTCCTTTCTTTATTTGGTATTTTTTCCTGCAACAACACAAAAGAAGACGGATGGAGCAAGCTTAACATGATGCACAAACTGCAACAGAAACGGTGCAGCATCAAATACCTTACGAAGCAAAGCCAGAGTTACAGAAACTCTCACCTGGATGGTCGGAAGAGCAGCATCACAGCCACGAAGGCTATCGCCCCTCCAACAATAGCTCTCCACGGGGCATGTGGCGCTGCCCGGGGCGACGACGGGCAGGATGAATAATCAGACTCCAAATCCTCATCGCCTTCAGAATGGCACACAGTTGTAACACCTGCCGAGACGTCAGTGAGCGAGGAGGTTGTGCCAGCTGACGTGGTAACCGCATCGAGCGACGGATCACGAGAAGCATCCAAACTGGCATAGAAGCTGCCGGCTGCTTCCGCTGAGACTGCCAGGCGGTCGGAGGGGGGAGGCCAAACCATGTGAGGGTCCAGTCTTGAGACAGGAGGAACATCTGGCACGCTTTTTGGTTTAGGTTCCGCTTCGTTACAGACAGAGCTAAAACCTTTGCTGACGAGGCTTGACACCTTCCCCCTGCCCGTCCCATTCTCCATCTGCTTCGCTTCTTGGCTCTCTGCCTTACTAGCAGCAGCAGCAGCAGCACCACCACCACCACCACTGCCATCACCACCATCACCACCACCGATGGTACTGCCACCAGCGGCACCGACAGTGCCACCCCAGCCAGTAAGTTCAAAGCTGTTCTCCGATCCTGATTGGCTGGCAGGCACGTCCTCCCTACCCCACCCGCGCCTGTAGTTGGGACCCATGAACTCCCTCACTGCGCGGTCCACCACGCCCCCCTCTGCTGGCATGCGCTTCGCCACACTCACCGCTGCTGCTGCCGACGCCGGCTCAAAGTCTATCGCCTGGATTGGTGAGAGATGGTAGGGGGGTGGAGCCTTGAGGTTGAAGTTTGGGTCGACTCAAATGCCGGCTCATAAGTCTATGGCCTGATGGAGGGTGGAGGTAGGGAGGTTAATACTCGACTCAAATGGGCCCAAAGGGGTAGGGGAGTGGAGGGTTCAGGTTAGGGTGTGGGTCAAATCAAATGCTGGCTCGAAGCCTATGACAAAAAGGGCATACAAGGAAGGCTCACCAGGATGCCGGCTGCTCTGAGCTTGAGGGCGAGGGCGCGGATGCAGAGGCAGACGCGCTTGGTGCCCTTCTTCTCCACCACGTCTGTTGATGTGAACAGGTCGATGGCGCTCAGCCCAAACGCCTTGCACATCTGGCGTGGGAGGGGAGGGCAGAGAATATAATGAGTCGATTTTCAAAGTACACCGTGAGTGACAACGAGAAGCAGAGGCCGACGCGTTTGGTGCCCTTCTTCTCCACCACGTCTGTTGATGTGAACAGGTCGATGGCGCTCAGCCCAAACGCCTTGCACATCTGGCGTGGGAGGGGAGGGCAGAGAATATAATGAGTCGATTTTCAAAGTACACCGTGAGTGACAACGAGAAGCAGAGGCAGACGCGTTTGGTGCCCTTCTTCTCCACCACGTCTGTTGATGTGAACAGGTCGATGGCGCTCAGCCCAAACGCCTTGCACATCTGGCGTGGGAGGGGAGGGCAGAGAATATAATGAGTCGATTTTCAAAGTACACCGTGAGTGACAACGAGAAGCAGAGGCAGACGCGTTTGGTGCCCTTCTTCTCCACCACGTCTGTTGATGTGAACAGGTCGATGGCGCTCAGCCCAAACGCCTTGCACATCTGCCATAGCAGGGGAGGGCGGGGAAAATAAGGGTTTGTGGGGGGGTAAGGAGGGGGAAGCGGGGGGGGGGGTGGGACGGAACATGCACAGCACTAGCATTGGCTGTTGACGTGTACAGGTCGACGGCGCTCAGCCCAAACGTGTTGCACAGTAAGGATCATGGCACCCCACTTGAGTTTTTAGTCGTCTCAACACGCCTCAGAACGCAATGAGATGCGACAGGTGGGGAGGTACCGTGAGAAAGTTATCAGTGAATGTCATTGCATCCCACTTGATCTTCGTGCCCCACCCCTGTTGCTGCTGTTGCTGCTGCTGCTGCCGTTGGTTGATCCCAGCACCCTTAGGTGCGAACGGCGAGAGGATGTCAGTCAACCGTGACCTGACAGTGCAGGGCAGAGCGGAGGGCCAAGCGGAGGGCCAAGAGGAGAGCCAAGAGGAGGGCCAAGAGGAGGGCACAGCGGAAGCCCCACGGGAAAGTGTGACGTGATTAAAGGATGAACAGTGGAAATCTACTTCACTGGAAATAACAGGCAGATTAATTAAAAATGCCTAAAAAGGAGGACATACATAGAGCAATGGGAAGGGACTCACAGGATCATGCCGTCTGCAAGGGTATCCGCGAGGGCAGTATCAGGCGGTAGCTTCTCTTTCAACACTGCCTCGAGCCAGTTCCGAACCCGTATCTGCATGGGTGATGGCGTAAAGCAGGTAACACGCACGCATGCATGTACACATACGCGCATGCACGCATGTAAGCATGCACGCAAGCACACACGAACGCATGCACACGAACAGGATCACAGGTTAGTAGCTCGAGCTAGGAGGTTCCCACTCCGGGCTCGCACGCACGCGTTGCAAAGGCAACTCGACATCGTACAAGTGACATGCAAGTTAACCTTCTGATGCCTTGTCACCACAACATAGTTCGCGAGTCGTCGACTACGTAGGCGTGGTACAAGCGACATACAACGTAAGCTCCTGACCACGTCGTTCAGGGGTGCAGTACAGTGCTGAAGTTCTCAATACGCTACAGCGCGGTTCAGTTCGGTTCCGTGACGTCTAACACGGATGTTTGAGTCTCCCATTTCACTTCCAACACGTCCTAAGGAGCCTGGGCACTGCTCAAATGGAACCCTACCTCGAGAATGCCGTCGACGAAAGGATCCCATTTGGCGCGGGAGCCCATCGTCAGCTCTGCTCGAGCGAGCGGCAATGTTAACAGCGAGGCTTGATCGCGCGAACAGGGAGAGATCAGAATCGAGCCTTCGCGGGAGGAATATGGCTGACCACGACGAAGAGCTGACGCTTGATATTGCTAGAGACAGTCGGAAAGTAGAGCTGTTGCGAAAGAATAGAACCTTCGGCTGGTGGTAAAGCTGAATCGCGCCTAAAGTTTCTAAGCCAAGCAACGCGCACCAGGTTGCATGATCAGTAGCGAGTTGATCATTGGCTGTAACTATTACGCCAATACCTTTTCGGCAGTAGCTTCAAAGGAAATAGCATTTGCGCTTCAACGCTTCAACAAGTAATCAGGAGTGAGATATAACAAGCACAGATATCCGCAACGAGCGTAAAGTATGTAGGTGAAGCCTGGTCAAGTATGCCTTAGCCCGACCGCCGTGACCCACGGAGCGGCTGCAGCACGAGTGAACAACATTGATCCGTGGTTCTTGGGAATGCCGTTGATGTGACTTTTTGGATCGCCTGGCGGCAATCTCAACAGGAACGAAGGGAGACGAAGGTCAAATTATAATGGTCACGGTTCGCATTATGCGGTGTACCATATAGTGTGATTGGATATATAGACACTTTTGCAGATCTTCCAGGCTTCAGTAGTGTGTTATGTTCGGATTGTGTCACATATCATCAGGTGTCGCTCTCTGCAATCACTTCACGTCAGACTGGTCCTTGTCATCAGTTCCTTCAGCGCAATGCGCAACGCGTTGATTTGTTGACGAAACTGGTTACACGAGATTTGGGTGTTGACGAACCAGTTACCAACTTGGGTTTCGGCATGTTTGCCTCCCTGAAGGTGATCATTTGCAGAATAGTGAATCGTGTGATTTGTTTGTGCCCAGGCGTTCCATCAGTTTAGCCAGCCTACCTAGTAGGTGATCAGAGAGCGTCGACTTCCTGATCGAAGATAGCACAACAATGCGTGCTTTCCATTGAGATACGCTTGCGAAGAAGACGAGAACTGTGTGCATTTTGGCTCTATTTTGTAAATAATCGCCTAGTGCCTCGACCGAACGGACCATCTCGAACGGACCGAACGGATTCGTACCCAGATGGTACTTGTCGTTCACGTCGTCACGATGAAGCTCCCTCGAAACGCGAGCTAAGGGTCGTCCATGTCGCCACGTTCTCGCGCGTTGAAGCAGCGGAAGCACATGATTCCCTCAAGAGTAATTCTCTCACTCCTCGCTGCACTGTTGCTCGTCGCCGAACATGATAGAGTGACAGGATTCAACATCCAATGTACTGACCAACGATCGTATTGGCCAACCGGCCCAGTTCAACATTCCGTGCACTTAATACCGATCCTGCAGACGTACTGGCCGAAGTCAGCATCCAATTCACTACAGACCAATTCTACTAAAGACGCACGTTACCAGCCTACCAACCAACTGACCGAATTCAACATCCGGTGCACTGGAGCCGCTTCTTACCCTGTCCTACCGTCTCGACTAGTTTCCGCTTCTTCTTTCGATGCGTCACCCAGTGCTACCAGCACTCGGGGCTATCGCAATAAGTGGCTTCTCATGGCATTCCCGTCCCACCCTCCTTCCAGATGCGTCAATCAGTACCGCTGCCGGCGCTGACCGGCTCTCGCATCGTATGGCTCGTCGTCTGGGCAGCAGTCGCAGCGCTAGTGGTCGTGCAGCTCGCTCCTAGATCGAAAGTGCGGGAAACCTCTCGAGTTTTGGACATGGAGGAGGAAGGAGAGGACCAAGACTTCAATGGGGTGCCGCCAGATCCGTTGCAGATGCTGCAGCGGCAAGGGATCAAATACGACCTCGTTCCAGTGAGACCCTCCTGATCAAACCACACCCTCATTGTGATTCTTGGACGAAGTGCTGGTCCCAGCTGTGTGTCCTGCTTGCTATCCTCCTTCCCACATTCTCCATTGATTCGTCTTGGATGGATCAGAAGATGAAACGCCAGTTCCCTTTTTTCTGTGCTGTCTTCACCCCATTGTCCCTCCTACACATTCGCTCTCTCTCTCAGGTCCTCTTTGGCCTCGTCTCAAATATCGTCAGCCTTTTTATTCCCTGCTGTACCCACCCCACCGTCCCTCTCACAGATTCGCGCTCCCTCTCAGATCCTCCTGCCTTCAGCCAGCCAGTCTCTTTCGTACCCAAGCAGCAGTGTTGGCGAGCAGGAGCCAGAGCAGCTCCTTGTGCCCGCATCAGAGCCCAGCAGCTTGAGCTACAGGGTGAGTGGGTGGCAGTGCGGTGGGTTTGTGACGGTGTGGGTGTGTGACGGTAGGTGTGTGACGGTGTGGGTGTGCCATGAAGCTGGGCGCTGGTTGCGTGCTAGTCAACACAGACTCAGCTCCTTGTGCCTGCTCCGTGCGTGACCGTGTGGGTGTAACGAGGAGTGGGTGAGCTTCTGAGCGCCACGTTTCAGCACAATCATGCCCTCGAGCCTCAGCATCTTTGACACGTGGTTGTGCCCCACGAAACGCCACGCCATGTGCCACGCCATGCCACATCATGGGCCACGCCACACGATGTGCAATGCCATCCCATCCCATGCGCCATGCCATGCCATCCCGTGTGCCTTCAGCACCATGTGCCATGCCATCTAAACCCATGTGACATGCCATGCCATCCTATTTGTAACGGCAGGCAGAGGACCTTCAAACGCGGTTGTGGCAGAACCCCCCTTCGCATGGGTACGGGCCTTGTGTGGAGCCTAGCGAAAGCTACAAGCGAGGTGGGCACGGGGGCGAAGGGCATTGCGAGGGGTTGTAGGCCTTGAGATGCTTTGAGCCGGATTGCCTTCCTTATTGTGCCACTTCGATGTGCTGCACAATGTGAACTTCCTGATTATTTGTATGTGGAGTGTATGATATGTTTGTATGTACGTACATTGTCTGTCTGACTGCATGGCATGGTCGGATTGGCAATGTTTGGTGTGGTATGACACGGATGATGCTTCTTTGGATGGCATGGCATGGTATGGTATGGTATGGTATGGTATGGTATGGTATGGTATGGTATGGTATGGTATGGTATGGTATGGTATGGTATGGCATGGCATGACACGGATGATGCTTCTTTGGATGGCATGGCATGGTATGGCATGGCATGGCATGGCATGACACGGATGATGCTTCTTTGGATGGCATGGCATGGCATGGCATGGTGATGCTTCCTTGGATGGCATGTCGTGGCATGGCATGGCATGGCATGGCATGGCATGGCATGGCATGGGGCAGCCAGTGGGAGGAGGACGAGGGGCTATCTGACGGTGCATGCCAACGGAGGGCTTAACCAGATGCGTGCTGGGGTATGTATGGCATGCGCCGTGGTCTATGTCTGTATGCCTTGTATGCCATCTCACACCACCTACTCGCTTGCCTCACATCGCCCAGTCCCCATCACTTCCCTATTTTACTCTCACATTCACTGCTTATTTGTTACATGGTGGCGTGTGGTCCTTTCGTGGTTTTCATCTCTTTGATTTCACTTTTGTGTCCTTCTCTCCCATTTTGTTATTGTCACAAACGGATCTGTGACTTGGTGACTTTATACTTTCAACTTTATACTTTATTGTTCCCATTCGACCATTTCGTTATTATCACAATCAGATCTGTGACATGGTGGCAGTGGCACGAATCCTCAACGCCACTCTTGTCGTTCCCGAGCTCGACAAGAGCTCCTTCTGGCAGGACTCCAGGTGGGGTGCGGTGACTGCAGGTGTGGTGCGGTGACACCAGGTGTGGTGCGGTGACTCCAGGTGTGTGCAGTGACTCCAGGTGTGTGCGGTGACTCCAGGTGTGTGCGGTGACTCCAGGTGTGGGGAGGTAACTCCAGGTGTGGTGCGGTGAATCACAGTGTGGTGAGGTAACTCCAGGTGTGTTTCTTCTGGCAGGAATCCATGTGTGTTAGGTCATGATCTATACTCCAGATGTGTGAAGTGTCTGCAGGTGTGTGACTGGAGGTGTGTGACTGGAGGTGTGTGACTGCAGGTGTGTGACTGGAGGTGTCTGACTGGAGGTGTGTGACTGCAGGTGTGTGACTGCAGGTGTGTGACTGCAGGTGTGTGACTGGAGGTGTGTGACTGGAGGTGTGTGACTGGAGGTGTGTGACTGCAGGTGTGTGACTGGAGGTGTCTGACTGGAGGTGTGTGACTGCAGGTGTGTGACTGCAGGTGTGTGACTGGAGGTGTGTGACTGCAGGTGTGTGACTGGAGGTGTGTGACTGCAGGTGTGTGACTGCAGGTGTGTGACTGCAGGTGTGTGACTGGAGGTGTGTGACTGGAGGTGTGTGACTGGAGGTGTGTGACTGCAGGTGTGTGACTGGAGGTGTGTGACTGGAGGTGTGTGACTGGAGGTGTGTGACTGCAGGTGTGTGACTGGAGGTGTCTGACTGGAGGTGTGTGACTGCAGGTGTGTGACTGCAGGTGTGTGACTGGAGGTGTGTGACTGCAGGTGTGTGACTGGAGGTGTGTGACTGCAGGTGTGTGACTGCAGGTGTGTGACTGCAGGTGTGTGACTGCAGGTGTGTGACTGGAGGTGTGTGACTGGAGGTGTGTGACTGGAGGTGTGTGACTGCAGGTGTGTGACTGGAGGTGTGTGACTGGAGGTGTGTGACTGGAGGTGTGTGACTGCAGGTGTGTGACTGCAGGTGTGTGACTGGAGGTGTGTGACTGCAGGTGTGTGACTGGAGGTGTGTGACTGCAGGTGTGTGACTGCAGGTGTGTGACTGGAGGTGTGTGACTGGAGGTGTGTGACTGGAGGTGTGTGACTGGAGGTGTGTGACTGGAGGTGTGTGACTGGAGGTGTGTGACTGGAGGTGTGTGACTGCAGGTGTGTGACTGGAGGTGTGTGACTGGAGGTGTGTGACTGTAGGTGTGTGACTGGAGGTGTGTGACTGGAGGTGTGTGACTGGAGGTGTGGGACTGGAGGTGTGTGACTGGAGGTGTGACTGGAGGTGTGTGACTGGAGGTGTGTGACTG